AAATTAAACAGGGTGCAAAAGCAGCCCTTGCAGTTTCTTACCGGTTCCTTTCTTACAGTTTCTTCTTTTCTTGGTACAAGGTTTCCCGTAATAGATTGCTGAACTATAAGCACAGAGTTTCGACTTTCTTATATGCTTGTAACTAGTAAGCCAACTTGTCTATAAATTTATTCAATAAATTGTTTTGACTGAATAAATTTCGCTTCCTCCTCATTAAGTGAGATACCGTGCGTACTGTGTCACAATTTTAGTTCAGAACATCTTGTTTAGTAGTAAACATAGAAAACTTGAAACACCTATATAATCTTTGTATTACATTATTGGTAAAAGAACATAAAAATACTGTAAACTTTGATGAATAAACAAGAGAAAATAAAGAAAACAAAGTTGGTGATGAATAAGTAACAATTGGCATAACAGTAACATTATTAAAGAAGTAACAATTGGCATTTTATTTAAAAATTTGGTTAGCAAGAAGAAAACAGCCGATTAATCAAGCATACAAATATTTTCTCAGCACTAAAACAGTCTGCAGTTCATGTTCTGTGAACAATCATTATAACGGTCAGCAATTTAAATTCAAAAAGGTAGCGTATTTTATGATGCATCAGCAAAATAAACATCCACGCCGCAAAATAATTATTTGGGTATTAAGATTATACTATTGAACAGCAAAGAAAACCTTTAACTATGCCTTTAATTTGATAAGTGTGCATATTTTAATTTTTATTAAAATTATTTAACTCATTTTATTGTATATTTTACTGGGAGTATATTATGATCAGAATTTTATATTTTAATATTATTATATATTGCATTCTGATTTTTTTCAATTAAAATAGTCGTCATATGACCGCAAGACTAAAAATAAGGTACATTTATAGAATAACAAATAGACTATATAATAAACTAAATAAATAAATCAGTAAAATCAAATGAAAATTAACTAAGTGTAATAGACATTTTTTTTTAAATAAGTTAAAAGCAATTGTCAAAAATTCTTACCAGAGTATTTGATTGGCAATGCATCATCTCGTAATTTTATTATATTTAAAGTTCGATTCAAACAACTTCCCTTAAATTAAGTGAGCAGATAAAAGTAACTTTTTCATTACATTTAATATTTTCTTCTTCTATGTAACTCGGCCATTTTCCTCTTTTGTTTCATCTTTTGGTAATCTAAAATAATTAATATATTTTAAAAATATTAAAATTATCGATATATACCATATGTTAAAGTAACGACACTAGCCATGTAAACAATATTATTTACGGACCGTAATATTATAAAAATATAAACGAAAAGAGCAATATAGCATAAATAGAACACGCCAAAATACGATATGTATCGATTTATACACGCAATCATTTTCAGAATAACTTACTTACGTTTTAAATACTGTTATTCCAAGAAAGTGTTTAACTTACCGGTGAAACGTAATATTGCTCGGTTTGCGGGATATTGATGACGCACAACCAATTATACAGCACCTAGGCATTGTTTTGCATAAATAATTTACAATTTTCTGCCATGAAAGTTATATAAATTAAAGTTATAAATGAAAATAACCACAAAACTTATAACACTGACAGCTGAACTACTTCCGAGAATACGCAAAGCAAATTTGCAAATGGCTGACAGGTGGTACGATAGCTATATCTCATGACGTCACGTAAAAAATTTTGAACTGTCACGCTAGTGTTATCTTTGTTTACTAAAGAAACTTCTTATTAGTTAAAAAAAGACAACATGATGTTTTTGATGTCAACTTCAGATTGCATGATATTTATATAACCATAATAAGTCTCTTTCTTTTTGATTTTAAAATCGCTCAACAAACTGTGCATAACAAATATTTTTTGTGTTTTTATCGGTCATCTTTATCGATATTATTTGTTAAAATTGTACTGAACCTTATTTTCATATAGGGGATGGGGGGTTTGATGGACATTACCCATCATACCCCATAGTATGGGGCAAGATGGGTTTTCATAATGTTCCTTTAATTATTAATTATTAAACAATGTGATAGTTGATTTTCCAAACACTGTGACAAATTGTAGTTAGATTACCAATATAACGTATCATAACTTAATAAGAGGTATAAACATAGCAATTATGCTTCATATTTGTTAATTCCTTTAGCTGGAGTATCATACCCCCTTATCTCCACAAGAAACTTCTCATGTCTCCTTATATATCTATAGAGAGTTATAGATGCCGTAAAGTGCACAACATGATGAAAGCTGGTAATAGGACATTTATTATTGGTAGAGACGTCGTTTTCATACTTAGCTCTAAGTTTTCACGGGCTTTAATATCTAAACACGGCTGCACGTCAGGTTACTACAACAAAAATTTCATGATCTTCTTCTTCTTCTTCTTTTAGTGATGGCTTATCTGCGCGTTTTAAAATCATGTGAAAATTTTTGACAGTTTGACAAGGAAGCGAAATCTGCAGGGGCACCAGTTACTATGGGCGTACCTCAGGGATCGATATTAGGACCATTGCTTTTTCTAATTTATATAAATGATCTTCCTCACTTTACGAAGAATTTGTGCGAGACAGTATTATTTGCAGATGACACCTCTTTACTGTTTAAAGTTGAGAGGGGTAATGATTGTTTTGACGATCTAAATAATGCTCTCGACAATGTTCTACAGTGGTTTGATAATAATAATTTAAAGCTCAATTCAAATAAAACGAAATGCATAAAGTTTGCATTACCTAATGTGAGGCATGTCAGTACACTTATAAATGTAAATAGTGAAAAAGTTGAGTTAGTAGAATCGACAAAGTTCCTTGGTATTACACTAGATTCCCGACTGCAATGGGATCCTCATATTGATAGCTTGTCAAGTAGACTGAGTTCTGCAGCTTTTGCTGTTAAAAAAATTAGACTCTTGACAAATGTTGAAACGGCAAGATTGGTATATTTTAGTTATTTTCATAGTGTAATGACGTATGGTATATTGTTATGGGGTTCTGCGGCTAGCATTCAGGATGTTTTTATTTTACAAAAGAGAGCTGTCCGTGCTATATATAATTTACGGTCTAGGGAATCTCTCAGAGAACTATTTAAAGAAATAAATATTCTGACTGTTGCCTCTCAATACATCTATGAGAATATTATGTTCACAAGAAAACATTACGATTCCTTCACAAAAAAAAGTAGTGTTCATAATCTTAACACAAGAAATAAAGATAAACTTGCCGTTCCAAGCTTCAGACTTCAAAAAACCAGAGGATCATTTCTGGGTAAATGTATTGCTATGTTCAATAAAGTTCCACAAAATGTAATTGACCTACCCATAAATAAATTTCAAATTCATGTAAAGAATATACTTATGAGTAAAGGCTATTATAAAGTTGATGATTACTTTAAGGATCGCAATGCATGGAATTAATAGCCTTCGCTTTGTTCTATAAAGACTAATTATATGTTCAACTTATGTCCTACAGACTTTGAAAGTTGTATTTACTATTGTGATAAATTGATAATACATATTATTTTGGTAATGACATGATTTATGTAAATGTCATTACTTATGATAAAAAGCTGATAAGTTTCTTTCGCTTGTTCTTCTTGTCAGCTAAAAGACGTCCTGAACAAGTGGTAGGGGAAAAAAGTCTTTTTTGGACGATTCAAAAGTGCTTGTAACAGCCTACTTGAATAAAGATATTTTCATTTCATTTTCTCTATTATATTCGCGTAACCCACGTTATACGTAATTTTCAAACCCATTAAATACCATATTCTAAAATTATCTTTTAGAATAAGGTATTATGATAGGTACATAAATCAAAAGCAAAAGTAATAGACTAAAAAGAAATGGAATTCAGGGATGGGATTCGTTGGTTTTGATAGTCAATAGTAAAAAGCTCTACAAAGCATATTCGTTGGCGTCTTTCAGCGGTAGTATTTATTAAAGGTATACGAAAAAGGATCACGGAAATCCACTCATTGGTCGTGTAGACTATGGGTATCATGAGATATTCGGGTTTGAACATAAATATAAATTATTGTTAAATGATAGTTTTTCGTACTGAAGTACACGTTTATTGTCTAAACTTAAACTGCTAATGATAAATGCTAATGAGTGCATCCGATTCCTACGGCGATTGATTATAATTTAAAATGTGTTTCTGCGACGCGTGTAATGACGTCACAGACGGTGTTCGGTATCAATGCAATGCACCGAACAAGATAGATACCTCAACAATATGGGAATTTCATGTCTATTTAATGAAAAATAAAGAGTATAATTTCTAGGTAAATGAATTTCGCTACATGTGTTTGACATGAACAATTTCCTAAATAATCGATATCAACTCTACATATTAATAGGCATGGGCAAATGGGAAAAAAATATCGATTTATATCGTATAAATATTTTTAAAACTTATCATTAAATATTGACTAAAAAATTTCAATATGTTTATATATCGATATTTTCTGCGCAATAAGCGATTATCTTTTAAAAATTACAAAATATTCTAAATTTTAAAGCAAATACACACCTGGCTGTTTTGACATCAGTTTTATTATTCAAAATAGGTACATAAAGCCAAGAAAACAACATCATTAACTCAATAACTATTACATTATTCAAACAATCCAGTTTTTGTCTGATATTGACATCAGGAGCACTCTCATTGATACCAACCAAATCAACAAGTAGTTTCATAAACAAACAGGTCACAGGCTGTAATTTTTGTTAGTGTTTGAGCCAAATAAACTAAACTCATACAGCCTGTCGCTACCTTCACTTTTTCTAAATTTAAAAAATACATTATGTGACGTATGCGCAGACAGCATAAATTAAAAAAAATATATCGATTTTGAAACGAATTTGATATTTGACAATTAATGAATAACAAAAGCCGATATATCGCAAAAAGAAAATAGATTATTTTAATATTTTTTTTTTAATATCGATATATAGATATATCGATATTTATTCCCCAATCCTACATGTTAACCCTAATGTCAATGTCAGAAATAAACAAAAGTTACGCAAAAAAATAACCTGAAAACACATTATTATTTATTAATAATTGACTATAAATACGTAAACTAACTTAACATAGTTTTACTCGACCTATTTATAACAAGCTTACTGAATTTACTATGAATTTTGTTCGGAAAATATGTACAATAAGGAGTCAAACGCCAAGTACAAATTTCAGCAGGAAATTCCGAATATCTACTAAAAACTTCGAGTCTTCTCAAGCAACTCAACCCCAAGTGCAAGATGACAAGTTTGATTTCGAAGACTTGAAGGTTTTGGAGCGGCAAGAGCGTCGCAAACCTCAAATAAAGCCGTTCATAAAAGACGTCTTTATTTCTGTGTTTAATAAAGAATTATTGGCTTACCCAGAGATTCTCAATAAAGAAGAATCAGAATGTCTCGCTGCACGAGTGTCTGCTCTCGAAAAAGTTTTCTACGATAAGTCAAAAACAAAAGAAGAACGAAAAATGGCACTGAATAAAACGAAAATGTATGCCGCACCAGTTAGTTTGACAAACAATGGCTTAGCAATGAATCACACTGAAAGTTTACAGTATCTTGAAGTTATTGCGAACGATGTCAGCCTCGGGCAGGAGATCAGTGACCACTGGGTGGGCTTAGAAGCTGTAAGAAAGGGCTTAGAGGCTGAACAATATCAACAAATCATTGATGATCTCACAAGCGGTGACAGACCTTTGAAATTGTGTATAAAAGAGAAAATTTCAGAAAGAATAACTCAAGCTGATTTCAGGACATATGCAGAATTAGATAACCAAGGTGTATATATATAAGTATATTTATTCTTTATTAGAAAAAATCCTACTTATAACTCGGTGTCACAACAAGCTACTCAAAAATAAAGATGTCCTACGGAGAGTTATAATTAAAGAGAAGATGCTCTTACTGAAAAACACTCTCCACACCCCACTAAACCTGTAACATATTTGCTGAAGTGATTATCACTGATTGTAAATTAAAACTCTTTAAAAAATGACCTGTCATGGCCCATCCTCCTTAACCATCCTAAGGAAGGCCTGATGATGATGATGAATACGCAACAAAATAGTGGAGTTTGTTAATATTTTTATAAATTTGTGTTAAACATCAAATATTATAATTATTTAATGATTTTTAAAGTTTTAATTTACAATCAGAGATAGGCAAATATGTTGCAGGTCTTACTATAAATAATCTCTAATATTCTAAATTTTAATGTCAATGTTTTAGTTACCCTACCCCTCTGAAATAGCTTGACCAATTCTGATGAAATTTTACATATATGTTCAGTTTGTAGGTTTGAAAATATGTTGTTATCTATTTTTTAACCCCTTAGTGATTGGAAGCACCCTTGGTTCTTTCCAAATTTATATGACAAAACAATGGCATCAACTAGTATTAAAAAAATACTAGACAACATCACATACTTTGCCCAGATTCTAAGAAACTAGCTAATCCTCATATCATGGAGCAGCTGAGACCCTGCAACCTGAGTCAGTATAGAAAAGATCATTATCTATATTAACCTGATTGGGAATCTAACCCAGGAGCTTTGATATGGCAACATCTTGAAACTGGTGTGCGAACTCAGCTATGTCACATATGACTACATTGTCAACATCAAATGAGACCTCACCGTTTCATCATTGTAGTATATCTATATTTTTTACTGCAGGCATTTGGCGAGTGACCGGTGAAAAGGTTGCCAATTCAGATAGCATTAACGGTTATCTCCTGGTGCTGTGTTGTTTAGAGGGGGATCGGATGAAAGCTTTCCTCATACATCCGGATGCCAGTGGAGTTGAACATAACGGTGTTTTTGTGAACTTCAAACAGGCACCAGGTAAGACTACACCTGATTACCCAGATGATGCTCCTTACTGAGGGGCCCAAGGTTTTTAGTGGGTAAGCTCAGTGCCAGATTGGCCACGTAGCAAAAGTCCTGCACAATTGGGAGCTTCGCTATGATCTGAATGCTATTGTATTAATTTTCAAGTCAGTGTTAAAAATGCATGAAACAAAATAAGCTACGCTTCTGCCTAAACTCATGTTTTTATTAAACATTAACTTTAAAAAAAAATGTTTTTGTTATTCAGAAAGCAAAGGACAACTTTCTGTTTCGTTTGCAATGTTACTGATTCTGATTATTCATCAACGTCATTTTTTCTGTTGTTAAACCTTGAAAACAAGAAGGTGAGCGTTGATACTCACATTGTAAGTTAAATTGAGTCTGAACAGTTGTATGTTGTACAGTGGTGGTTACTTTTAAAATGATATGTGATATATCAAGAAAACTGTGTTTATAATAATTTCGTTTCATTTCTATTATACACTTAATTAATTTCAAGCAAACCAGGGGAGGGCAAAAAATTTGCTACATGCCTCGCTCTGGCTTAATCCAACAACAAGTAGACTCCTACTTTTTGAACTATTCACCACTGTAGGTTCACTGTAGCAAATATAGCTGATTTGCCTTACTAAAATTAAAAAGATTCTTGATAGTGCATAATGCCAACACATAGTGTTATACAAAGTACTCGCTTTACTTTAACACACCCACCATACAGACCATACTAATTTTAGTCTTTGTCTATTTGATTTGAAACTTTAATACATTGGGGGTAGAGTTTAAAATCAACTACAGATGTTACTTACTTTACAATATTTCAATTTGTTGCTCACTTAGTATCATATGATGAAAATATTACAATGTGCAAAAGATTTTAAATATTGTATTTGATGAATTTTGTATTCGCAATGCTATATTGGAAAATACTCTTAATGAAAAATGTTTAAAAAAAAACCAGCCCTGGTTACTCTGAAATGGAACTCGAATCTTCGCAATTCCTTGCTCTAACCACTGAGCTACCCGGGACCCAATAGGACTGACGAATTTTTCGAGCACTTGTTACTTTTGACTATTAGTGGGTGTATTTTAATTTCATCAGTGTTCAGACAGTCCACCGAAACTACCGAAAGAATTATTTTTAGTCCCATCTCAGAGTACCTGGGCCTGGTGGTGTTTAAGCATTTTCTCATAAAGATATTAAATATTTTTTTAGCGACCCCTCTTAGTGAGATATCAGAGGAAGAGCTCGCCCGCACGCTAGCGATATCTAGGTTACACGCCGCAACTCTATGTAGGACAGCGTTGACTCGCGCCGTACAAAGTTGCGTCAGCTACATAAGACCTAGAGTATTTTCAGGTATGTCAATAATACTTTGGAGCTATTATATGGCATCAGACATAGTAACGATTCCTGAAACACCACCACCACAAAAAAAATGACAAATTACATTAACCCCACCCGAAATTCCATGAAAATACAGTCGAACATGCAATACAATAGCACGTAAGGTTATACGTTTAAAATCAAATTAATGCTACGTTAATGGTAGATTTGAAAATAAATTGCAAAAATTTTACATATTGTGAATCCCTGACGTGCTGCTGTGTATTTTTTTGTCTACCAGGTGTAACTTGTATTATGGAAATCCTAAACAACGCAGGTACCTCACGACTTAGACCAGAGACAATTTTAAAAAGTCCAATTTTCTTATTGACCTGGCTTGAATTGAACCATATTGAAACTCGGAGGCGTTGCGCGAAACACATGAGGTTATTAAAAAGAAAGATTTTGGAGTTCGGTGGAACAGACGGAATCACGATGGACGAAAAGAGATGTGTTGTACTGAACGGCAACAATTGGCCGGTATGGAAATTCCAAATTACGGTTTTATTAAAGGCAAGAAAATTGTTCGACATCGTTAATGGAAAAAGCATATTATCAAAGGAGGCTACATCAAAAGAGAAAGAGTTATGGGAAGAAAACGATTGTAAGGCGCAGGAGATTTTGGTTACAAGGATCGATGAGCAGGTTTTGACGTATCTATCGTCATGCAACACAAGCCAAGAAATGTGGAATAGACTTATCACTGTATATGAACCTTCTTCACAAGTTAGTGTTCACTTGATTCAACAGCAATTCTTTAACTTGAAGTTTGAGGAGCCCATTTTAAAGTTCATCTCCAGAATCGAAGAAATATCAAGCCAGCTTAGAAGTTTCAATGAAGCACCATCAGACAAAATGATTATAACAAAGATACTGATGACATTACCTGAGAAATATAAGTATTTTGTAAGTGCATGGGAGTCAGTACCAGAAAATCAGCAAAATGTGAAAGAGTTAACATCGAGATTGTTAATAGAAGAGGAAAGGAGTAACAAATCTGAGGAAGGTGGGTCGGGTTCATCGGCATTCCTTATGAGAAATATCAAGAGGAAGATTTCTAACAGTGAAAGTGAGCGTAAGTGTTTTTTGTGTGGTAAAGTTGGCCACTATAAGCGTGACTGTAGGCAAAGAAAATGTTATCGGTGCAACAAAATGGGTCACATAGCTACAGAGTGTAAGCAGCCTGTTAAGTGTTATCGGTGTAATAGAGTGGGACATTTATCTAGAGACTGTAAAACTGCAGAAATTAAAAATAAAAATGATAATGCCTTTTTGGTTCAGGAACCTTTCTTTAAAAATAGTTTTGAATTTATAATGGATTCAGGTGCAAGTGAACATATGACATATAAGAAAGATTGGCTTTCTAATTTTCTTAAAATTAATAAAAAGGTAATTGTTGGGGATGGTAAATATTTAAATGTAGAGGGTATTGGTAATATTAAGTTTTTGGCATTTGATGGAACAAAGTATTTACCTTCTGTAATGCATAATGTTTTGTATGTTCCTGATTTGAAAGCAAATTTATTTTCTGTAACAAAAGCAATTGATCATGGTTATATGTTAAAGTTAAGTAAAAATTACTGTAAATTTATGTCAGATAAAACAGTTGTTGCTCAAGCCAAACGAGTTGGAAATTTGTATTTAATGGATTTTAGAATTCAATGTTTATTTGATAGTTCTGTATTTTTGAGTTTATCTGAATGGCATGAGAGGTTAGCCCACCAAAATTTAAGACATGTAAAAGAGATATTAAAAAGACAGAATATTAAATATGAAGGGCAGATTGATTATTGTAGGTCTTGTATACAGGGGAAACAGCATAGGTTACCTTTCTTTGACAGTAATAGCCGTGCGAATCGACCTGGAGAATTGGTGCATGCAGACTTATGTGGTCCGATGGAAGTGCGTTCATTGGGAGGGTCATCATATTTCTTATTGTTTAAGGATGACTACAGCAATTACGGGTACGTCTATTTTCTTAAAAGTAAGCATGAAACGAAAGAGAGAATTAAAGCTTTTCTTATGCAGTTTGAGAATGAGTTTGAGTGTAAGGTTAAAAGGCTTAGAACAGATGGAGGTGGTGAATTTAAAAATAGGGATTTAGAAATGATACTAAGAAAGAAAGGTATTGTACATGAAACCACTGTAGCATACACACCAGAACAGAATGGAAGGATAGAAAGAGAAATGCGAACAATAGTAGAGTCAGCTAGAACTATGATGATTAATGCTAATGTTGGTAAAGAATTGTGGGCAGAAGCAGTAAGTAATGCAGTGTACACAATAAATAGAACAGGCAATAGTAGCCAAAAGGGTAAAACTCCATATGAACTGTTGTATAAGAAAAGTTATGATATAAATAATTTGAAAATTTTTGGAACTGAAGTTTATGTACACATTCCTAAACAAAAGAGACAAAAGTGGGACGTGAAAGGAATAAAGGGAAGATTTGTAGGTTATGGCAGTTATAGTAAAGGTTATAGAGTGTGGTTTGAAGATAAAGGAGAAGTTGAAATAATGAGAGATGTAGTGTTCTTACATGGAAGATTTAACAAAGAAGAGTTAAAACAAACTAATGAGAAGAAAGTTAGTAGCATGTATGAGAAAGAAGAAAGTAATGAGATAGATAAAAATGAAAAATTGATGGACAAAGGTGAAGGTGAGAGTGAAGAAGAACAATATGAGGAATACATCGAAACTGAAAATATAGAGGAAGAACAGGGAAGAGCATCTAAAGAACAGGAAAGAAAACAAAAACAGATTAAAGAAAACCGAAAAATAACAAAGCAGAGTGACACAGATACAGAATATGAAGAAGAAGAATATTTGGAAGAGGAGTGGTTTAGTCCTGATGAAACTAATGTCAAAGAAGAAAAAGTAAGAAGAAAAATAAAGAAACCAAAATGGACAGAAGACTATGAACTAGGAATGATGGTACAAGGAGAAGAGGAATTAAGTTATGAAGATGCAATAAATGGTAAAGACAGTAAGAAATGGATAGAGGCAATAAATGAGGAGTTAAAAATGTTGAAGAAGAATAAAACATGGATTGAGACTGAGTTACCAAAAGAGAAGAAAGCAATTGATAGTAAGTGGGTTTTCAAAATAAAGAAAGATGGAAATACTAGTGATAAAATATATAAAGCTAGATTGGTAGCAAGAGGATTCAAGCAAGAAGATAAGTTTGATCATTCAGAAGTTTATGCGCCAGTTGCAAAATTACCAACGTTGCGGATTTTAATGGCTATTGTTAGCAAATATAATCTGCATATGGATCAAATGGATGTTAGAAGTGCCTTCTTACATGGAGAAATAAATGAAGAGGTATATCTAGAAAAACCCAGAGGTATGAAAGAAGATGGTAAGGTACTGAAACTTCAAAAGTCACTTTATGGACTCAAAAAGTCACCCAGATATTGGAATATGAAATTTGATCAATTAATGATTCAGGAAGGGTTTATACGTAGTAAATGTGATTATTGCTTATATTACAAAGAAGGTGTTAAATTCTACTTGTTACTATATGTTGATGATATATTGTTGATTGCAGAAAATAAAAGAAGTATAGAGGAAATTAAGAGAGTATTAAAAGGAAATTTTGAAATGAAAGATATGAAAGGTGTTAGCAAGTATTTAGGTATAAATATAAAGAAAAATGAATCAACAATAGAACTTGATCAAGAAGATTACTTAAAGAAAATTTTAAAGGAATACAAAATGGAAGATTGTAAACCAGTATCTACACCTATGGAACCTGGATTGAAAATTTTAAAAGGCAAGCAGTTCAATGAAGTTTTAATAAGAAAATGCAGAAAGCTTATAGGTAGTCTCATGTATGCAATGTTAGGTACTAGACCTGACATATGTTTTGCTTTGAGTTATTTAAGTAGGTTTCAAGGATGTGCAAATGAGGATGTATGGAAGGGTCTGAAACGTATATTGAGGTATATAAAAGGTACTTTGAATGTTAAATTAGTTTATAAAATAGGTTCAGCGAATGTTAGTACTCCACTGGTAGGCTATGTTGATGCAGATTGGGGAGGTGATGATGCAGACAGGAAATCCACATCAGGATTCATTATGAAGGTATATGGTTGTACAGTATCTTGGGCATCATGTAAGCAACAATGTGTTGCATTATTTTCTACAGAGGCCGAATATGTAGCTCTTGCAAAAGGTATTATGGAGGGATGTTGGATAAGAAATTTAATGAAAGAACTTAATTTTGAATGTAACAATGTAACTATTTTTGAGGATAATCAATCTGCAATTCATATAGCTAAAAATCCAGAACACCATAAGAGACTAAAACACATAGATTTGAAATTTCATTTTATTAGGGAGAAAGTAGAGAAGAATATTGTTATGCTAAAATATATTAAGAGTGAGGATCAAATAGCTGATGTTTGTACTAAGCCATTAAGTAAATTGAAGTTTGAAACTTGTAGAGCTAAATTGTTTTAAAGTTTAAGTAAGGAATAGAGAAGTGTTAAATTTAATATTTAGTTTTAGTGATGTAACATTGAGGAAGGGTATTGGAGTAACAATGTCACATCACTAGAAGGATGTTACCATAGAGGAGTAAAAACGATGTAAGATGTCTTCCTACTTAGTCTATGATGTCTTCCTTCGTGTGCGGTGTGTGTTAAGTAAAAAGATGTGAGTCTAAATGTTAAATAAAGAAATATATGCAGAAGATTGGTTTCCGTAAATTCACTATCCTCCATCCATTAATGTAGATATAGTACGGATGGGACGTTTTGAATAAAATCATCTAATGCTGTTAAATACGTTTTACTTAATAAAAACAAAAGTATTTTTATATTACATAACGTCGCGTTAATGTATCGCGAGTAGAAAAAAGAGATAGCATGATTGAAGCCCAGGACCTTAAAGATTAAGATCTCGAAGCTTTCGATCCGGCGTACGAATCATTCTGCCATAAATTTCATTAAGTGAAGAAAATTATCTACTTGCCTTAAAAATGTTTCATTCGTTTTCACTCCAGGAAAACCTCTTTCCGAGCTGTGTACAATTAGATCGATCATCGGGGATGCCTTTATGGATATATACGCGAGTGAGAGCACAGATTACTTCACAACTGGCCTCCTGGATGGTTACGAATGTCCTGATGCTGAAATGGAAGTTGCTATGTGCAGGTGAGGACCTTCAGATGGTCTACCAAGTAAAGGTGCTTTTTTATTTGGCGATGGAACTTGTATTTTTGTAACATGCCGTAGTGAGCGCATTTGGGTAGTCGTTATACTATAAAGTTGTCAACACCCCTATCAATGGTATTAGATAAAGAGAAAGTTCAATAAAATTTGGTGTACCTCAAAGATCGATATTGGGACCGCTATTGTTCTTGTTTATAACAATGATGTATCTGTTACGTTCAAAGATGGAAATCGCTCGTTAAGCTAAAAAAAAAAAGTAGTCTTGGCTGACATGCTATTCGACCTCTACGCGTTGTGACTATGAAAAAAAAAACCAGGACGCGTTCAGAGCATTAATTGGTTTAGTTAGCTGTTTAATTTTACAATGACAATTCGCTTCTGATTCTTCGCCGGCAACTGCCTCGGCAACTCGCTCGCTTTACTCGCTTGGCTTGTGCGTTGTTTGTCATACTCTAACCTATCAAATATAGTTCAATACGCTTCATAGGTTTTGTTCATTGCCCTTTTTCATTGTGATCGAATAGCATGACGATAGATTCCGCTAGGTTGTTATTCTATGAATGCCACAACGCGTCATGAGCGTTTCCATAAGAGCCATAACACTAATACAAAAGTAAAAGAAAAGATTGTAAAAAACACACATCAGTCAGACTAACAAAGATGTTTTTCTAATTGGTTTGGTCTGGGGCCATTACTACTTCGCATGTTAAGGTGAGGGGGGGTGATAAAAAAAAACATAATTAATGTAATAACTGTGCTGTTTCTTTAGGAATTTCATGGTAGATCATGGCATTTCAAACATGCTAAAGTTACTCGCAATACCGTCGCTGGAACAAGAGGAAGAATGCAAACAATTATTAGATGATATACGCCATCTAGCTGCGAGAGGAGAAAACTTGGGCTCCATTAATATGTTCATAGGTAAGTCACAACCATGATTTTTTTTTATTACTCTAGAAATGCGCTTTTCTAAAAACATTCTCCGCAGGGGAAAATATTATTAAAATACTTTTATATTTGTAAGCTTTTCATTACTATATTATGGAATGCAATGAATTATATGGTAAACTAATAGTATTACTGTATGTGTGTAATGAACACTAAATTCCTTCAAAAATGAACTTAGAATATTTCCTCAAACAAACAACCGGTACTACATGCTGAAATTATAAAGGTTTGTTGACTAAAAGATACTCGTATTACCAATGGCGGACCAGGGGGGTGAGGGCGCGGTCCGCCCCGGGCCTCCGGTCCTATGGGGGCTGCAAATGGGCTGCTATCCGCCAAAATAAAGTTAAAAATGTAGAATAAAGTTAAAAATCCATGCGCGAGTGGTGGAGGGGGGTGTAAACCAATATCGAGATTCTGGGCTTCTGCCAGGTTGGACAAAGTTGTCAATCTGGACCTATTGACGCCCCGGGCCCCCGATGAGTTTAGTCCGCTACTGCGTATTAAAACATTTAAAAATGTATATTTGCGTAGATTTTTTTGTATACTTGGCGTTTTTATTTGTTTTGGTTTTCAGTAATTTGTAATATAATATAAATCAATAATAGACGTTTGTATTTCGATTTCATGTGTAATTGTTTAAGGTAAAATGAAATATCCTTATCTTGACTCAGAAATTCTAAAAGATGATTATTTTATTATTACATTGTTTTTTTTTACCTAGCTCTAAACGGTGTCCAACACGCTGGCCAAAACATGGCGTCCGAAATAAAACAAATGAGAAATCCACTTTATCATCCACTGTTTATATTTAAGAAAGTGATGCAGAACAGACATCAGGTAATTAATTTGTTATAATCAGTGATTGAAATGGTTAGATTGATTTTGGTATTAAATGCATATAGAAAGAATAACATGGATAAGACATTTTTTACACAACTGCCCTATGAAAAGGAGTATATTGCATTTAGGGTTATTATTGTATATTTATGTGAGTTTCTTTATTCCAAAATAAAGTTTAAACGGATATGAATGTATATGGTATTATTAAAAACGTTACAGAGTAAGATGTTTCAATTTTAGAAATTGTTTCTTTTCTATAGTTTTCAAAATATATTTAAATATTTTACTTAATTTATGAGAAAACTATTAATACCATATTGTATACACATTTTTCTGGATTTTTGTCTAGCCCTAATTTATATTATCAAATAAACATTTACTTTATATGACTAAACTGTTTTTTGTGCCTGTATACAAATAAATAAATATGGGTTAAAAAATTAATGTCTTGATAAGTGTATTCCAAAAATATTTTATTTGTTTACATATTTAACTGCTCGCTAAAAGGAATAAAACAACAAAATCAATTTAGTAAAACACAACTCTCAATATCGAACTAAAAATAAAAGAAACAAGATTCTCATTCAAGTGGGGGGGGGGGGAGCTCTTAGATTACAAATGTTCCAAAAAACGAAGCAATAACATAAAAATGTTGATCGCAGGAGAAGGATGATCCTAAACTAAACTTGTTCCTGGCGGAACATCTACACCCCTCACTGAGACCGCCGTCGGAACAGCTCGAGTACTGCGTACTGCGCATGAGGTACGCCTGCGAAACACTGTTGGGTCGACATGGAGCTGACGTGGCGTCGGCGTTCAAGTGAGTGGCTGTTTTGTTTTTAACTCAAATTGTAGACTGTTTCGTTGTTTATTGCACTGCTGATACTGTACAGTCAACAGCACAAACTGTAAAATTTCCTGACTCGATTTTAAACCTTAAGAGTTCAAAATCAAAAGCAAAAAAATTTACATATGTGGTAACCTGACTTGCGGCCGTGTGTACATACTGTACATTTATAGTTATTATTTATTTATTAAACCACTATAAAATTTATTTATCTCCAAAAAGTTTATATGTTTCTTTTCATTAATTTGAATTGTCCCACGGAATTAGTGACGTGACATTTCGAACTGTGACGTCACATTTCAATAAACACGAGTACAGCTGCACTCGCAACAATAACATTGATGTTTAGTTCATTGAAATGTGACGACATACGATGCCTCGGTTCTTGTAATCAACATGTTATAAATCGCAAGTTATTTTTTTTTAAATAAAAAATACTCCATAGTTAAATATAAGTTACCGTTTCGAATATATTTCATTGTTATAACTATCAAGTAGCCAATTAGGATGTGGCGCTGTACTTATTCTCTTCATGGGGTTAGAGCAGAAATAATGATTTACCCCCTTTGAGGGCAAATTTTATACTGAGCTTTGGCCCTTTTGAGCTTGGCCCAGTACATCATAATAACAATATTAATATATATAACGGCGGGTAGTCCGAATGGGCTACTACGAAGCCCAAATAGATCGTCCATATCGGAGGACTATCTTTAAAATAACACTGCAGGCGTGTATACCAACGTGGATTTGTTCCATTTTATCACTTTTCATACGAAAATATAACGAGATGAGCGTGATCTCGTCGGATGTCTTTACTCCTCGGCGATCGGAAACAGAATGTGTGCCAAAATGGCGGCAACTTGGTTTTTATAAACGAACTGTCAAAGTCAGTGTCACCATTCTAATAAAATTAAAGCATCGATGATCACGCTCTCTTTACAATCGAGTAATTAAGTAATCGAGTAACTAGCAATTAACATAAAAGAAACTAAATCAAACGATCTTCGTAAAGATGATGCGACATATAAAAATTATGTAATTATTATATACTGCTGCACAATAAAGTTTGAGCATTCTTGTAATCGATTAGTATTAATACAAATTATGTAAAAAAAAGAATCCATAATAAAAATAGAAGTGGGTTTTTCGTATTCTCATTAAAATATAACTCAATTTATGTATTAATATTTATAATTTTTCCATTACAGTGAACTAAACAGATTGGCAATAGCCGGTACTGAAATATTGGCTATGACAGCGGTGTTAGCGAGAGCCTCGAGGTAATGCACACTCTATTGTTATTGTAATAAGAATCAAATCCCTTCAAGTCGTAATAAACACATTAATACATACTATTTGACTTATATTCCATAACATACATATTAATGGCGGTTAAACTTAAACTTTTTTTAGACTTTTCGTAGAGTAGAAGATTAAAAGATGGCCATAAAACAAGAACAATGCCATCCAACGATCGATTACGAAATAATAACAGCGCCATCTCGGAATTATATTTATAATAATTAGGTATATCTTTAGGACTAATCTGACAGTTGTCATCACAGTGACGTCACACAATGGCGTCTCATCAAGTGTTTAAAGTCACGTGACATATATACAAAATATCAAGACTTAATTTTAAAATAATAAGATAACCGTGCTGTTATACCTTTCCTTAGTTTGGCTTATAGCAACTGCTAAGTTAGTCAGCAGTCTCTACTCAGAGCTTCTATAGTAGTACTTAAATAATAGTTCAGTCTGATTTCAATACCCATCCAGAGTGGTTGTCTAGGATCCTTTGATCCTCGCATATATAGATATATTACATAAATCGTCGCGAGTGAAATATTTGTTTTTTTTTTAAAGCCGTTTAAAGGCTATCCTTATAACAGTGCGATTTTATGACTATGTTTATAACTATGTAAATTTTAGGTTTCGTGCAATATCGTGACCTATTTTCCACTACCGAAACTACCTTATTGCGAAACCCATGAAATATTTACAGTCGGGTCATTGTGCCCTTCTAAAATGGGCATTATCCTTTATTTGTAAAATTGAAAATTTGTATCCAAAATCTACAGTTTTAAAATAAACATATGAAAAGTGTGCAATGTTTTTTCGTAGATCTTACTGCATTGGCTTGCGAAACGCCGAATTGGAAATGAAATTGGCTGCGTGTTTCGTCGAAACGTCGAAGGACAAAGTTCGCAGATTGATCAAGGAGATCGACGACGGCGAATATCTGAATCTGGACCACTTCAGGGTGCAATTTGGTAGAAAGATGTTGGACGCCAATGAGAGATTGACAGAGAAGCCCATAGCGAAAAGTTTTTGGTAGACTAATAAATAATTAGAATAATATATGAGATTTTATTTGTATCCTAAAATACCTTCACTATAAAGGCCAACTGAAAGTAAACCTTCGACTCTTTTTACTAATAGTTTTACCGCGCTAACTAGTACGAGTCTACTCTACAGCAAACGCTTTTTATTTATTTATTTATTTAGTACACCAACGATTGTTACATTAATTTGATTTAGTAAACTAACTTAAATTAAATTTGCTGAATGTACAATCATTTACAGGTGAACATCTCATGCAAAAACTGAAATAAACATTTACTTAGTTTACGGATCACACAATTTCACTCCATGAAAAACAACTAGGAAACAGTTACAAAATAAAAAAAACAAGGAAAACATACTTAATACACTGATACATTGAGAGTTGAACAATTATTTAGACACCAATTTAGGTTTAAACTGGAATAGAGACATCCCATTTACATCAAGGGAATCACTATATTTGTTAAATAATCTACCAATTCTCGATACTGGTGAATTTACACCCAGAACCGTTCGGCGAAACGGACGCATAATTGGTTTGATTGGCTTGCGTGGTATATGGTACGGTATCCTGAACTTAAAAATCTCTAACAATGTAGGACAACGCAATTGGTATCGCATAATTTTATAGTAGAACGTTATATCTAACATGTCTTTGCGTTTGTCTAAGTTGTGTAATTTATAAAGGTTAAACTTAGTGTAATTTAGGTGTAATTTATAAACAGCTGCTCGTATGGTAGTGACTTTTTATCTCTATTGTGGGTGAATGACAAATATTTCGTCAATCTTTTCTGTATGCGCTCAATACGTAATAATGTGTATGGCATAATGTGGACGCCAAATTGTACTACCATACTCTAGAATGGATCTAACTAGGCAGTAATATAATTTCAGTTTTGTGGATGGATTTTTGAACATTTTGCTATTCCGCATGACAAACGCTATCTTCTTTCTCTTTCTAACCAAGTGTCAGCCGTAAGCTTAACTTCGATACTACTTTAATGATCTAATACCTCATACGAATAAAACACGACACTTGAAGCCCTATGATTTCTACAAAAACGAAATTTCGTCTATTTTCGAAACGGTAGAATAACTAGCTAGTGAGTAGCTCGGTGGTGTAGTGCAACTTTCGCAAAGGCTGGTCACGGGATGGGTGACCAAAAAATTATTATCTCAAGTTACTCCGTACTTTCGGAGGGCACTTTGAGTCGTTGCATTTACAGTGGTTAATACCCTCCAAGTTAATACGAAAATTCGGATAATTTCGAATAGTTCTTATAATTTTTGCGACAGTCATATTGATCAAGAAATAAATACCAAATTTCATACTTTTTAATTTATTGATATTCGGACTTATAAATATGTATTTGTTAGACAAAAATTGTAAGTAACATATATTTTTCCTTATTATCAAATTCTTGACTAGTACTACATGTTTATTTTATAGATCATTTTAATATTACATATACCCACAACTCTGCAGCTATTCAATATTCAACTTTACTTTCTACATGTAACGGTAGAAATTAGTAGGTACAATGATAATCTTTATTATTAAATATCAAAACACTGCAATCCATACAACAGATTCCTTATTCCTACAAAGTTGAGCCTTAATGCGAACGTATTAAGGTCTAAATTTACTCTTCGGATAAACACTAATATAAGATACGCCCGCTTTGTCAGAAGAAGGCTTAAAATTATCCCCAATAGTGACACCTTTTGCCAATTTCCCCCTCTCATCGTCATCGAATTTGACGACTTTGGTGAGTTTGCCGAGTTTCTTGCTTTTCTTCCTTATTCGTAAACCGGTTTTCTTCTCTGTGTTCTTCGTTGAGTCATCTGCTTTCTCTATTTTGGCATCAAATGCTTGAACTTTGTTCTTTTCTTTGCGTTTGTAGTAGAAAACCTCCCAAGCTAAAGTAAGCATTGCTAGGCCTAGACCGAACAGAGTTGCTATGAAGACACCACCTGATTGAAAAAGAACACTTTGATTTTAAGATGTTCTATGAGATTGACGCGTTACAACAAACAAACATCAGCAGGTCAATGGGGGGCGGGTTCTAAATAGGCTGCCACCATCCGCCAAATTTATAATATTTTAATAAAAATGCTGTTAATTCTTCTAATGTTTACACGTAATAATCACATTTCAATTAAATGTCACCGATTTGCATTTACCATTGTACTATCTACCTGAAGTCTATATTATTAGTGTTATATCTTCCTCTTATATCAATGGTTATAGATATATAATAATATTGGAGTTTGGTACATAGTACAATAGCAAAAAACAAGTAGTTGAGATTTAATGAATAATAATAAAGCAGACTCTTTAGTTTAAGAACTGTGTTGCAGCCACAAACTACCACTTCAAAATGTTTGATAACTCAAAATTAATATTAATTCAATGTATATGAGAGTGTGAGTATGCATATATGACAATATGAGTATGTGTTTATGAGAGTATGAATACTCATACTCTGTTTGTATTCGCGATTCCGCAATGCTTCACAATACGTTTGCTCAAATACAACTCTTTAACAAGTCCTCAATATCAATATAGGACAAAGTTGGGTAGACATAAGCAAATTTGGCCTATAGATTTATTTATACTAATATTATAAAACTGAAGAGTTTGTTTGTTTCAACGCTCTAATCTCAGTAATTATTGGTTCAAAAAATTATTTTTGTGTCCAATAATAAATTTATAATAATAAAAGGCTAAACTGTGGTTCGTGGTTCATTGGGGGTTTGAAAATAGGCTGGATCTATAAAGTACCTATAACAAATAGGAGAAAAGCAGTAATAAGAAATATAAAATCATCGGTTAGATTAATTTCAATAGATAAAAACATTCACCTAAGCTTTCCAAAGTGATGCCCTCTGATTCATCTGCATCTGGGCACGCTTGTCTCGCTGATTCATTCCAATATCTGTAAATATATTCTAAATATTATCTCCAAAGTATCATTGACACCCATTTTCACTAACCTAGACAAGGCATACCTTAAATATGGAACGCCTAAGCAGATTAGTTTAATTCAAATAAAAAAGAAAATCTTTTATCCTTTGTGACTGTCATAATACTCAAATGCCTAGCGCAAGGTACCGCATGCCATATATTTAGAGATTGCTTAATATTGTTAGGTGATTTCTAGTCATTCTTGAAATGCATAGATAAATAAAAAATAAATAAAATTTGCTTATACCAAACAAGTATGTCACCATAAAATTGTAAGCAGTTTCAGATATATAACTCAAAATCGAAAAAAGGACACTTTAATCAGGCAGCCTTGCAACCGTCGATAGTATAAACGTCGCGACAAGTACTTAGAAGCCAGCTGTTCTAGAAATCTCTCTTTCTGCAAGTCCAGCAGTGCCCTGGATAAGTGCTCCTGCAACCTGGAGCCCTGCTGTATCGCCACAGCGTAGGGCTGCTCCGCGAACACCTCCCCGACTTCGGTCAAATTGCAGTTGCGTGTCACTTCGTATCTGCGTATAAAATAAAATAGGGAAGAAAAGTAAATTATACCACGTTGTTCTGTAATAAACATATAAAAAAGCTTTGTTTTAAATTATGTGTAGACAGCGGGAAGCGTCTTTATTTGATACTATGTAGGTACATATAAATTATAAATTATTACGCCGTTATTCTATAAATATTTCCATGTGTATACCCAACTAGCTTTCCGCCAGCGGCTTCGTCCGTGAGGTCCCTAGCGAACTATTTAGTGGGATAAAAAATGTGGGATAATTCTATTATCTAAGTCAGCTAATACCCTATCTGTATACCAAGTTTTATCAAAATCCGTTCAGTAGTTTCGGCGTGATTGACGGACAAACATCCAAAGACACTTTCACTATTATAATATTAATAATAGGATACCGCGTTATTTCCCATGTTTAATAAGCACACGTTTATCTTACTTTATCTCTGCTGAATCATGTATGAACGCAAAATCGGCGTCGGTGTGTTCGTTTACTTGGTCGAAACCAGTTTTAGCGTCCGGAACAGGACCTGTGAAATAAAATGGATCTACAAAAGTCATACTAATTAATGATATTTCTCACTTACAAATCATTACTTCAATTGAATTTCGGACATAATTTTATCAGTTACCAAGCGAACGAAGCTTTGATTTTAATAGGATTATTAAAAAAATATAATAGGATAATTAAAAAAATAGTTTCTTATGGTCGTGTTACGCGCTATATTTATTTATTGGTCTAATCAGTTAACCAGTAACCACAATTATAGGGTATATTGTTAGTATTTTTCTTGGGCTCTTCGTTACAAGGTACAGAGGACGTAAGACCGCTGTGGATATAATACCTGATGCGTTAATAGCTAGAAGTATGTGTCCATACTGCTCCCTTATTGGATAATCCCATACTCTATATTGAGCTTGATCAGATGTAGCATTCAGAGTTATCTCCTTCCAAACTCTACAAATGAAATATAGTCTTTATAAGTATTTGACCTGTTCTAAGTTAAAAATGGGCAAAATATAGTCATAAACATTTCCAGAATCTAGAATTTCCTAATCTATCCGCTTCTATGTCATCATTTGCTAGCCACATTCCCAAAGACGAAGTAAAAAGAACATTAGTTCCCGAAATCAAACTAGATGTCGCTATGGTACGTTCTTGATTTCTCCATGACAACCATTCCGGTTTTCTTTCATGTATAAAAGTAAATTAGTTTTCAAAACTCAATAAACAACTCATAATCTATTCGTAATCTTTCGTATTTGTATTGATATCTAAGTTTCGAACTTTACAAATTTCAGTTTTTTAATATTTTAATTAAGAGGAACGGAAATGACTGTCATTAGTCCATTCGTTTCCTGCAAAAAACTTTTGCTAGAATTGCCATCTGGTGGATGTGCTTTTTTGTGCTATCTTTTTTTTAATACTTCATCATTGTTTATTTGGGGTCTTAGTGCCTATATATATTCTTCTTGCATACATCTCGAGTTGCAGTCATCTCAACATTCACTCCTTACACATTAGAGTATTAAACCAAACCCTAAGCTTACACGTGTCATCTTTCATGCAACCTATCCATATTTTATTCGGTCTTCCTCTCCCTTTCCATTCGGAAGGTCCATTTCCCAAAATGTCCAGTTCCCAAAATATCGAATTCCATCTATCTAAATATCGAACAAATAATATGCAGCAAGATAATTCTTGGTCTATCTTAAAAATTTTAACCATTAACAACTATAATAGGTATGGTATACCTTTTGTAAAACAGAAAAGCGGTACTGATGCACAATTGAGCGTAAGAACTCGATGGCGTCATAGCAAGCGCATCCGGTGTGCAATGCGGATGTTGAGACATTTTTGTAAGGACCGGTAACCAAAAATTTATTATACACACGTTGTTGGCCTCGGTTGCGTCTGCAGTGGTAAACACTCACAAGCCCGCACTGGCTGCACTAGGATACTCTTTCATCCAATTACATTCCATTGATAGGGAATACCTGTGCTGCTCCAGCAGTGGGGGGACATTGAATGTACCTGTATAAAGTATCTTCAGCGAACTTCATATTGATGAAATATTGATGTATAGTAGACCCCTCTACCACTGTATAATTGATTCTTGACTGTCGGGCCAGCTGTTCCAGCGATGAAACCGGTGTCTGAACAATGGAACATTAAAATAAAATTATTAGTTATACCACGGCTTGAGTTTACAACAACGGCTTACAACGGCTTGACCACTTTATCTATCTATCTATAAATCGAAAGTGAGTGAAGCGAGTCCCTTACAACAGCGAGCCGTACAGAAATATTAAGGACGGATCGAGCAAGTGAAATGAATCCCACCATCATACAACAACTCAGTACCGTCCATGAGCAGTACCGCACTCTGTGTTAGCTTCGCTCGCCTTTCATAGTATAGCACACTAACGAGAATAAATGCATTATTGCGTATGAATTTGTACGTTGGAAGACAACCATTAATGATATGGTTTGTTTCACTGAAAATATTGCGTTCGGCAGAGTGAGTTTACCTCACACCACTTTGATATCTAAGTTGTCCAATTAGGATATTATGGACACTCTTTTAAGCTGGCTCGAATCTTATCTTATGGAGAGATCTTTCTGTGTGGTGTTGAAAAGCTTTAAGTCGGCCGTATATCCATACACATCCGCGATGCCACAGTGTTCACGCTTCATAATAATTTATTGTCAAATACAAGTATCAGTATCAGTTCTGTATTATTCAATATCCATGGGAGTGATATACCTGACCATATATCAAGGAGACTAATCCGTTTATGTATGCAGATGACTTGAAAATTATGAAATTTTTAAATCAGTAGCAGATGTGCATCATTTGGACAGGCTGAGTGGAGCAATCCTCGCTGGATTCCACGTCCATCCCCCAAAAGTGATGATATATTGGAGGAAGGCAGTCCCACGCCCCCCTGTCGCCTGTCAAGCGGCAGGGATAGTGCATAAAGCTTTAACCATACGACACAATATAAAAGGATTTGCACAGGCTAAACCTATAGTAGGTAGAAAACATGTAGTAAATAGAGTAGGACGTAGTTTCTCAAACCTAACAAAAGTGTCTATATTCTTAATGAATATGTGAAAGGTCGTGAGTTCTAGTCCAATCTCAAAATACCTAAGGCTGATGGATTTTTTTAAGCATTTTTCATTAAGAATAATTTCCGGTATAGCATTGTGATTGCAAAACATATCAAAAATAATAAATGTGTCTTTATTAACCGAGACAACAAGTGCAGATGTGTTTGTTTATATAAAATTTTGCAATAAGCTTATTAATATACCGAAATAGTACTACATTAAGCAATATTGTATTTATTGCGGATCTTCCTGATCTTGAATAGATTGCACGTCACTAGCCGATGCTGGACTATATAATAAAACTTCACCTCATATTATCATTTAATTAGCTTATTTAAACGACAAAACTGCTTGGAGTTAAATATGGCTCATTTTTCATGTATATTAAATTGTTTATCGGTGAGCTTCTTTGGCTACACATGTGATTCGATTGACTTAAATACTGTTTTACTCTTATATTTTCTAATATTGTAATGGAAAGTGACTTCATATTTTAATGAAGTCAATTTTCGATCGACACTCTGCATGAAATTAAACAGGGAGAAAAAACAGCATTTGCTGAATTCCTTGCCGGTTCTTCTCGGTACAAGGTCTCCCGCCGTAGATTTACGAACCGTTGGCGTAGCTCTCGACTTTCACAAGTGGTTGTAACAGCCTGGACTGAATAAATAATTTTGATTTTGATTTTATGACATTAATTTAAACTATGTTAACACTATAGGAAATAATACACTCTCAGGTGGAATCATTTAATCTTACATACATATACTTAGAAATACTTTCCATGAATGAATGTATGAATGAATAAACACTTTATTGTACACCACAAAGAAAAACATCCATATACTGTCAAAGATCGCTCTTAGGGCCCCACAAAAACAACTCAGGTTCAATCCTTTATTATATTTACCCCCAGCTTTTTCAAAATTTCGGCAGAATTCCTTTCTGTGGCGTGCGTGCAATAGATTTAATGAGTTATCGAAGCGAATAAACGTCGACCTTTTTAACACTAGCGAAGCGTCAATTAGGCGCATTATAAGTAACCTATTTTTTGAAACTCCATAGTGTTGTAGATTTAAGTATAATGTAAGCAGCATAGTCTATCATTGTTATGATTGTAAGCGGTCTTTCTTCTCTTTTTTCTTTTTTTTTATACTATGTCTATCTGTGACGACCTGTAAGTGGCTGTCTGTTTTTAGCTAAGATTTTTATTATGTAATTTTTAGCTGTTGGTCATCCATGTACATAAATAAACATAAATAAATAAATAAATATACATTATACGATCATAATCAATTCGATGAGAAGTGCGTCCATAACAGTATTGTTGTTTTAATAGTTGAGAATAGTTGTTTGTTTTGTTATACAAAAATAGTTTTAAAAAATTGCATACGTGACTGATTTTGTCCCCATTAGAGATGACGCCTGGGTTAAAAAAAAAGAAATTCTATTTAGTCCCTCAATCAGATAATAGAAAAATATTAGATACGTATTTTTTTGCTTCAATTTAAACAAGAAATTAGATAATAGGCATTGAAGTTGAGAAGTTTCGCCGTTAAATAAAAGAATACGTATTAAATATTCTTCAAAACAAACACTAAGATGAATGCCGTTACCTGCATCCTCTCTACTGTGAGGAATGCGGCCAGGTTGGCGGTGAACGTGGCCAGCATGAGTACCACAAACAACCAGTATGCTGCCACCAGCGTCCTCCCGGACAACGCCTTGGGCGCTTCGCCGCCGCCTTGAGGAGTGAACGAAGTCAACGCGAACCAAAAACTTTCTTTGAGCGTGAATTCTCTGTGAATGTATAATATTACTTAGTATCTGTGGCTGGGTATGAGTCCCAAGTATACTACGCTCAATCCGTGTAAACCTGTAGATCATGGGTTTCCAAACTTATGTCGTCTACTGCCCACATCGAGAATAAAAGCGCCCCAATTTTTGCTTTCAACATAAAAATCATTATAACTTCAATTAATTCTAAATAAGACTTAAACGGAGCGACCGATTGACATGAAATTTATTTTATTTATTCAATAAAACAGGACAGATATATTCGTACATTATAAATTACACGGACTGAAATATAGGATCGAGTTTTATGAGAAATTAATATTTTTAGTTGATGTTCACAACTTGTAATAGTAGTCGATAGTCGAAAGCTGTCGAAGGGTCCTCGTAGATAAAATTACAAATCGTCCCTAAGCCTCTACACAACGCCCTTATTTTTCTTCTAGGTATCTTACCGCCCCCTTTAGGCCTGCAGCACCCACAAGGGGGCTTTATTGCTCGGTTTGGGAAGGGCTGCTGTAGATAAAGTGGTACATTATAAATAAGCTTGGTTCATTACGCTCACCTGCACGGATACGGATACGCGTCAGGATTGTTCCGTGCTGAGTATGGTGAATATTTGTCCAGGAACCAGATCATGAACCCGGTGAGTATCAGCGCGGCGACAATACTCAGCCACACCTCAGTGCGTAATACTGTCATGAACTTGAACAGCGACGTTTTCCGGATAGGTTTACGGATCGCTATAACATTGTGTTGTTCTATGAAAATCTGAAACATTGAAGGTACCACGGCACCCCCACTCAAGACAAAATAGGAAAGTTCATTTTCTATATTAACACGTCCGGGAATCAATGCCGGGACCTTAAAGACGGTGACTTCTTAAAACCGGCGTGCCTTTATATATCCCCTACCATCTACGAGGGTCAAACTGAAAGTTCTTAGAACTGGCCACTTATAAACAATATAATAAAAAAATAATTCTAAAATTTGAAAATATAACTCTTTGCCAATATTACTGAGTATATATTTCATTCATTTGTCATTTGTTTTACGATTTGGCGGCAAATTGAAAATTGTCTGTGTCACGTCATCATGAATTTAACACGAGAAAATTTTCGTGCAATGATTTTTTATGACTTTCGATGTCATTTAAGTCAACAAGAAAGTTATGATAGACTACGATTGGCCTTTCACGATGAAGCCCCATCTCGTGCGACTGTTTACAACTGGTTTAATGAGTTTAAACGTGGTCGCACTAATCTCACTGATGATTTACGTGAGGGACGGCCTTCTACGGCGACGACTGAAGATAACATCTGTGTTGTGCGGCGTATGATAGAGACTGACAAAAGAGTGACCTATCAACAGATTCGGACAAGCTTAGGCATCGGTATGAGTCAAGTGCACAAAATCCTCCACGAACATTTAGCGGTCAGGAAGCTTTGCGCCCGGTGGATACCTCATAATTTGACTGAGGCTCAAAAACTCCATCGTGTGGATTGGTGTCGTAAAATGATTGAAAGATTTAACGGAGGTGACTCAAATGCTGTGTTCGACATACTAACAGGTGACGAAAGCTGGATTTACTGTTATGATCCAAAATCCAAAAGACAATCTGCTCAGTGGGTGTTTCCTTTCGAGGAGTTGCCAACTAAAGTGAAGAGAGATCGAAGTGCGGGAAAAAAATGGTGGCCTCGTTCTTTGGAAGGATAGGTCATTTTGCAACAATTGTGTTAGAGGATCAAAAAACAGTTTCTGCAGAATGGTACACTACCAATTGTTTGCCACTTGTCTTGGAAAAAGTTCGAGAGAAACGACCTCGCAGTAGGATCCTCCTTCACCACGACAACGCCTCGTCGCACACCGCCAAGCGAACGATCGACTATTTGGCGACATCAAACGTTGAATTACTGGGTCACCCGCCGTATAGCCCCGACCTCGCGCCTTGTGATTTTTATTTATTTCCAAAAATTAAAGAAAAACTTAAAGGAAAGCGGTTTATGAATGCTGAAGAAGCGGTGGCTGCGTATCGCGATGCCATTGAAGAGACCCCTAAGGACGAGTGGGCAAAGTGCTTTTCCCAGTGGTTCCATCGCATGCAGCGGTGTATTGACGTGAATGGACAATATTTTGAAAAGATATAATAAAACTAATAACTGGCTAATGTAATCAGTTTTTGATTTTCTAAGAACTTTCAGTTTGACCCTCGTATAATAACTACATCATGTTAAATTACTCCATATATTTTTACACCAATCGATAAAAGCTTAATATGTTGATAATTACGTTCAAAGTTTAAAATTGGTCTTTTGTATCTTACTTAACACAACATTACAAAGTCAAAGTCAAAATAATCTTTTTTCAAATAGACTTCTTAAAAGTACTTTTGAATCGTCCAACATTTTTTTCCCTACCACTCGTTCAGGACGTCTTTTGGCTGATAAGAAGAACGAGCAAGAAACTCACCAGCTCTAATAAGAGTAATGACATTTACAAAAACCATGTCATTACCAGATCTATACATTATAAACAGAGATAGAGAAAAAATAAATAAATATGGTCTTATAATGATAACATAATCATTTAATAATAATGGAAACAAGATAATGAGTTTAGAAGTAATCACCTATCCAGTTGCTGAATCATCTCAAGTCCAAGCGTTCTTATCTGTTATATAATCGGATACCTTATAATAAGCTTTTTTATAAGTATTTTTGTAATAGTAGATTTAAACTACATGATATCTAATTGTTGTATTTTGCTTGGGACCTTATTGTAGAAGCGCACACAAAGACCCTTGAATGAGTTATTAACTTTTTGCAGTCTAGTGACAGTCACCGTTAATTTATTTTTATTTCTTGTATTAAAATTGTGTACATCACTTTTTATAGAAAACAAACTAATATTTTTACGAACGTACATTAAGTTCTCGTATATGTATTGAGAAGCAACAGTCATCATGTCTATTTCACCTAACGCATCATGTGAATCCTCCCAGGCATTAAAAATTTCTTGTATTAACTCGACACCGGCTTCGGTTGTTGAGCGACCCCTTGTAAAACCAAATTGTTGTCGATTCATAAGCTTATTCTTGTAAAAGTACGTTTGTATTTGATCCAGCATGATTTTTTCAAAAATCTTACTAAACGTAGGTAGCACGGATATAGGTCTAAAGTTAGTAGGGTCAGATGTGCTACCCGATTTATGTAAAGAAATAATTTTACTATATTTCATGAGCTCAGGAAAAATACCACAATCAGTACATTCATTAAATATATAAGCTAAGATTGGAGCTATTGTCTCAATTACCGATTTAGAAACCTCAATGGAATTACCCCATAAATCAGCGGTTTTCTTTTTCTTTAGCTGATTAAAAGATTTTATTATATCTTTAAAATCAATGTGTTGAAACTTAAATTGGCTATTACAATTATTTAAACTTGCCTTTAAAATAGATTCAGCAACAGTGGAAGAGGAATTCAAAAATTGTGTTATTAAGACTGGACTACAAAAAATTTAATATCATGCTTCTTAAAAATAATTTTGTGAATACACCAAATTACCAATATTCAAAAAAAATATTATATTTTGCACTAAAATATAAATAGGCACAAGGCAATTCCTCCTTTTCCAATTTTGATTTGATTGAAAAATATGCTATCGTTTGTTTTTTCGCTTATATGGTAATATAAAATACTTATTTTGTATTGATATAGAAACCAAACCACAAACTCGATTTTTATAAAAAAATTATGGGACCACGAACGACGAACTTATTTTATGGGACGACCAAGAATTTTGAAAATTGGTCAACAATTCACGGAAAAACCGATTAATAAAAATACGTCACCTCTAACTAGATTCTGTATTAAGTGAATATATCTCTTACCTATAAGAATACCCGTTTGCTCAAAATATGGCGCCACGAAGTCGATAACTTCTTCTCTTTCCGCCGTCATTGTTAACGCTGCTACAGCGATATCCGTTTCCTAAATGCACAAAAACAATAGTCAGTCACAATATAAGACGTGACATCTCTGATGAACAGAGGTCGGAATTAGGTAGTTATTTATGTACTTGCATCGAAATGTTGATATTAATGTGGACCTTCGTGGCAACATCGCGCGTATTGGTATTTTGCAACTTTGGACATCCGATGTCATTGATGTAAGTTTGGCAACGTCGTGCGTGCAGTAGTTTAAGTTGTGTAAAAGCAAATAACTTTTTATTTAAAAAATCACGGGATTTTTTCTGCTCTTTAAAATTAATCTCGGGATTTGAGGCATATCCACTTTATTCTTTCGCTGTATGAAATCAGTGTAAGTACATGAATAACTCTACCTAATTCCGACCACTGCTGATGAATCACAAAAATAAGAGGCGAGATCCGTAAAGAATCCGCTCGATCCGACCTTAGTATTTGTGTTCGGCACGCTATTGTTAGGTACTCGATTCACTTGCTCGATCCATCCTTAGTATCTGTATTCCTCTACCTTTTATTACTTTGATATTATTGAACAAACAGTATTAAAATAAACTCACCCCAGTCATTAGATCGCCCACTACACCGTCCCACGAACCATTAGGTAGCTTTCGACCGAAAGTGCCAGATTTCGGGGTAATAATTTCGTAATCAAAATCCATTGTCTGAAAAAAATATTTCTTTGCAATTTAATACAATAAACGCGAAAGTTTAAAAGTTTATATTATACGAGGGTCAAACTGAAAGTTCTTAGAACTGGCCACTTATAAACAATATAATAAAAAAATAATTCTAAAATTTGAAAATATAACTCTTTGCCAATATTACTGAGTATATATTTCATTCATTTGTCATTTGTTTTACGATTTGGCGGCAAATTGAAAATTGTCTGTGTCACGTCATCATGAATTTAACACGAGAAAATTTTCGTGCAATGATTTTTTATGACTTTCGATGTCATTTAAGTCAACAAGAAAGTTATGATAGACTACAATTGGCCTTTCACGATGAAGCCCCATCTCGTGCGACTGTTTACAACTGGTTTAATGAGTTTAAACGTGGTCGCACTAATCTCACTGATGATTTACGTGAGGGACGGCCTTCTACGGCGACGACTGAAGATAACATCTGTGTTGTGCGGCGTATGATAGAGACTGACAAAAGAGTGACCTATCAACAGATTCGGACAAGCTTAGGCATCGGTATGAGTCAAGTGCACAAAATCCTCCACGAACATTTAGCGGTCAGGAAGCTTTGCGCCCGGTGGATACCTCATAATTTGACTGAGGCTCAAAAACTCCATCGTGTGGATTGGTGTCGTAAAATGATTGAAAGATTTAACGGAGGTGACTCAAATGCTGTGTTCGACATACTAACAGGTGACGAAAGCTGGATTTACTGTTATGATCCTAAAACCAAAAGACAATCTGCTCAGTGGGTGTTTCCTTTCGAGGAGTTGCCAACTAAAGTGAAGAGAGATCGAAGTGCGGGAAAAAAAATGGTGGCCTCGTTCTTTGGAAGGATAGGTCATTTTGCAACAATTGTGTTAGAGGATCAAAAAACAGTTTCTGCAGAATGGTACACTACCAATTGTTTGCCACTTGTCTTGGAAAAAGTTCGAGAGAAACGACCTCGCAGTAGGATCCTCCTTCACCACGACAACGCCTCGTCGCACACCGCCAAGCGAACGATCGACTATTTGGCGACATCAAACGTTGAATTACTGGGTCACCCGCCGTATAGCCCCGACCTCGCGCCTTGTGATTTTTATTTATTTCCAAAAATTAAAGAAAAACTTAAAGGAAAGCGGTTTATGAATGCTGAAGAAGCGGTGGCTGCGTATCGCGATGCCATTGAAGAGACCCCTAAGGACGAGTGGGCAAAGTGCTTTTCCCAGTGGTTCCATCGCATGCAGCGGTGTATTGACGTGAATGGACAATATTTTGAAAAGATATAATAAAACTAATAACTGGCTAATGTAATCAGTTTTTGATTTTCTAAGAACTTTCAGTTTGACCCTCGTATATTATCGAAGCAATAAAAATACGCACAAGGATTATGATCGTTACATTTAATAATATGAAATATATAAAACAAGAATTAGCTCCAAAAAAACCGACCTCCTAGAAGCTTCAAGAATTTGGGAATTTCCTTGAACTTAAATTGTTTATTAGCGATAACGCGACTGATTTTTGGGAATTTCCTTGAACTTAAATTGTTTATTAGCGATAACGCGACTGATTTTACTTTATATTTTGTTTGTAATTTATATTTTCTTTTGTTTATTGGTGTTTGTCCAAGGATAATGTTTTAAATCATTCTTCAAACACTTAAATACGCAAAATTAAGTTTATTTTCCAAAAAAATCTTCCTAGTTTAACCTACCTAATTAAAAGAACATTAAATATCGATGTTCGTCACTTCTGATATGAGTTATGTTGTTTAAACTATCACCCAGTGGTCGAAATTCCTAGTAAATATATGTACTGAATAGAATGCTATATTCTGCACATCTTCATCATATAACTTTAACTAACCGACTCAAATTCAATTTTCCTCCAACTGCGTAATTTACGTTAAAATAGTTACAAAGTTTTCGCTATATCGACATATCCAACCTCTGCTAATTTATCGATGAGATCAACACAGTAACCTTCATACAAAGGTTGGCCGTCCTCGTTCACCATTTGCTCCCCACTATCAGGATCTAACTTCGGTATAGTCCAAGGCACTGCCTAAAACGAATGGAAAATTATGTACAACTTCCTAATATTACATCGTGACCATCCAGGAGTATTCTAGAAAATTGTTAAACTTTTCTTATGTTCTAGTGCGGATTTCTGGGTGTTGATATCTGTAGAAGCAGCCGAGACAAACGTACACTAACTACGAAAGCTAAATTTCGAAGCGCGGCAAATGTCGACGATCAATCAGAATGATTCAAGTTTCACGTCATCAAGTAATCCACCAATATCCACCCTGACCCCCGCTGAGTGTGAGTGAGACAGACACCAATGCATTGTATTTTACACTTTATAATTATTGAAACAAGATTTATTATTAATAATAGTACTCTCGGTCATCATCGGTGTTTTGTTCATGATGAAGTTTCACCAGCGCACAATGGTTAAAATTTACTGTAACATACTGCTTGATCGAAAAACACATTTTGAACCTACCGGAGTTGTTCCAATTCTGAAGAACATCTTCAGTGGCTCCAGTGTGACGCCTGGTAACAGCTTGTACTCTTCGTCAGCAGACCACGTCGCCACTGTCTGAAGACCGTCATCGGGCTTGTAGGTTGATAGTACGAAACGAGAGCGAAGGAAAAGACCAGATCTACGAATTAAGAACGCATAATATTTCAACAACAACAGTTAAACTGACAGAAAACAGATATGTGATACATTTCTTCTCATATTTAACTTCTAAAATTCGAGTTAGGGAATGTTCATAGTTAAATTCCTTACATTATCTATAGCTATATGAAGAGTTTAACATGTAGCCTAAACCACAAAGAAATCTTTTCATCTAAATCTTTCTTCCAACTGCAGGAAGACCTTTACGTATATGGATGGCACAGAAGCAATAAGGTATGAACACTGTTCCTGATTCTAGTTCAATATCCTAATGTGAAAACTGAATTTAACAGCGACTAACCAATAAATACGCGTCTTTCTTCCTTACCTATCGCCATCCCAATAGAATGTCGTGTCATTGCTCATCTCGACATCCTCTGCGAACTGTCTGAGAAGCCTGTCCCTGGTGCCGTTCATCTCACTTTGAAGGTTGTCGCAGTCCACTTTGGTAGTGACCAGGGGCAAATCCTGCTCCAACTTGGAGTAAACCTCGGTGATGTATTGAAGAAGAGCATTTAGCACGTACTGTTTTCTCTATAAGAACGTAGCAGCCATTCATTATACTCTTAATTAAACTTGATTATCTAGTGATCACCGCAGCTAATTAACCTAGAATATACATTTCCAGAAATGTCCTATTCCCAAAATGTCCCATTTCTGAAATATCTAATGGGTTTTATTAATACACAGACAAATAATAGGTATGTATCAAGATGATAGTCTCCGAGAGCTTATTCGACTAGCTCATATTATTCATCAGTGTATTCAACAAACCGATCATGATACTAGATTTAACATTTTTGGAATTGAACATTTTGATACCGTTGGATATTTGAAGAATGCGACATTCTGAACTGAAAGGAACAATAGGTATCGTAGTACATAGAACTCTGTATGGTTTCCGCAGAGTACTGCTTTTTTGTATGGGACGCTATATCTTACTGACCTCATCTTGTACAGCAATAGACAACCCCGCATATCTATATATAGCTCTATAGATATTTTCTACGCTCACATAATAGATACTCTGGGTCATTGTCCATGTTTTCACTTGCTCTGAGAAAGTACAGTTACAGTATTATTTACCATAGAATCTGTTGGGCATGTGCATTCATCTCTTGTGGCCAACAATTTGCAGCACTCGTACTGGTCAGCGTGTAGCACCAATGTTGGTAAGGTCAGTGGGGATGTATCCAAACTGTCTCCAGAATAGTCGGTCAGGACCAAGTTCCAACGGTAGTCGCGACGTACTAACTTTTCTTTTACCGCCTAGAGGGAAATGTACTATTATTTGTGTAATATGAATACGCATACATATATAGATCGGTGGCGTAGTGGATAAGCGCCGCGGCCCGCGATCGTAGTCGTTAAGCAACTTTCGCAAGGGTCGGTCACGGGATGGGTGACCAAAAAATTATTATCTCAAGCTACTTCGTGCTTCGGAAGGCACGTTAAGCCGTTGGTCCCGGCTGCGTTTGCAGTTGTTAATACCCTCCAATCCGCATTGGGCCAGCGTGGATGGTCATGGCCCATCCTCCTTAACCATCCATAAGGAAGGCCTGAGCCCCTGCAATGGGGACGAAAAAAGGGCTGGTGATGATGATGAGATGATATAGATTGAGTAGCGGTTGACGCGTTCATTTTTAGATTGCGGAGTTTAAGCGACTTTAGCAAAGGTCAGTCACTAATGGGTGACCAAAAATTTCCTACCTCGAGCTCTTGTGTTCTCCGGCGATTTATAAAACACTAGTCGCCGTTAGTCTCAACTGCGTCTGCTTTTTTCTCCCTGTTTCATTTCGTACACAGTTGACGAATTGAAAAATTACTTCATTCGAGTATAAAGCCCATAGAACAGAAACAAGATAATGCCTCCTTCCACCACATAATTAAAATTAACAAAAGAAGACTCATGAGACATTTAAAGACTGATAACAGTTGTTTGTTATCTGTTGTTGGGTATTTTCTACAGCCATGACTCACTCTGCGGTATGTGTCCATGACGAAGCCGCTCTCGCCGACGATGACGTAGAAACTCGGCTCCGGCCTCATGGTCTTGAGCGCCCGCGCAGATTCCCTGGTGAGGCCGGCGTGTACCCATACCCTAACGTTGGAGCGCCCTAAAAGCTCGTATAGAGCTCTATCCACCTCTGCCAGAAATAAAATTACGTAAACAAAAAAGTATATGAGTATATCAAAGTAACAACTTTAGTTCTTAGAACATGAGTCCATGTCCGCGGTATTCAAAAGTACAATATTTTCAGACTAGCAGTAGCAATCATTGGCAAAATTATACTCTTTAATCCGTAGCTCGGTGAAGTATTAGATAAGCGCCGCAGCCCGCGCTCGTTGTTGCTAAACAACTTTCACAGAGGTCGATCACGGGATGGGTGACCAAAGAATTATTATCTCGAGCTACTGCATTCTTCGGAAGGCCGCAGCCGCTGATCCTGGCTGCATTTGCAGTCGTTAATACCTTCCAATCCGCATGGGGCCGGCGCGGTGGGTTATGCCCATCCTTCTAAACCATCCAAAGTATGAATCGGTGCTTTAGTCTTTTTGACCTCTGGAAAGCTAGACAGTGGTTAGTTTTTACAATATCGATAGGAAAATATCTGCATGAATACCTTCGTCTTGCGAATGCAATAAGTGACTTTGTATGAAATGCAACAATATCGTATAAGCATATTAAATCAAAGACACTTCTCAGATAAACTAACGTATTTGAGTTTTGGAGGAGGTCATATCGTAACTTTAATGTAAATAAATTATTATTATTATTTTATTTATTTATTTTTTGCGGACCTTTAAACTATTTTTGAGTATTATAGGTAATGTGGGTTAATTATTTATTGTAACGTATTCCAATTATTACTCTATTCATATCTAACCTAAGCTAAATAAGTGTATTTTTATGGCTTAATGTTATTACCAACTTCACTCTCCATCAGAATAGCGGCATCAGTAGCATTCCTACTCTCCAAATACTCATCCAGAGCTGTTAGCAACTGCTGGGATCCCAGTAAAGAGCGGACTATTGGTAACCCAGTATCGGACGACATCTGTTCTAGTACCTCCCAGGGAGACCACGACAGGTCTACTAGCATGGACACTCCTTTGGAAACGGCAGAGCAGACTATGAAAGAAAAGACCGATGAAACTCACTAGTGCAAAGATTAATATAGAAGCTTGATACCGTAGCATTTAACGCGTTGTCAACGGCACGGATTACAAGCAACTTTGCGAGGACCGGTCATAAGATAGGTAACCAACATTTATAATCTCGAGTTCCTCCGTGCTTCGGTAAGATTAAGCCGTTGATCCCGGCTGCATCTGCAGACGTTAACATCCACCAATCCGCATTGGACCCGGGTAACCAACAGAGATGTGACTTATCTTAGATACAAGTATTTGAAATACAGATACAAGATACAAAATACGTATTTTCATCTTGTATCTAAAATACTTTTTTTAGGAAGTATTTTGTATCTTGTATTTAAATACTTTTGTTTAGTATCTTAGTATCTTTTAAATACTTTTTCTGATTAAATACTTTATAAAAAGATTATTTCTTACATTTTATAAATATCACAAAACATTCTTTGCCTAAAACATACATATTTACAAAAAGAAAGTGTTCAATTATCAACGCAATGAATATTTAATTAAAAATAACTCGAATCCAAACATTGTTTGGTGTCATTTAAAAAGTAAATGCGTAGAACTGAACGTACGGTAATACCGGTGTAATACACCCTCCCTAGTAAAAATTGATTGATGGCGCATAGGGCTTCAAATCGAATAACCAGTTACAAGGAGTAATAAACCCTGATTTATGTAAAAACCCAGTTATATGCTATAAATAAAACTCAGCATATCAATTAAACTCATTAAATTTTATTATTTTTTTGCACATTATACTTTTTCCACTAACAACAGCATTCAAAAAGTTTATTTTTAAAGAATTTATTTTTTCTAAAATCGTCATTTGTTCAATAATAAGTGTTTTGTTTTCAATGCATTTGAATATTTTTCGTCGTCATGGTTAAAAATTCGAGTAATTATGGAGTATATGTGCCATCGTGGCAGCAAAGCGGCACGCAACATTACAACGTTTGCAGACCGAACACTACAAACGAACGCACCACCCGTTATTGGTTTGCCCGTTATTGGTTTACGAAAAGGTTGCTGTTTGGTGGTTTAACGCGGATGTATTTCATCACAGCTTCTTACCAAACAGGACGAGCATTACTGCAGATTTACTGTGTGTATTGTGAAGAACTGAACACAATGACGGAGAAGCTGGCACTGCTCCTGCACGACCACTTACAACCTCATACTACACAATTGGCGGTACCCAAGCTACAAGAGCTAGGGTTTGAAGTTCTCCGTCATCCGCCGTACTTAACAGACCATGCGCCTACAGACTTCTAATTCTTTCAGAATTTGGATAACGTCTTAGCGGGAAAAAAATAAATTCCCGAGAGGCAGCCCGAAAAATGCCTTTGAAGTATTTGTTGCCTCCCGTCCAGCTGATTTCTTCAAGAAGGCATCATTAAGCTACCAATGCGTTGGCAAAGATGTATTGATTGCATGGGTGATTACTTTGATTATTAGAAATAAGAAAATAAAGCTTCATTTATTTTATTAAAAACGGAAATTTCATAGATAAAGACTTAATTAATACTTCAAATCCGGTTGAGACCGGATTTATCCGATCAGATGGTAACTAATGGCGCATTACCAACAGTACCAGCAATACCAACTCTACGTCTTTTTAGGTACATCTACGTATTATAAGCCTTTCCTACAAACCAACGTACTATAATCAACCACAGAAGCTAAGTATTTTCTACTAAAAATTTTCAAATTAGCTTAACACACTAAAGGGGCATAATTTTCGGTAGTTCTGCAAAAAAAGTTAATATACGTTCCGTTACATACTATCGCACATTCACCTCGTCACAAGTCACGCCATTAATTTTAAAAACCAAGTACTCTATTTATTTTTACCCACTCTCTTCATCTCACTAGGAAAAAATGTATTTTCAGTTCTCCGTAATTTTATGTCGTACGTAAAACCAGCTTTTTAAATAAATAATAATTTTATAATTAAATTTAAATAATTGTTCTTGTTGTTATATTTATGTTATATTGACAAACAAATAAAACGGAGGAAAAGTGGGTGAAATTTAGCTTGTAACATTTGAGTACAAACACAGAAAACTAAATAAAAGCTTACAAAAATTGTTTCTAATGAAAAATGCTTAAAAAATCCACTGTGTCCCTGGAACCATCTGGTCTAAGATTTAGGTTTTTGTGGTCTTTAATAAACAAACTTAAATTCAAATCTTTTTTTAGAAAAGTATTTGTATTTATAAAAAGTATCTATAAGATACCTATTCTGTATATAGTATTTCAAATACTTTTCTCGAAAGTATTTCGTATCTGGTATCTGAAATACTTAATTTAAAAGTATTTTGTATTCCAGATACTTTGTACAGGGTATTTTGTACATCTCTGGTAACCAAGTATATCATGGCCCATTTTTCCTGTTCGTTCGCTTCGTATCCGTTCAAAAATCTTTGCCCCAGCAATGAGGACATTGATGGGCGGATAATAATAAATGGATTGTTTTGTATTGTTATGATAGAGCACAGAATAATTAAAATAAGGACAATAAAAAGTATGGCCCGATACCTGCATTTTGTCTAAAGTTTTATGCAAATGATAAATGAACCTCTTCTAACCTATACTCACAGGTTCTGCTGTTCAAAAGCTCCTCGATTTCTAAAACCGTTTTAAATAAATAGGTATATCTTCTATACGTAACACGACAAAAAATCAACTGGGCATTTTAGTCAATATTCCCAATATGCACGAGATTCCGGATTTCCGAGCACATTGGGAATATAAATTTCCGGCAGTAGCAATATACCAGATGTAGGTACATCACTAGTTCTGTGAGAACTTACGCTTTCTGTAACCCTCATCTTCGTTCTCCCTGTCGAGCTGAATAATGGAGTCGCTGATCCTCAGATCCGATTGTTTCTCCTCTGCCATTTTCAAGGCCCTTCCTATCTGATGTGTAAGATCTTGCTCATGATTTTCTACGATGAACACTGCAGATATTCGAGATTGTATTTTCAAAATAGAAATTTTACTATAGTATTTATTGTTATTATACCCATACGCAGATAAGTAAACTTCGTAAGAGATACAATCTGTATACATGACGACCTCCGCAGTCGAATGTTATAACTCTAAGATCCCGGGTTCGATTCCCTTTCAATGTAGAAAATGGACTTGTATATTGTATCGGATTGGCTGTTATGTTACCTTCATTACATTCCATAATACTTACGGGGGCTTAAGCTATCTCACTATGATGTTATCTATTTTTTTTTAATATTTATTTCTATATTTTACTTACCAAAACGTAAACTCAACTCGGTGGCGACACAGCCTAAATTAAAAAAGATGATCAACAATAATTGCGTGTAAATTTCCATTTTTGTTTTACTGCCCGCAAGATTGACATTTACAACTGCGCACTTTGTTCACCAAAATAGCTGAAATATATTCTTGCAAAAGAAATGGGATAAACAGAGTTAAGAAAACATAAAATAATATACGCAATTTCTCAAACATAAGTCCTTTTTTAATAATGTGTAATGTTTGACCTCCTTGTTTCGAATTTTAAAAAAATACAAACAAAAAGCGGGTGTACCGTTTATAGGTTTAATACAAAATGGCGGCAAGCTTCTTGGAAGAACCAAACAATTCTTGTATTATGGTCCATCAATTATTAAAGGATTTAAGACAAATGATGGTTAAATAAAGGCGGGGTCTATGTTGTTAGCAGTGATTTTTTGCCTAGTTAAGAACAAATCAGGTACAGTCAATTAAAAAACCCAGGAAAATTCCAAATCAGGTACACATCAGGTCATGGAATTTTCCTGGTGTGTACACATCAGTCTCTCGAGTCTCGTGTCTCTCTCACTACGGGATATTGTTAGTATGTTGGTTAGTTTTCACAAAATAAGAGGTCCCTTTTTACACATGTCATCGTCAAGTAGATAACGCTACGGTACTTTCTCGATTTCTCCATTACAAGAAGTTAATTGAAAACCTATTTATGTTTTCTCAATACGAAACTAAGTACTATTAGTATATTGTTACATAGGCCGCGATCTCGACAATCGCAACCATTACCGAGCATTTGCCAAGAGCGGCAAAATAGAACGCGACATTGAAGCACTAATTTTCTTTTAGAGAGAAAACCCTTATAAAAAGTACTATCTTACTTCACCATCATTAACCCATTAATGACCTCAATTCTGAGATCTTCCTATGGATGGAATGGAATAGGGAAAATCGGCCATGACCCATCATACGGCCTCAGGACGGATTAAATCGGGACTACCGAATTAAGATGGCTTCCGAAAGAACAGAAGTTGTTGAGGTGACCAAAAATTATTATCTCGTGTAGAGTACCATATCACAATAGCTAGAAAATGTTTTTATATACTTATCCAAAAGCATCAGTTGGCTAATATTTAATACAGCCATAGCGCCATCGAAGTAAAATTGACTCCTGAAAAGCACGATTTGTGTCTACGACTGTACATAATGGAATATTAAAGCGTGCCTCTTTACGTAACCCCCTTCTCTACAATAACTGTGGGAACGGACATATGTTACAACATGTGAAGAAACAGTGTCCAAATTTCTGACTCTAAATTGGGATATTAGACTTCTTCACTACACTGTATTAATAATTTTCTTAAATGTTCATGTAAGTGTGCGTAATGCTCTTAATTACAAGGTTTTACTTAACTTGCCCTGTTAGTATGTTTTTTTTTTATATATGGCCTTGTTCCGTTATAATGTAGAATTGGTTAATTATAACTACCGTTCAGTCTCTCGAGTCTCGTGTCTCTCTCCCTACGGGATGTTGTTAGTATGTTGGTTAGTTTTCACAAAATAAGAGGTCCCTTTTGACACATATCATCGTCAAGTAGATAACGCTACGGTACTTTCCCGATTTCTCCATGACAACCCTTCCGTTTTTCTTTCATGTATAAAAGTAAATTAATTTTCAAAACTTAATAAACAACTCATATTCTATTTGTGATTTTAACAGATACAGTGTATTTGGTCATCAAACCTCCAATTCGCCGAAAGATCCAGGTTATGATGTTACGTACCATTTGACACATTAATATTGTAATGAAATATATTCAATTTCAGTTTTAATAGTGTTAAGAAAGTATAAATTATATACATAATTTTATTTAAATTTTTATTAAACGAAAAAATCTGAATAATTTCCCGATCGGGAATTTTCCTAGGTTTTTTAATTGAGTTTTTTTACCATCACACCATCACATACTTTGCTCTGATTCCAAGATGAAAGCCCTCGTATTATCGAGTATCTAAGACTACAAAGACACCGGATTCGAGACAACATAGAAAAAATCATTTTCTACATTTACCCAACGAGAAATGAAAAAGGGCCACACAGATGGCAAAACCTTGAAACTGGTGGGTATAACAGTGATAAAAGTACATATTTCCAATTATATTTTTGTATATATCGGGGCGCTAATAAATAGTAACCATAATAAAGCTCTTCTATATACTTAAAATTTCAAATCGAATATCCTATAGTAGCACTGTACGGAGGGCCACTACGTTTCATGGGCCAGTCGTAGATATTGCGCCCATACACAACCCCAATAAACTTTTCAATAAACAATATTTCAAAATAAAACCACCAATTTTTAATATATAATAACTATTTATGTAAGTATATAAACATTACATCGATAAGAAAAAAATAATTAATTTACCTAATTCACAAAATGAAGGAAAATAATAATTAATAATAATAATATACCTTAAAAATCAACATACAACCTCACGCTACAAGTATATTTTTTTAATAATTTCCAAATATAAAACCAATAAAATGATCATCAATAATCCATTATTAAAAAAGTTGCAGTTTATATCAACTCCCTCTGTCGAAATTCTATTTTTTATCCAGTTTACACTAATTTTACTTAAAAACTAAGCTTTTATTCAACGCTGTATTAAAATTTACAATGTTTGGGTCCGTTTAGTGTAAATTTTGCTAAAAATTGATATATTATAATTATATCATTTTTTTATTTAATATTCCAATTCTGACACAAAAAAGTTCTATATAAAAATTAAGTCACACCAAAATTACATAGCCAAATTGATGGTATTTACATTTATAATTTTTTTGCATTTATTTGTTTTTTTTTTATTAAATGACCAAGTCCGAATTAAATTTTCAGTCGAGATTCAAAATCGGTACCGATTTTTTGAGGTATCTTTTTTGGTATCACTAAAAGAACCCAAATTTGCGAAGAACTATGGACAGAGCAAACTCTCCAAAACTTAAAAGCTACCTCTTCAAAAATCTCTCTATGAAATATTCTAATTTATACAGATTTCCATACACCCCAAGAAAAATATAATCCTATACTACATCAATGAAGATACCGGAAAGAAAAAACTACAACACATCACTATCTCATGGTATAAAATTTCCATAAATTTTAGCTTAGTTGAAGCTTAAACATTCAAAAATGTATTCGTATATTTTTTAAGAATAAATAAAAATTGGTATTTATATTCGTGATATAATATTAATACATTTTTGAGATTCGTAAGCTTCAATTACATAAAAAAACATTTTTGATACCTCGAGAAAAATAGTTAAATTTATGAATTAAACATGTATAAATGCGTGTCCCGACACGGCAGTAAGTTCACTTGCAGATTTCGTTTTAACAATTTCCCTTTAATATCTCGATGTCGTGTCGGAATTTATAAACGTAGGTGCGACATTAGTCAGAAAAATCGTTCAAATTAGTTTACAATTTCTTCAAATCACGTAAATCAATATACATTATATTACGTTCTACACCGTTCCTATTAAAAAATGGTCTCATATTCTAGATAAAAATATTGCAATACATTCAAGTTTAAAACTTTAAATAAATAATTTAACCAAGTTGATTTCGTAAAATATATTTTTCATAACTTCCGATGTTAAATAAGGCAATACAGATAAATCTCATTAAAAAGCACAAGTTTCTAATCAAAGCAGATGAAAAGCTACTAAAAAGTGGATTTGTCGATTACTAAAAAGACAGGTTGTTTTCTAAGAATGAAATCTCGATACACGATATACGCGCTATAACTTTCAAAAGTTTCCAACCACAATGAAACAAGACATGAATTTATTTTTATGACCAGTCGTCAATAATACATATTTTACGCAAAATTTAATATCAGTTAATTATTTATTTATAGTTTTGTAGAGAAATGAATGAACTACATTACATCTAGAATTGTATATTGCACGCGTATAAGAACAAGAAAAGGGTAGACGCAAGTTCAAGGAACATCAGTTTACTTTTCATTGTCATTAAAATTGAATTATAATGATAAAAAACATTAAATTACTTAATTGATTGGATCAAAATAAAAAAGACGAAATGAGCTATCATAACAAAGACAATAGTTCTGTACAGACAAATCATATTTCAAGAAAAATATGTCACCGCTCCGAAAGTACGATAAAACAAAATATTTAAATAAAATAGTAAAAGAAAAAGGTGTTATAATATTTTTATATATATTCTCAACATTGAAAAAAATGTGACAACTACACACATATACATATAAAATTGAAAATCATTGAAATTTCTTTTTTTTTCACCTTTTATTTTAAACGATTTTCCAAACTAAGTCACAGCAAACGTCTTGAATTCTCGTATCCGTCGATCACTTAAGAAATAAAAAAAAATACATAATCTAGGAACATTAAGAGCTTAAAACGAAACGTACGCTAAATAATTTATTTAACGAAAAAAAAATATACGGAAGATATATCATTTATTTCTTGATTAATTAATCCTATTTAACGCACGTAGACGCCAAAACTCGGTGCGTATTATGTTTTAAAATAATAATATTTGAACTATAGCACTTGTGCTTTAATTTGCTGCACACTTTTTTAATAAAAAAACACATGTTAATTTATGCGATAAAACGGCAAACCTGCGCTTTTTGCGATCCCCTGTATTATATATATATACTCTTTGTTCAAATATACGTTTGTTTCCTTTATTTGTGAATTGTGGTGATTAATCATTAGTGTATCATGTTACATATTAAGTTGTATATAGATATGCATTGTCTATATATATTATTACAATGAAAGACCACCTGAAATTCAAACCAGAAGTAATTGAATAAATATTTGAACTAATATAAAATACATAAGACATTTCTCATTTTCATAAATCCGATACCGATTTTTTAAATCTGGTATAGTTTATAAATCTGGTATATTTTTTATATAATATCAAATTGGTAGGTAGTTAAATCTGTTAACTTAACTTTGTACTTGCAGATTTAATACACTTATAATTTGTAAAATAAAACACGATGCTATAGCTCAAATAAAAAAGCTAGCCACAATAAGCTATTCAATGTCAAATATGTCAAAGAATATCACCATAAAATAAAATCAAAAACTATGTAAAGTCAATACATACATATCTTTATTCGATATAAAAAAAACTTATATAACTAAATATCATAGATAATACATATAAATATCACTAATTAAGTTTTCTCTATTTCAAATCGCTACTATGTGCAGATGCCGTGTTTAGATTATTTCGACGACGAGATCGCCTAACTTTAAATATATTGGAAGTATTGTACAGTTTAATACAAGAACGACATTTAAAGTAATATCACCATCCAAATAGTCTAAAACACGACTACAGTAGAAGAATACGCAAAAATAATAGTGTCTCTAATCAATAAATAACGTGCGAAAAAAGACAAAAAAATGTACTCCATTAAAAAAAAAGTTAAATATACTCTTCAGATCGATTGAAAATAACCGAAGTGCTTCGCCAACCAGCCAAAACTGCTTTTGAGATCAGGAAAAATACTATTCTTGAAAAAATTTTGAAATGGGATCGGTATTAAGATACCAATTTTTTTCGGTATCAAAACGTACTTTTTTCAGGTATCTAAAATGTTTTGATACCGAAAACAATGGTACCTTTTTTTTGGCAAGCTGACGGCATTTGGTTAGACGATTCACTGCATAAAGTATTCCGGGTGATCTGGATCTTTCTCGAACCGTTTCGCCTCTTCTTGCATGCTCTCTTTGATTTTCAATATGGCGGCCGACTCGGTCTGGTCATTTTGATCTCCTCCTGGGCCGCCGAAACCTTACGGACATCGTTTCAAGTATATTTTAACGTATCGCAACTGTTTAATTTTATTACAAGAATATTGATTTCAACTGAACTCGAACTCCTATTTTATATTTATTACACAAAACGGAAATCTTTAATAGATAATACAACACTTTACAAATATCTTATGAACTTAAAACGAGTACAGAAATACTTAATACACAAATATAATACAAGAATAAGGAAAAGATATTAATAATTTTCACTTAACAACACACAATTCGGATCACATTACGCAACAATATATAATAAATCATGCATCTACTATATCTTTCTGAAATATCCGCATGTGCTTTTTTTCAAAACGAATACGTGGACGCATAAAGTCGCAGGTTTGACTCCCGCAGTTAATTTAAAAAAAAAAAGAAGCAACAATATAATAATTATTAGTACATATTAAAAATAGTCTAGCAATAAACCTACCGAGCGTTGGCGTCCTACTTTTCAAGTAAGTAGCTAAATAGACATAGCGTACTCACTTAGACTGTTGTAGTCCCCCATGCCTGAACCTGAGTCCTCCCTGGGCGTGCCCGGCCCTCCGCCTCCGACGCCACCTGGTGACGATTTCATACCATCTACGCCCCCTAGGCCTGCGACAAGCGAACTATAATTTTACGCATCCGCCGTTAACGCGTTAAATACACAAACAATTTCATAATAAACCGTTTAGTACTTGCTCCGTTTTCGTAAATTTTATATATTTATTTAATCGATAAAGATATATTTTTTTAAATAATTTATATTCATGGGAATGGCTAGTGACGTTAAAATTATCATTAAAGGTCCCATTTGACAACTTGTTAGCTAAATCACCTATCTAACTGGACGCTAATTTAAACAGACAGGAAGAGTTTCCAATAACTGCACTTAATATTACTACTAACACTGGAGTTAGGTAGAGAAGAAAAAGGGAACGCAATCCTGCCCATGGCCGTGCCCACAATGGAGCAAGGCCGGGCGCTTGCCCCACCCTCTCTTCTGACTTAAAGCTAAATATATATAGCTAAAACTAATTATTACATAGTCATATTGTTAACTATTTTTATTTTTCACTTTTCAATAATTATTTACCAGACAAAACGAAACAATATTGAAAAATATTTACGTAGACAATATTCTTAGGCAATAATGACTGATATAAAATAAAATTAAACCTTCTAACGACTTCACCCACTGCTATCTTTAAATCATCGAATAATTTAATGTAACTGTGAAATAATATTTTTAGATAAATATGTTCTATTGAAGAAACTGATTCGTAGAAGAAAGTGCACTTAAAAAACTTTTCCTGTATATCTTAACGCCCTGATTGACAAGAGGGGGGGGAGAGTTAAAAAACGAATAAAATCAAATGTACCGTAAGGCTTATTCTACGATTCATTAGTAATGTATTTGCTGGCTGGGTCTAGATTCCTGTTGAAAAATAAGATACTCCTTATCCACATCCATACATCGTGCAAGCTACTGTCGCTTTTGAAATTAAAAGCCAATATGAAAATTAAAAAAGGAAATAATCCAAATTAGTAACATGCTCTAGTATTTGACTTGTGGGTAAAATTAGTTCTCTTGCTTCATTCTTTAAATAAAATTTAAAAATTATGATTTTTAATTAACTAAAATAAAGTGTAAACATTATAAATATATTAAATGACGTTTAGAACTTGCCAATAATAGAACAATCCATGATTTAAAAAAAAAATATTATTATGCAATAATATAATAATCTGTGAAATAAAATATAACTATAATAAATTGAACTCTTATTTATTTATTACTATACAATATATATAACAGATAGTTCTATTATTACCTTTGCAGTTAATTTCTATGAGGAATCAGAATCCATTTTTTATTAAAAACAAATCTTTTTTTTTTTCAGAATTATTGAAATTTATCATAAGCCACTCTGGTAAAGTTGCTACAAAAATAGACAAAAAACTAAATAATCTTTAAACACAATTCTCGTCACGCAAAAATGCCGCTGAAAGTCAAAGTGTTTAGCGCAAGATGGTATTCAAACTCAAACTTTAGCAATCCCGGCGTCTGCTCTAACCAATGAGATCCAGCAGGACTAACAAATTTGTTAAGCGCTTTAAGCATTTTTCTTAAAGATATCATTTATGCATTTTGAAATAGCAAATATAATAAGAGTCATACTATTGTATTGCAAGGAAATTCACTAGACGAGCATGTCCGCGGACAAGTCTGCAGACATGCTTGCCAGACCTCGTTACTGGGTGGGCTTGTCTGGCTAGTGCAGGACCGTCTTAAGTCATTACACATACTTTTAGTAACGAGAAACATGCCCGCTTGTGCATTATATATACATATGTAGTATGTGTAGTTTTTGTCCAATAATGATGTACACTAATTAGGAACTTTGCTAGCGACATGTTTACGTTACAGGAACTATACAAATATTTAAACTGTACACTTTTAAACTAGTATAACAAAAAAATGACATTTGATAATCGACAGCGAGAAATTTTAGGCTTTATTCTGTTGTTGCTAAAGTTTAAAATTGATTGCAGAAACATATTTCATGGTAACCTAGCATAATGGTGTGTGTATAAAGGCAACGATTCCTAAATAATTGTTTTTATTAAAAAATCGATAAAAGGTCGACTTTCTTTTATGTTTATTAGGAGTTTACGACACGAGACACACTTGTATATAAATAAAACTTTATTTTCAACCGACGAAACTTGGATTACTAACGTGTATCTTTTTTTGTTTATTAAATCGCTGGTATTTCGACATTGATACAAGCGCCATGATTGCGGAGTAACTAATATAATGCGGGTTGGTATTATGACTTAGTGAACAGTAAACAGTACGAGTATCACACGAAATTACGAAAGAGGGTAGATTTATATATCTGCTAATAACATCTACCCGCAATATTTCACTTAAGGCGGAAACACATTTTGAATTCATGTTATCGTTTCATATATTAGAATGAAACATATATTTCTGTTGCAACACACAGATATGTCTCTAAGCATACTAAATGTATGAAAACCGATATGTTTCTGCCATTACTCCGTTATCATAGCGCGTGCAACAGCGCTGCAATATTTAGTACATAGTAAAAACACGGTAAATAACAGCATTAACCTAAATAATTATAATATTAATTAATCTAATATCGGTGACTATTAAAATTTAAAACAATAATATATATATATTGTGTTTCAAATCTTATTTACGAAATAATTTTCGTCCAAGGTTAATGCAGTAGATATCATATGCTGTTCTTTTTTTACTCTAAAAAATCTGACAGTGGCACTAGCATCAATAGCGGAAGAGAGGTATCAAAAACATATAATAAAAATAGTAAACTACACACAATAAAGTACTAGATGCTGGCTAAAAACAAAATAATAAAAATTCCAATAAAACTATGTTAACTTTACGACAAATTGGCATTCTGAAACCCCATAAACTAATTAATGTAATGACTCGTACAAAACTACTCAAGATTCAGTTGATACAACTCAAACTATGCATATCATTTAATTTGTCCGTTGTAACGCTAGCTGAATTATATTAATTGAATGTAAAAAAACCTTAAAGAAGAACAAGTAAACGTCGCTGGTAATAACGCAAAGCAATTGGCTACTTGATAGTTATAACAATGAATTAAGTTTTTGCAAAATTAACTTACTATTTATAATGTTTGGATTACAATAACCGAAACGCGGGCAGCCATGACGGAGCATCATGTGACGTCACATTTCAATAAACTAAAAGTAGACGTTTTTGTTGCGAATAATAAGCCACCGGTACCTGCACCAATGGCTACAGCAAAAGTTTTTTTTTATTGAATTTTGCTAATGTTTATTGTGGACCGCATTTCTAGCAAATAAACTACTCTTTTCTCTTCAACTCTGCTAGTTTACGTAATAACAGCATTTCAATAGGATATCAACTACTTGCTTTTTGCCATAGTACTGTCTACCCAAAGTACATATATTATATCTTGAAGAAAACACAGCCCTCATAATATTGGACTTCAGATATAGTACGACGGCAAAATCCAAGTTGTTGCGATTATTACCTAAACATTATCAGAATTGGCAAACGAGCACAATAGATTCGTGTTTATTAAAATGTGACATCACGGCTTGAAATGTCAAATGGCTGATTATTTTCGCGGGAAAATTTAAATTAATTAATAAAAATATGTTTTTCCTTTAGTCTTAATTAAAAATGCTTTAAAAAAATCCACTTTGTCCCTGGCACTCTGAAATGTTTTTAATAATGTTAAATATAAATATAATAATGTTTTTCCTTTATTTAATAATATTTTTTTAGAGAAAACGTTTTAAAATACTTTTCTCAACAGTCAAGTAGCCAATTATTTAAAGAATTTATTTTTACTTTGAAATCGTTATATAATTATTTTTGCTAAAATTACATATTTAGTAAGTTCGCTTTCGCGTTTAGTCAAGCGACCGATACCACTATTTCAATTATCTAAGGGGTAAAAGATAAACGTGGATAATTTGGGTTTCAAGCATACATATATTGAAAAAAAAATCTTTAACAGTAACTTCATTGTAAAAAATATATATATCGACGTTGGATAGCAAACACGTAGTAACCTGCAAAACCAAAATGGATATTTAAAGTGAAAAATCTTTATATTTTGCAAAAAATAAATCTTTTTTCCGTATAAATTAATTATGGAACACCTCATTTGTTACCATGGACGTTTATAGTAATTATTTATAGAAAAAAATTAAAGGTTTTTTTATCCCTGAAGAACAATTTTGGTTTTGCGGGTTTACTACGTGTTTGCTTTCCAGCGTCGATATATATTTCTTAAAATAATAATATAATTTACAATAAATCGTGTATCCAACACTGAAACCCATCTCATTCACATTTAGGATACGTAGAATATAAGTAAACGTTATTAGGCACGGTACGCCATCGGAGCCCCACCTTCGGCCGCGGGCGGCTGCGGCAGGTGCTGAGGCGCCGGCCCGTGCTCCCCGGACAACGGGAACTCCGCCCCCAGGGCTCCGGCGCCCACTGGCTTCATCAGGGTGTACATGTTGTCACCGCCTGCCGTACCAACATTGTTGATACCGATTTTTTGAGGTATTGAAATCTGGTATTATTTCTTTTTAACAATGGGGACTGTTTAAAAGTTACTTTTTTAATGTCTTTATTTTATTTTAGACAATATTTTGATATCAATTTTAATTTCGCTCTTAACATATATTATATGGGACATTGAAACAAAAGTTACATATAAAAATTCGATTTATTAAAATAGGAAAATACTTATTATTAGTTATTTGCAATTTACAAACATAGTATTAACAAAAATCACCTATATATCTATCTCTATTTATCTAGCTTTCTAACCAGTGCTTTTAAATAAAAATATATACATTCAAACCCATCAATTTAAATTAAATTAAATACAATTTAGTAAATAATAATTTATTTTTAATGAATGTAGCATAAAGCTATGGTGAAAGAACAATTTCCAAATAATAATTTTACCAGTTTAAAACTAGTTAGAAAACGGATATTTTTCCAAACATACTGAAAGTGTCAATACTAAATTTCTTATTTTATTCAGAAATTGTGACATTTCAAAATATTTGGAAATGATCACCTTACACTAACATAGAATTACAAACATAAATTAATGAGGAAAATATTACAACAAAAAGAAACATGAAAAGCATGATACAGAAAGTGACCCAAAGCATGTATCAACCAAGGTTAAGCGAGAACAAGAATGAAGCAAGCAGAACTAAAAAGTAAGAACATAATGTGAAGGGCATATTTTAATTTATAAAATAACAATTTAAATTATTCCATAAAGACGCACCTTCAAAACGAAAATCAATCATACCAATTTTTTTTTTTTATAAAATTAACTGGTACGCTTCATGGAACATAAAAAGTAACAAAAACGCTAAAGGAAGTGCCACAGTCAAATACCTGGTTTTAGTGTTGTAAAGCTACAAAAACCTGTAACTTCTTAAATTTAAATAACGTTATTACTCATCAAAGTGTGCTCGGGGTTTAGTCATAGTGTTGTTAACGGGGTCAAATTGCGTTGCGCGAAAGACATCCGAAATAGCTTTTATCATCTAAACAGAAAGACCACATGAGAAATTTCGAACAACTTCCGCTAAATCGGACACAGTTAACTTTGAAAGCATTCCGATACCAATTTTTTTACTTTAATCTTCCCCATAATGATCAAAACTTATAAACATTACATATAAAAAAATATCCCTGACTCAATAGTAATTAAATATTGGTTGCTAATAAAAATGGTACCTCAAAAATTAGATACCATAAAAAAATTGGTACCGTTATAATTCTCAATGACCCACAGCCACCGCCACCTGTAATGTTCATCTACACTCACCTGAGTTGGAGGAGTCTTGCGGGCTCGGCATTATCGGTGTGGGGGGTCCGGGGGGCCCGTTGCTCCCCGGGGGGGCTCCGTACGCGCCGGGGGAGCCCCCGCTGTAGTTGAGAGGGGCGGAGCCTCCACCGCTACCGCCCGCCCATGCGCCTCGCGGCCCCATGCCCATGGGTGGCATACCTGCACGTCAAACACAACTTTAATACCTACACTATGCAAATAAAATCAATAATAAAATCGTTTTGGTAGTTCAAATTAAGTCATGTATTGTGTATACATAAATTTACATTGAAATAAAACTCATACGAATTAACATGGTACTTAAAGTTTACTGTTACGACCTAACATCTAATACAGGCACGGATCTACAACTTGTTCTAGCCAGGGCAGAAACTTAAAAATATAGCATCTTTTTTTAAGAATTTCATTAGCTTTACGAGAGTTATTACTGCTCGCGTAATTCCAAATCTGCTTAAAGTAAGTCTGATGTGTATATAGTATAAAGAACTGGTCTCAACACAAAGCCTTGGGGTAAGCCGGTGTTTATATAAAAGCATTTAGAGGTTACTTCAGACTGTTTATTTGGAAAAATCATTCTTGAATATAAGAATCTAAAAGATCATACTAACTATGTGGAAGACCTATTATTAATTAACTCAGAAGTTCCCTGTGCCAGACTCTGTCAAAACCCTGTTGAATATCCAAGAATGCTGATGAGTACTTGTTCTTGGACTTGTTCTGGAGTTTTTCTTATTTTTTCCACTACTCTGTGTATTGTGGGTTTTGCTTTGTATTCCCGGCATAATTCGGCGGAGGAGCAATTTTCGGAAATATTTGATGCAACAGGCGTATTGCTCTGTATGTCTTAACTTAAACCGAAGGTTTCCCTGTATTATTTATCATGAGAGTTTATGAGAATTTTAAAGATTTTTCATAAATAATAGAACTTTCTTGGAAGTTCTGTCAGAATCTCATTAGTGATGAAGTTATACCCAGGTGCTTTATTTGTTTACCCTTATATTTTTGCAGATTTCCGGGAATTTCAGAGGTTGGAGGGAGCGACATTAGCAAACTTTGTCTAAGTATCATCTCTCCTTCGTTTTCAAAGTGTATGTCATCCATAGGAGTGAAAACGTTTCCTAGATGCAAGTAAGTCTGCTTCTTCTTGTGGAGATACCACAGCCCAGCCGCTGTTGCTTCTAATAGGTTTTTGTATTTCTGGCCTGTCCTATATCTAGATGAATTTATCTGTTGCCAGACATGACAAAGTCTACTTCTTTTTAGGACTGGCCCTCTTTTATTTCTAGACAGTAGTCAAAGATCCGCTTATTGATATTTAGTGCAGGAGTACTACTTCAACAGGCTTCCTATGTAAAGTTCGTTACGATTGACCAAAAAAGGAGTACCTATGTATGCGAGGTTCTTTATTCCATCATAACTTTTGAAAACTTAACGGATATAAATGTATAGGGAATCATTAGAAACATTTCATCTTTTCAAGTTACACTGGCTATATGTTTATAAAAAATATGGCGGATGTATGACGCGATTCAAAAAATATAAAAAACAGTTTTTTCTATAATTATAGCAATATGGGTATCAAATTAAAGGGGTTGATGAGTACATTCCAAGAACATATAACGTGTAGACATAACTAAATTCTTACTAAAAGAGTTCATTTGTAAGTTCAAAAACATATCTGCCAAAATCAAATTAAAAATAAATGTAACAAGTTGTATTATTGCCTGGCTAAACAAATTTCTCATTCCATTCAGGGGATATCTTAGATTACAATTGTTCCACAGAACAGTCTCCTCACTGCTCCTCAACAGAAAAAGTATTTGTAAGCGATACTAACAATAGATTTCCAAAATAAATATCATTATTAAGGATACATTCCCCATGCAAAGTATTTAGTATTTAGTCACCTGGAGCTTGGGGCGGAGGGCCGCGCATGCCCGTGTAGGCGCCGGGGCTCATGGGCCCGATGCCTGGTCGCGGGGGCGTCATGCGCGGCCCGCCCAGCAGCCCCGCAGCGCCGCCGCCGCCGCCTCGCTCCATTGAATTGCCCATCATTCCTTGCCCTACATGACAATAATGAAAATAACTTTGAATCAAACCACGAAAACAAGAAAATAGGGCCTACTCCAAAACATTATAGACCACACTTGTAGAAATTTAAAAAAAAAATTATGTTAACTTACATTGCATAAACAAGTATTAATATTAGATAAATTTTATTACAAAATTGTATTACCAAACACATTCAAGATTTTTTTTGGATTAAACTCCTAGTTATACATCTGATAAAAGGCAGTATGTTAGAATTGGTTAGCACATAAATACAGTTAGTCCTATAGACTTAAGTGTACTTTAGGGCAGTATTCTGGGCCCTGGGCTTTTTAATAGATAACACACAATATATTTATCCTACATTCCTGTATTATTACATAAAACCCAAAGCCTATAAAAATAATTTCTAAGTAAAAGAGAATTTAGCAAAATAAATATCTAAACCAAAAAACTGATTTCTAACCAATAGTGAAAATAATAGCCATATTTCTTGCATTTTACACACTAAGATCAGTGTGGATTATATTTTTCAGTGATATAGAATAGTACTATAGAAGTTTGTCATAGTTCACCTGGTGGCCCATTGAAGTCATTTCCCATTCCCATCCTGACAGTGCCTCTAGGTCCACCGCCGGAGTACCAAGGCCCTATGAACGGCTGGCCGGTACCCATCAGCTGCGGCTGCGGCCCGTGTGGCGACGGTTGCGATCCTGGATGAGGAGCTGGCGGCGATGGCCGCAGCGGTGAGTTTGGGAAGAAGCCTGGTGGCATGCCACCACCCATAGCTGAAATGTAAATTTCCTTTTATATTGCATTATGTACAAACGCTAACACAAAAACTTTTCAAAAGGTTATATTTAAATTGCTTCCTTTTTATTTCTCATTTTTTTATTTAAAAATATAAACATATTTTTTTATTTGTTTACAAATTGCATTAAGAATTGCCAAGATTGGTGATTCAGTTGTAAAAAAAACATTTCATAACTGAAATAAATGATATAAAAATTATATTTAAAAAAATACAAAATATCCTCAATCTGTTTTATAATTTCTATTATTAATAATACTATCAATAATTATGGAATTAAAGATCATGGTAAGCCATTACAAGAATCAAATCTTTTCTACAAATGCCAAATTAGAGTACTGTAGGGTGTTAAGCAATTAACAAGATGGAAGAATATTATCTAATATCATCAGATCCATTCATAATAAGAGTGGCTTTACACCAAACATGATGCAAGGAACTAAGCCTATCTATGGACAGACATTTTTCTATTAAAGTGTTTGATACAGTATTTATCCCAAATTTCCTGAGGACTGTGGCTAAAATGGGCTTCTAATAATTTATTACCAGTGTTTTTAATAGTGTTCTCTGTAAATATGTTATGGGTCAATGACAATATAGATCATATTTCAGTAAACAATCAGTCAAATGATGTATCTAATTCACTAATATCTCTTATAACAACTCTTATGAAAATATTTAGTTTCCAAAACTATCACCTAAAATGTATGAGAAATTGAGAACCGGTGGGTAATAACATAACTAAGCAAACATTAGCTTGTCCCAATTTTGAGAACACACATATTTATTAAAAAGTCTTTCTGAATTCTTATATAAACATTACTGTACTAAAGAACCAAAATAAATGAAATGTGGTGATATTTTTAAACATTTTGTGTTCGTTTATTGTTATAGCTGTGCTAGTGACCTAGTTGTAATGGATTAAACAGTTACTATGATAAGCAGAGTCATATAAAACACAACTTTGATTTTGGGGTAAGACATACTAACATTTCAAACAATATTATTCATATTTAACATTACACAGCAACTTTTTTAGGTAAATCTACGGCTAAATGTCAGCTTTAACTGTAAACTTGTCATCTCTATTTACATTTATAGATAAAAGAATCAAATGGCCTAGAAAAGTAAACTATAGTAAATAGCGCGCAGTAGCCGTAACATCCAGCGTACGTACCGTCGTTAGGCGGCGCTGGGCCAGCATTGTGTCCAATACCGTTGACTCCATAGCCAGAGTTAACAAAACCGTAATCATGAAATGCTTTCGCCTCTGATGAATGTTCGCATGTGTCTCGTCTCTCAGGCGCCGCGCAGTAAAGGTCCCAGAAAACGCACCACCACGAATGTAGGAACCCAGGCGGCTCACCAAGTGTTATATTCTTCTCCCATCGAATCTCTGAGAGAAACGTTTGTGCGGCTTTCGTTGCGCCGACATGAAGTAGATATTCGTATACATACAGCGCCAACTTTTCGCGAGCCTGAGCGTCCGAAGGCACCGTAGAGCCTTTGCCCTTGGCATACATATCGACTAGAAGCCGACTTTTATGATGAAATTGTTTATTATTTACATTAACGCTTTATATCAATAAATTCAACTCCACAAAATGTCATTGATCGATGGCGACATTTGGCGTCTGTGGCATAGAGAAACAGTCATGTTCTCATTTACATTGAACTGTCATAAATAGATAGGACCACAAATTTTTTGATTAGTACTCTATGGACTACCACCCCACCAACCAAGCTCGATTTTACGAACCTGATACATTTCAAATAATTTCCACACTTATTGGTTGATATCCTGCTTTCATTTCTCGATCTACCTAGATGGTCAGGTAATTTTTCACCATGCCAGTTAAAAAAATAAATCAGATTCTGAATAGGCAAAAGACAGCTATTCTAATAAAAAGGTCATAATAGATAATGCAAGTTAAATTGTGAGTTACGATCTAGATATTTATTTCTTGGTTATAATTTATGCAATATTCATCTTAATTAAATATTATTTGTAAGTCTTTTTGCAGCTTGCACAAATTGTTTTGTGTTAGTTTTATTTTATTCGTATAAGTAAACCGATACCTGACAAATCGAAGGCAAGTATACAACGAATCGGAAAAAACTCAAAGCGCCAAAGTACGGCCATAGCTAGGGGGGGCATTTGGGGGCAATATAGGCTAGTTGAAAAACTTTTTTTTATTTCATATATAAATAGTCCATTAGCATCTGAGAAATAATGTCGAAGTAACAGCATGTCTGCGATTAATAGTTTTGGAAATACGGTACTGTGCCGTAATAACATCCAAAATAATTATGAAACCTGTAAACATTAGCAAGATGCTCCCTACCCACTCCACCACTTGGACACATATTTATATATCCCAATAGAAAAATAGGCAAAGAAAATTTACACATGCATATACGTACACACATATATACATACATATGCATACATACACATATAACATACATTATACATTACATATACAATGTAAAATTAGATACTATGAAATTTCATATTCTGTTATTCATTTTATTATATTAGATCAACTACGTATTGTGAATATAAATATAAAATTTGTTAATAATTGTGCTTGCTGTTTTTTAAGTAATTGTTTATATGTTTCTTTAAAGTATTTTTTACTACAATTAAAAAAAATCAATAAAATGAAATTTTTTATTGTAATTTCTAGGTAGTCTAGTGAGAACAGTGTTAGCTCCATGGTGTATTTCGGGTTCTACGTTTTGGTGTTACACTATTAAGCAGTTGTGGGCAGTCTATTTTTCCACGAACAATGTCGAATAAAAAACACATATCGAGCATATCGCGTCTCTCTTCTAATGTTAAAAGACCATTAAAAAGGCTGGCATTTATATTTATAATCGTAAGTTACTTTACGGCGATATGAAATATGCTTAATGAAGATTTTTTGTATACGTTCAACTCGCTTTTTATAAATATCGTATAGCGGGAACCAGATTGGGCGAGCATATTCTAGCAAACTCCTTACATATGAGAAGTATACAACTTTAAGAGCGCTTATATCATGGAATGGTTTGCAAGCTTGTAAAACGAAGCCTAAATTTCTGTATGCCTTTTTTGTAATTAAGTCTTTGTGTTCAAATCAAATATCATTTTGCTATCTAAATAAACTCCTAGGTACTATATTAACTCTTTTTATTTTTATTCCATTTATATTATAGGTATGTAAAATTGGAATCTTTTTGCGAGTAAACGATATACATTGACACTTATTTCATATTATAATAATTCTTTTTTCTGTGTAAAGATGGCATTTGAAGCGCCATCACGTGAAGGGATGGGTCTATTTAATTTTAATATCTATGATGCAGAGGGGATTCCCCGTATCATAGATTGCAATATGGCTATATTATATTGCAATCTATAGTACGGGGAAAAACGAACATAATCATAAACTAGAGATTCTACGTTTTCAACTTTAACTGCAATCAATAGGCCTCAAAGAATGCCAATGGGTCACGAGAGAATGGCTGATATGTTATTTCTGGCCTTTGAAAAAATATCAAAATCAGTTGATCTGAACGAAGTTCTTCACATTTTTAATAACATGGCAAATTGTACAATTCAGCTGTTTTAAATGTTGTTATAATTATTATTTTATCTATTATAATATGTTTGTAGAAACAATATGATCTAAATGGTATTTTTAGTCGTATCTATTTACTCATATCACCCCATCCAATGATTAATTATTAGCTCACTTTTACTCAGACGTGGATCTCTACATCTTGTTCACTTGTTCTTCATCATTGAGGATCTAATAGTTCTTAGATCTAGGCTCTTGTTCTGTGACATAAATTATTTGTTTACGAATAGCTATTGACCTAGAGGTGATTGATTTAGTAGCCCGGGCTTCGGAGCAGGATCAATTATAATATTTTTTTAACTTTCGCCCTACCTATAACTAATGCTGTCCTGCCTCAAATTCAACTCTAGCTACAACCCTGCGTCAAAGCAATATATGCAACTCCAATAATTAATGAAAGTTTATTACTTCGAAATAGTCTTAAGTAATACAAGAAACATTTAAAATGGGGAGGCTTCTCTAAAAGCAGGCTGTCTTAGGAGACTCTCGATTAATAATAATATTTTTATTTACATGCAAAAATCATATATTGCACTTAGCTCTATAAACATTTGATAATGGATGGAGTAAGATAGCAACTGCTCGACAGTGCATGCGCGGGAGGAAGCGAGGAAATACGCTTTGATGTACATGTATACGAATTTTCAGCTTATATTAAAAAGGCTTTGTCAAATACTTTCATTTCTTTTTACTAATTTTGTAACATTTAATACATTAATTAAATTTTTGTTGCTCATAAAATAGAGTAAACAATTACAATACATAAAAAATATAAATCGCTGTCCAAGATACAACCTCCTTGGATTTTGAAGACGCTTAAAAACTGAAAATATTTACGTATTTATAAAACCTCATGTAGAAGGTCTCTCTTTTAAAAATCTCGTCTGTTTCACAGATTTTATTACTATGTATGAACAACTTATATAACGCTAGAATAACCAAAGAAAAATTATTTGAAAATTAACGCCCTTCAGATATACCGAAGCATTCCCATGCGAAAGTGAAAACCTACGAAACTATTGCTAATGCTAATCTACTGACATTAACGCAGCTATTCCACCGAGATATAAATATAGCGAAACAAAGCTGTAAAACCTGCCATACTACTAATGTATATATTTTTTGATTATTTCGATAATGATGGTAATTCTTAATGATGAACCATAGAGATATAGAAATTAATGAATTGAATTTGGCAGTGGAATCGAAATCAAACTTCAGCTCTAGAAATGGCTACAAACAATTGTCTATTCCTTTTTCCTTTTCGTGCGGCCGTGTCACCGCGTGGTTCACGTCCGCGTTTCTCGTAGAAACATTTACAATGGCTATCAGACCAGTTTACAGACCAAAAATCGTCAAAAAGAGGACGAAAAGGTTTATCCGTCATCAGTCAGATCGCTATGATAAACTTAAACGCAACTGGCGTAAACCTAGAGGTAAGTTAGGCAAAATACTAGCGCTTTATTTTTTCGTGTAACCCAACGCGTGTGTTTGTATTATTAATTAAATTACAATTAAAACTGCTTGATAGAGCTTCTAATCAGTATCCTTGAAACAAACAAACTGAAAAATCCATTAGGTAAAGCGTTAATGGGCCCACTTAAAATGTGAGGTTATGTTTAAGTAGTCTTTTTATTTTTTTTATGAATACTATCATGCAAGGGCACTCTGTGTTATTCATTCTCAATATGATACTCACAATTTGTTACCTTGCTATAATAAATCTGCTAAACCCTATTCGACATAGCTCCTATAATGGTTATGTGGTCATATTAGTAGACACATTATCAATAGCAATTTCCATTTAACGACACTTACGATCACACTCTTGATTTTGTTATCCATAACATGGACCAATACATTATTCAAAATCACTCAGATCCATAGATAAGTAAACAGACAGCCAGTTGCACAAACGTCCATAAAAATTTTCATTAATTTAGAGCAACATTACAGATGTAAATTTGATATGCATTAAAACTTAAAGGTGTCATTAAACCTTGATGGACGTTTGTTCAATCGACTGTGAATACTTATATGACATTTGATGAAAACTTACAGGTATCGACAACAGAGTACGTAGACGCTTCAAGGGTCAGTATTTGATGCCCAACATTGGTTATGGCTCAAACAAGAAGACCCGTCATATGCTACCAAATGGCTTCCGCAAGGTAAGATAAACTTCCTTTCACAATTTTATAAATAATAACATATAATATTGTGAAAATTATAAGAGATGGTAATTATGTGGAGGGTATTCTATGGAGCCATAACCCTTATTAGAATAAGGCTGCCTTATTTTGTTCAGGATGGGGTCAATGACCTATAGCATCCTATGAAACAATATTCAGTACTTTACAGAAATAATACCAGGCTCCAAGGTTAATGATACATATTGGTTATTTTCAACTCTCTCATGTTATTTTGGGTCATTGTCCATCTTTTCACCTGCCCTAGGAACTGACTAATACTGTGTGAATAAAACCAACTGCTCAAATAAAAAAAAAAATGTATATGTATTATTTAAATCTGCATTAATTATATTTGTGATTCCAAACCCGGATTGTAAACTTATAATTAGCAGAGGTCGGAATTAGGTAGAGTTATTTATGTACTTGCATCGAAATGTTGATATTAATGTGGACCTTCCCGGGATTTGTAATGGACAATCCCGTGTGGCCAACAATCTTACAACTAAATAATGTGCAGTAGTTTAAATTGTGTAAAAGTAAATAACTTTTTATTTAAAAAAATCACAGGATTTAATCTGCTCTTTAAAATTAATCTCGGGATTTGAGGCATATCCACTTTATTCTTTCGCTGTATGAAATCAGTGTAAGTACATGAATAACTCTACATAATTCTGACCACTGATAATTAGAGAAAGTAATGAATTTATCATTGCATCTAAACAAAATATGAAAAAGTAAAACATTTTGGCTGAAATGAGTTGTATTATAAAATTAAGACCCAGTTGCACAAACATACATTAAAATTGTCATAACCAATACAATTTTAAAATTTTGAACATTTTGTTGCTTAGTCATCATTAAATCTTAATTGATGTTTTTGCAACTTACAGTTTAACCATTGAATTAAATGATATATCAATGTCAGCTGTATCTATTCTATAACAATCATTTGTGTATTTAAACAAACCAAGTCTCTGAATAATTTAAGCCGAATTTTTAGATTACACCTATAATATTGTATGCCTTTATTTTGGAATTTATCTTGGCTTAGATGTCTATATTCAACATGATAATTTTCAATTTGTACCAGCAATTCCTATGATTAGTGTGTTCAACCAAACATACTACAGCTTTTTAATATTAGCATAGATAAAATGAATAATCAGTACTGTATTTCGTTTTTAACAGGTTCTAGTACACAATGTACGCGAATTGGAAATCCTAATGATGCAGAACAGGAAATACTGTGCAGAGATTGCCCACGGAGTTTCATCCAAGAAGCGGAAGACAATTGTGGAGCGCGCACAACAGCTCAGCATTAGGGTCACCAACGCAGCGGCGCGTTTACGCAGCCAGGAGAATGAATAAACTTTACAATAAAAATACTTAAAAAAATAACTTTGTTTTTCTATGCTTTTTTAAGGAAAAAAGAGGAAACCCTTATAGACCACGTTGTTGTCCTTCCATCTGTCAAAACCTTTTTTCTCGGGAATACCGATCGTACCGAACCGAATACCGAGGTATCGATCTGAAATTTATATCAAATACAAAAGTCTACTATCCGTGACCTTTGGAACTGAAAAAAACAAATTTCTAAGCAAACGCAATTAAAAGATACAGCCGTTAATACCGCGAAACTCTAGGGAATCAATACTTACTCCCGTGAACGCAAAATCTTGGAATTTGGTACGAAGCAACGTCTTATATAGCATAGATAAAAGAAAATTGCGAAAACCGTAAATATTTCGCTGCATCATGTAACAACAATATTTTCAATAAATACCTACAGGTTCATAAGTAACCCTCTGTGCATGAGTCCGACTCGCACTTGGCCAGTTTTTTTTTTAATGAGAAACTAAAAAAACGAAAGCACTAAAAAAGCATCTCCACAAGATGGCGACTCTAGCAAAAGTTGATTTTTGCCGGAAACGAATGGACCAAAGACAGTCATTTCCGTTCCTTTTAACTAACATATTAAAAAACTGAAATATGCAAAGTTCGAACCTTAAATATCAATACAAATACGAAAAAGTACAAATAGATTAAGAGTTATTTATTGAGTTTTGAGAACTAATTTAAATAGCGATATCTAGTTAAATTTCGGGAAATATATTTTTTTTAAATACTTCCTCATTGGGCGAAATAAAGACGAAACTGCTTAATTATCGCGCCTGGCGTTGAAGTAGCTAGAGAGGGACACTTGGCAAATAATGCGTAAAAACTATTTATAATTTCTACTACAATATTGAATTCCTCTGTTAAAAAAAGATAGTTGAAATTAAATCTGCCTTTATTGACCCTTTTTTTAGTGATGGGAAATGGCCTACTCGCGGGTCGGACGTCTCTTTCCTGCTGTGACGAGAGAGATGGGCGTGGGCGTAAGAGCCGCCCGCCAGCGATTTCACCCGTGTGGTACCTAGGCACTGTATATTTGACAAATTGAATAGTAAAAAATTATCCAACTGATAACGTTTTAATTCCCGATACAAACTTCCACTCCCATTTTTTATCCCTTTATTTGCTTGTTCATATTCTAACGTTATTTTTTGTTATTATTCCCATATTTTTAAATCATAGAAGTATTTAAATATTATTTTATATGTTGCATTACTTTTACACATGTCGCCGATAGATAGCGTTAAATGTTTTCTAAAACTCTAGTAGACCACTCGGAGTAGTAGTACAAATGATATATTTATAAACTTTGTTCATATCAATTATAACCCCCCATCCGATCTGGCTGATCATTCCCCTTTAGGAAGTCAGCCGTATTTTCAATCCGATGAGCCGAGACCCCACAGGGTTAACGGCTAATATCTCGATGTCCCATGTCAATGAACCTTCACATTTCACTTGCATGAAATGTGAAGGTTCGTTGCCCCTTCAGGGCACGCAACCAACTGTTCAAGGCAGTGTTTAGTCGGTAGAAGTCTGACATAACCTTCCTCCCTTGGGAAGGTGGTTCCACATACCTAAAGTTGAGATCCGAAGAAATCGATTACATCATGTAGGTCCAATCGATTTTTTTAGCTTAACACAATCTGTCATTTTACTCGAAACCTGGCTGGTAATAATAGGTTTTCTTTTTTCTTTAATCCATAATAATAAACCTTTAGAACGTATAGAAACTAAATTATTTAAAATGTTCACTTACTTGAGAGGCTAAGTCTCTGGTGAGATCCATTTCGATTACTGTGGATAATTACAAGTTAATATTTATGCAAAATTAATCAAAATATAATAATTACAAGTTATCTTGGATCGTCTTATGGCTGCATACGAAAACAGGCGCTCCATAATGAACAGCATCATCTTTAAGAAGCTAATAATTCAAAAACAATTAGTAGGTACATGTATCTGCTGGTGCTATTCGCCAGTAACATGACACAGCTGGAGAATGTCTCCAGTCTTTACAAAATTTAGGGATCAGTATTAGCTTTTGGGATCTAATTCTCATTTGTGTGTTAAGCCAGAAATTTAATCCTGATTCAAGAGCTAAATGGAAGGCTGAAGTAGCCAAGGTATCATCTATGCAATTACCGAATTTTAAGCAATTTGAGGAGTTCCTTGATAGATGATTCAGGTCTCTGGAACACAGAGTTGTAGATAAAAACTAGAATAGTGAAGCTCAGAGCGCAAAGTCACACACAGTCACAACTTTAGGTTTTCATTGCGTATTTTGTGAGGATAAGTACAAAATAAGTAATTGTAAGAGTTTTGCGAAAGAAGATGTAGATTCAAGGAGACAGTTTGCTCAATCTCAACGATTGTGTTTTAACTGTCCAAGTTGTAAACATACGGTGTACGAGTGTACTGTGACAACCACTTGCCGTTTAAATAAGAAAAGACACCACACCTTACTACATCATGAGCAAGTAGATAACCAGTCTCCAGGGACAAGCAAAGTGGTTGCAAATTGTAAATAATCCTTGTATTTAACACAGTACTGAGAAGCCGTATATCAACGGGTCGTAGTACAGTTCTTTTAGTCACTGCTTTGGTAACGGTAGCGAAATCTTCCAAAAGCAGATCTGCCAGCCTCCTGATATCCTTATTAGATCAAAAATCTCACGTGTCCTTTATTACTGAGTCTGCACCTCAACGGTTAAGCCGCAAACGGACTAAAGAACCTTTAAAGGTTTCTGGATTGGGAGGACTGGATAACTCGTGTCTAAGTCTGCTGTGTGTTTAAGTACCACATTCTTTATATTTCTTGCTCGTGAAGGCTCACGTGGTGAACAAATTATCAACCTTGTTGCCAAGCAAAAAAGTAATATTGGTATTTCGCTCTTTCTTCCTTTGAGTTGGTTGATCTATCTTACAATGAACTGGGTCTCATAGCTCTTTTTCTGTGTGCTGAAGTGTTCAGCAGAATTCTCATGGAAGGTATGATCAAAGGAAATGGTGGAGATTTCTTTGCTCATAAAACCAGATTTGGTTGGATATTGTCTGGGGTAGTAGAAGATTCGGGTCATCCAACAAAACGTTAAAACATTCAATTTCCACGCTATCACCACAACGGATATTGATGATTACTATGTGTTATTAAAGCGTTTTTGAGAGCTGGAATCTGCTGGAATCTGAACCTTAACCAAGCAAATCCTCATGCAAGAAGAACAGGCAAGGAATTGTTTACCGCAACAACTAAAAGAGACGACATTAGTAGATATGTCGCAGACTTCCTTTCAAAACCGAGGACCCAAAATTTAGATATGGGGGCTTTAAGAGCATACAAAAGGTTAAAATAGAAATAGAATACTCAAAATTCATTCACGAGTATTTAAAAATGGGTCAAATACAAATATGTGATTTTAAGAAAATGCTGTTTAATTACCTCACTATCCCGTCATTCGCGAAGACAAGGATACCGCAAAGGTGCATGTAGTGTTTGACACTTCATGTAAAGGAGCTAATGGCTCTTCGTTGAATGGCGATCTGATGGTTGGGTCGAAACCTGAGCTGCGACATTTAGTGGTGAGGTGGTGAAACCATCCTTTCTCGCAAATCGCTGACATTGTGAAGATGTATCGTCAGGGTACAGGTAGATAGTAAGCAGCTCGTCGAGCTATCTCAAACCTTTACATTGACTTAATGACTAGACTAGATTTATCAGTATATGATATTTTATCAAAATTCGTTTAGTAGTTTTTGCGTGAATAAGTAAAAAACATCCAAACTTACGAACTTTCGCCTTTTTAATATTAGTAAGTTATTCAAAGACCGTGAGTTCGCTAACTATGCTGCTGCATGTGAGAGTGCGTGTTGCCTTTGTTGTCTCAGAATAATTAAGAACATAATGTTCTTGAGTTATGTTTCAGTGTGCGAATCCATTTTTTTTTTTATTTCTAGTAAGTGGGCATTTCTAATTCCTGAACTGCTAATATAATAATAGCATAATAGCATCAAGTTACGTAATTGTTAGTTGTTTCAAAAGTATCATCAAGATTTATTAGATCAATCAGTCAAATACTAGTACCATTATTTGGATTACCACTACTATAGAACAATATCAGAGTCTGATATATTAGCACAAAACACCATTATATCAAACTTATAATAGCACGAGTCCAAGCGTTAAGCATTATAATAAAATCGTATATCAACCGTATTTCTTTTAAACGACTCTTATACGTAAAATTTGGGCCCCCCCTTTGTACGACTTTAAGCTTTATAAAAGCTGTGCAATAGCACTACAACTTTTGTATAATAGCATTAATAAAGTCGGGTAAAAGCATTCTAATAGCCACAAAAAGTTCAATTAGCACCTTAAAGTGCTAATTGAACTTTTTGTGACTATATTACAATTGATATGCGGAAATCAAAATTATAATACGTTAATTTAATGTTATAAAAATGCTTACTGTTTTATTTCCTTTGTAAAAAAAGTATACTTAATAGATTTTAAAAACATATAATCGGTTTAAATTATTGTTTTGTGTAAGTGTCATGACATGTTCTCTTGGCTGGTCTTTTAAGTATTTTTGAATATTGATTTAAACAGCTCGTTATGTGTGAAATAAGCTGCAAACATCAGTTTGTGGAGTAAAATATACAAGTTTATGGTGTAAAATACACGCGCCTTCGCAAACTTCCTTTAATATAATAAAAATAATAAAAAATTTAACCTAGTAGCAAAATTTTTTGTTGAATTTTAGGCTTTTTAGCATTGTTTTAACAACATAATTGCTTTTATAGGCATCTGTGCACAAAATAAATGATTATTTACCCCTTTTCATCTGACTTTAAATACTTTGTAAGAATTGGAAAAAGAAAGCAAATGGCGACTCGTAAAATTAAAGCTTATTACACCGGGCTAATAGATATTACGATAGCATTAAACATACAAACTAAACAATTTCATAAAATAAGTTAATAAGAATAAGAATATTTTAATGACATTCACACCATAACATTACAACAACAAGAACAAAAGACAAGAAAAGACAAAATCCATTTCTAAAAAACTATATATAAATGTGTGGTTATATTGTGTGAAGGCCAATTAGGACCCTGTCTCAGCTAATGTCGCTACTGTGTTTCATCACAGTACCGACGCTGGCATTATGACAGGGCCTATGTAAAAATGATAAAAGAAAGTAGGTGTACAGATAATACTATATTATCTTGATTAAATTGTTTTATTGATGGACTTCTATTTTTTTCTTTTCACTGTTACTTCGAAAATGCAAAGGAATAAATCGTGTGTTTTAATTTATTTGTTTTCTATCAGAATGCGAGTCGCAGATTTTCTCTTACACCAAATTAATAAATTCCTATATTATACTCGTACCTATTTGTAAGTGATTTGCCACTTCGAGATCATGGTAGAGGATAGCTGCTAACCGGAATCGTCCTGCGTGCTAACCTCGCGTGACGTTCAGTAATAATTCCATTGCCAAACTGATGTCAAATGTTGGATGGTGTCATGCGAAGGGTGTGTGTATGTACTTGATCATAATATACGAAAACAAAACTTACCGGAGAGTTTTTAAATTGTTCGATATTAGATAAAGCCGACAGCACATCAAATTGCTACAAAAGGTCTTCTCCAAACAATTTTTGGCCTTATTTTGTTGATGGTTAAGTTTGCAATTGATTGCACATCCTTTTGTAGCTGATGTGATACAGTGTATAAATTTCTATTCTGTTCTCCTTAAATTTCTTTGAAGTATGGTTCAAATTCCGATTGTGGTGGTCAAGCTTTTCTATTCAATTTCATGTTAGCACTGTGAATACTTGTGTGCAAACTACTAGTAACTTAAATTCGTTGAATATACCTAATTTTTATCCTTTAAACATTAATTTAAATACAAAATCCTGGGACTAGGAGAAAACAGGGATGTACCGACAGGTGTACGTAGCTGAGACTTAAGACGGGACCCGAACTAGAATCTATCACTTATTGAGCTACCCAAGAGTCCTGGAGCCTTAGCGACACACCAACAAAGAGAACAACACCTCAAAAAAAAATCTGTTAACATTTAAAAGGTTTTTCAGAATATTTTATACACATAAGCCTCTTTTTATTCAGGTACGACAAGGACAAAGTGACGCACGAAGATGACGAGGAGAGGTTGGCTCATAAAGATATCTATGCTGACCTTGCGACGGTTTAATTTAAAATTTAAATTCGCAGATTGCCAACTGCATTGCTTAAGTTACGCATAAACCTTTCCAAAATGGCTGATCATTGGCAAAATGTGCTATGATTTTATTTTTTATGATACACGCGCAACGGTACCAAGTACGAACAGCCGTGTTGTTTATACAGGTTGATAATTTGCGATATTTCAAATATAATATCAAGTTGTATGTTTTCTCGCTTATGTATTTTATTCTTTTTGGATATAGAGTTCTCGCTTCAAAGAAAATATATACTATTTCGAATGCACGTTCTTTATTTGAAGTTTGCTTAAAAACAAGTATTAGATCCTAAGTGTAAACTTTTGACCGTTCATGTAAGAAGTTATCAGAACATTATCGTACCTATAGGTTAAACCATGTTCAAAAGCAAGCATATTTTAGTAAGTATAGATTTGTAATAAATGTTCAAACTATTTTCTGTATCATTTGAACTGGTAGACAGATTCAAATCCAGTATGGTACGAAATTTTTTCAACCCTATATTATAATTTTATAAAATAATTATAACTTTTTTCTATATAAGTCGAGGAATTCACATTCACGACTATTTAGTTTCGCTGTCAAAAAGCAGTAACAGAACATCCTGTATGCAAACAATATTTGTTTACCGAATGCTGTCTCGTGAGCGAATCATGCAAAACTCGCTCACAACAAACCAGCCAGTTCGTCCACAACAATCGCAAGTAGTACAAACTTTCGAGCATCAGCAGTAAGTCTATAAAAAATATGTGTTTGTAGATAAATAAATAAAAGACTAAAAATATATACCGATACTTACCGACTTTGGGTTAATATTACCGATTTTAATGTGCTAATAATACCCTTAGAATAATAACTAAAGCAGTAATATCTACATATGAAATACTTACCTATATTACCATTATTGCATCGAATCTATAGATTAGTGAATAATAGTATGCCTAGGCACTTTTTTATTTATTTTACAAATAATTTTAATTAAATACCATACTCTACGAGACAAAGGGTAAACGAGATGGGATAAAATTGAATTATTTCATCTTACAATATTGAAGTGTATATTACTGTCTAAATACTCATAGAAGGCTTTACACTCTTCGTCCAAAAAAAGTTATATAAGATTTAATTTATATATTTTTCTTTTTCTTAAGTTTACTTATATACTAATCATTTTATTGTAGGAATGTCGTTGAAAACAATACATCCCGGAAATAAGATGGCGCGCAATTTGCATCACTCAGTGAGATTTACATCTGATGACACCACCAAGCTTAAATCATTGGTAATTTACGGGAGTCAAGAAATATGTCAACTGTATATCACCTACCACATACGGACTGACTCATGAAATGAGCACTTTCTCTTTGTAATATACTAGAACGAACTAATAGCTTATGATATCAGTAAGGTTTTAATGTATAAATGTTTCATTCAGCATCACCCTTTTTCATCCTCACTGCAGCGGCTCAGGCCATCAGGCCTTCCTTAGGGATGTTTATCAGCCATAACTATCCACGCTGGCCCAATGCGGATTGGAGGGTGTTCGGTTAATGACCGAACACTGCATCATATGCATTTTACATAATTTAGGTAAATAATCGCGGCTCGTGGCGAAAAGTAGGTCACCGCCAGCCAGCCTGTAGTTAGATATGTTTTTCAGTAGAACATTTCGACCCCATTAAAGGTTGGATGTTACCTCAATACAAACATTATTTTTACTTTATCCTCCCCTACGCTACGCATACTCATCCCCGAACAGAGGGTACAACGACTGCACATGTCGCCTGAACCAACAGCTTAATGCTTCCAAGTCACAGAGTATCGTTTTATATAGATAATAGTTTTTATGGTCACCCATCATGTGAGCAACCCATGCGAAAGATGCTTGGCAACATCGATCGCAGGCCATGGCGCTCATCTACGGCACACAGCCCGTAATGTTTTATTAATGAAAAATATTATTATTATTATTATTATTTAATGTCCAGGATAGTCATACTGATCAATCACCAGACAGTCTACCGAACTATGTACCATCATATCCAGGACCGGACTCGGGAGCGCCTAGTCCTGACGGATGCAGTTTCCAACCAGCTGCTCAAAGATTTAAAATTAATGAGCAGAGTGAGTACAACTATATAGCTAGCTTGTTGGCTTTGTTTTATACAAATTTATACACATGAATTACTACAGAAGACCCGGATTTACCCACTGCCCCCGTTTTGGCCATTTGACACTTCAAGGCGTCCTTACTAAGACACATAAAAATATATAAAAATATTTCAGTAACAGCTGTGATGTATCAAAGTTCACTTCCTTATAGTTAAAATTAAATTAAACTCACAAATGGCCAAATTCAGGTCATAATCTTAAAAGTGCCAAAATTGGGTCATCTGCCCCTTATTAAATAAAAAATATTCCTACAGATTTCAGCTTTGAAAATATGGAGAATTTACATAATATAGAAAGTATACGCCTCAATTTACATTGACCTCTTCAAACGGGCAGGAGTGCATGCCTTTCGGCGGGGCCACTATCAGAGCACGACTAAGGAACGGAATACTGGTGACTGGTTCGGTGCACGCTAGGCTGGACATTGGTATCCGGGGCTATCGGGGTGAGGGATTCACGAGGGTTCAGCCCGTGTGAATTCCCTCTCTTAGACGGACTAGGGTGGGAGATGCTCAATTGCGCATCTCTTGCCTTTGACAGGGGGCAAGTCTGGCGGGTTAGCGCGCTCGCCAGGCATTGCACGCTCCTTGTCCTGTCTGGGGATGGACTCGAATGTTCCTGAGCCCTTCCCTAACCCGAGACGGGACCCGCCCTGTTAAAGGGGTGGGTCGAGCGGGGACGGCATGCGCGGGCCCGTTGGGGACCGTTACCGCGCGCTGATCCCCCGCAGTGAGGGACATCGCTGAGTTTTAGTGGGTAGGCCCCTGCTCTTTGACCAGCCCCATTCTGGGGTTGGTCCGCAGGGGAGAGTCCCACATAACCCGTGGAGCTCGCGCAGGGTGAAGCGGGTATGCGGAATGCATTTCTCAGCGTCAAAAAAAAAAAAAAAGGAGTGCATGCCTTGTACCGATGGAATACCGAGGTTGAGACTCGGAGCCTCTACGAATTATAATTACTAAAAAAATTAAATCCATCATGACACTACAAGTGGTAAAATGTACCGAAATTAAACGGCTTTACTTTTTTATAGGGATAAAACTCCTCACCACTGTGAACCAAATTGTTCAGCAACGAGCGGAACTAGAATCAAACCGTATTACCCTCTCCGGATTGTTAGACGAACTGCGAAGGAAGCTGAAGAGGAGAATAGAAGAATGCCACTTTGAGAAGAAAGAGAAAGTTAGAGTAAGTACACGATTCAAATCAAGACAAAAAGCACCAGTAATATTTGATAGAATGAATGAACAAGTGACAAAAAGCCAAGCCTAAAAAAGAAGTTCAAAATTGCAAAATTTCAAACCCGATGACAACGCTAATAAATAATGAAAATGTTACCAGTATATTTAATATCAGTGCTAACCCGGCGAACTTGATGCCATTTTTAAATCAGCCCTTGAGTGCCCTATATTAGAAAGTATCCTGTCAGGCTCCAACCTGCCAAGTTCTTACATGAAATATCAAACCATTACTACGAGCCATCTTTGCAACATGTAAAAACACTTTAATGAAAGTAAAATATGCATAAGTTCCTTATTTACAAGTTTTTCCGATAAAGCCTAGCTGTCTTTGTCTTTCAGGCACTAAAGCAAGCGAATCAAAGGTTAGAAAGAGAGAAATTTGCCATCATGACAGAGATAGAACATCTTAAGAGACATTTGGAGAAAGAAGAGTCGCACCATGTGAAACATGTCAGAACTGCTGTAGCGCAGGTGATAACTTACGTCAAAATTCTTCATTAGTTCCATAAATCCTGTGAATTTAATCGAAACAGTGATTCCTAACCATTAGCGTCGTAATTATTGTTACAGGCTATACAAGGTGTTGTGAAGAACACGCCGACTGATCTCTTCAACCCATGCTCGGTTACAGACTTGCCCAACGTAGTCTGCAGGAACGTCGCTAGAAACGCGCCTTCTAGAGTTGTAAGTATACTACGTTACAGTAATATATAACTGCAGAGCGATTACGTAAAAACCGAACCCAACTTCGAATTCACTCAAGTGACCGAACTCACTTCGAAAGCGAATCCGCTTAACCTTGAATTGATACGAGGGTCAAACTGAAAGTTCTTAGAAAATCAAAAACTGATTACATTAGCCAGTTATTAGTTTTATTATATCTTTTCAAAATATTGTCCATTCACGTCAATACACCGCTGCATGCGATGGAACCACTGGGAAAAGCACTTTGCCCACTCGTCCTTAGGGGTCTCTTCAATGGCATCGCGATACGCAGCCACCGCTTCTTCAGCATTCATAAACCGCTTTCCTTTAAGTTTTTTTTTAATTTTTGGAAATAAATAAAAATCACAAGGCGCGAGGTCGGGGCTATACGGCGGGTGACCCAGTAATTCAACGTTTGATGTCGCCAAATAGTCGATCGTTCGCTTGGCGGTGTGCGACGAGGCGTTGTCGTGGTGAAGGAGGATCCTACTGCGATGTCGTTTCTCTCGAACTTTTTCCAAGACAAGTGGCAAATAATTGGTAGTGTACCATTCTGCAGAAACTGTTTTTTGATCCTCTAACACAATTGTTGCAAAATGACCTATCCTTCCAAAGAACGAGGCCACCATTTTTTTTCCGGCACTTCGATCTCTCTTCACTTTAGTTGGCAACTCCTCGAAAGGAAACACCCACTGAGCAGATTGTCTTTTGGTTTTAGGATCATAACAGTAAATCCAGCTTTCGTCACCTGTTAGTATGTCGAACACAGCATTTGAGTCACCTCCGTTAAATCTTTCAATCATTTTACGACACCAATCCACACGATGGAGTTTTTGAGCCTCAGTCAAATTATGAGGTATCCACCGGGCGCAAAGCTTCCTGACCGCTAAATGTTCGTGGAGGATTTTGTGCACTTGACTCATACCGATGCCTAAGCTTGTCCGAATCTGTTGATAGGTCACTCTTTTGTCAGTCTCTATCATACGCCGCACAACACAGATGTTATCTTCAGTCGTCGCCGTAGAAGGCCGTCCCTCACGTAAATCATCAGTGAGATTAGTGCGACCACGTTTAAACTCATTAAACCAGTTGTAAACAGTCGCACGAGATGGGGCTTCATCGTGAAAGGCCAATCGTAGTCTATCATAACTTTCTTGTTGACTTAAATGACATCGAAAGTCATAAAAAATCATTGCACGAAAATTTTCTCGTGTTAAATTCATGATGACGTGACACAGACAATTTTCAATTTGCCGCCAAATCGTAAAACAAATGACAAATGAATGAAATATATACTCAGTAATATTGGCAAAGAGTTATATTTTCAAATTTTAGAATTATTTTTTTATTATATTGTTTATAAGTGGCCAGTTCTAAGAACTTTCAGTTTGACCCTCGTATTTACGTTTCGTGGCATAAGTGAAGTGAGTTTGGAAATGTAATAAAAATAAGTTAATCTTGATTTGAATTTTTATACAAAAAATGAAATCAAAATAATATTCTACACTAATATATCCCAATAAAATAGTTTACATTATTCACTATTAATCTTGAAAAATATGAAATAAAAGAAATGTTAAAGTGGTTTGTGGTCTAATAGAAGTCTTATATAACCAGTGGCGTAGCTACCAAGGGGCTAGGCGGGGCAGTGCCCCGGGGCCCTCAAGCTCAGGGGGCCCTCGAATCTTTATCAGAAAATTTCAATCGAACTCAAATTTTGAAAATTTCTCCCATTTTCAAAATAAATATGACAGGTGACAACTCAAGTTTAATTATGACAACTCAGTTGTAAGAAATTCCAAAGTTATAAAAAGGGAATTCCCCTAAATTATTTGTGTGGGTTGACAGTGTTATTAATGTTTTCATCAATTTGTCGGATATCAATATCTGCATATTATTATTTATCGATATGCGTTTTTGTGATTCGCGATTATGAACTTCGAGTCAAGGTTTTTTTCGAGAAGTAGGCCCCATTTTTTTATTTGCCCCAGGGCCCTAGGTTACCTAGCTACGCCACTGTATATAACCCCAATGCTAGTTTTAGTGGCGTGAGACAGAGATCTCACCTAAATGCGTTGTATTTTATACCTTATTATTATTAAACTTCGGTATTGGTAGACCGAGATGGTGACTGTAAATAATTTTAAATAAATCTAAAATCTAAGACTAATATTGTAAATCTGTATTCTATAGGCAGACAATAAGCTAGCAGCCGCGAGATTAATGCGTGACATCGCAGAGCTGAGGCAACGCGTGGCACAAGTTGAAGCAAGGCTAGCAAACGAACTAAAGGTATTTATATCACACCTGTGTATAAAGAAAAAAACAGTGAAAAATATATAAATGTGCACTTAGTTGTATTTTAAAGTTTAGGTAATAATTAATACACTGGCTGCTTGGGCTTTTCAATAAGGATGCCTGGGTAAAAAAAAAAACTAAATTCCATTCAGTTCATTAGTCAGATAAAAGAACAATATTAGATACGTATTTTTTTACTTCAATTTAACATGAAATAATTTAGATAATTGGCACAAAAGTTGAGAAGTAGGGGCTCACACTTCACGACTATGAAGAAAACGAACAAAGGTGTGACGTCATGCGACATTTCAATTCAATGTATCGCCGTGGTTGATTTATTACACACATAATAATAAATACGTGTTAAATATTCTTTTATAATCTACCCAACGGACAGACAAACAAAAACTAATCATCATTCGTATTATATTTACATAGCAGGGGAATGATAAACGCATAGAGCATCAAAACTTTAAGGGGCATGATTAAATCATGGAAAGCTTTATAATAATGAATCACTCAGTATCAATTCATTTTTCAATGATATTACACGCATCTCTATTTCGTCATTTAACTTTGACGTATGATAAAATGTTCCCGCCACTGCTAATATGGCCGCTTTAAGGGCGCTTGTGCACTACACTGATTTTTCAGGTCCAGCGGTACTCTACGTGCGAAGACGTAGAGAGATACCTAAATAATGACCTGATCATTTTACATAAACCATAATATTTTTTTTTACTACTATCGGATGACTACTATCAGATGTAAAAACTTATACCCTTACTTATTTTAGGAACAGCATTATCCACATACAATAGCTAAAAATATCTGTGACATTAGAATAAAATTATTGATAATGTTCTAGTACTTGATGTTTAAATTTATAAACGTGCTATTTTTCTTCGAAGTTTTGTAAAAACGACTTAAGCGATTATAGATATAAACCAATCGTTGGCGCCATTTCGTAAACAAATCGAAATTAGTGCACAAGCGTAAACACGGTTTTCATTGCCGCCATCACGGACCTGAAAATACCGGTCCGGAATAGAGAAAATTAAAATTCCTGACAGTGCACAGGCTAGCATTACCTACATATGGCCTGACATATCGGACCTGAAAATTCAGTGTCTTTATGCACAAGCGCTCTTTATGTTTGTTGCAAACTTTTGAACGTAAAAAGTGAGTTGTTCACTTTACAATAGTCATTTCAGCGGATTTTATAAGTGGACCTCTCAGTAGGAAGCTTATATTGAAATATAATAATACTTAAGTATGATAATTTATCTATTTATCTAATATATAGCACGCAGGTACTGTTGCTTGTCAATGTTACAGCACATCTGTAGTGAGTTCAGTGGGTGCGTCTTGATAGATTTGCAAAGACTCGAAATAGCTAAGGCATGTTAATGAAAACTACCACCACAACGTATTTAGAGTACCGTACCCAAACGGTAAAATGGAAACACTATTACTAAGACTTCGTTGTCTGTCTGTCCGTCTGTCAGCAGGCTGTATCTCATGAATAATTTATCTCAAATGTAACATAATCGTTGGGAGTATTTGAAAATCGATTATAAATAATTTAACCAAAAAAATCTATCACAAGATCAATAATTGTCGTATTTTGTTCAAAGAAGATGAAAGTTTACCTAAAAAATAAAACGTAAATAAAGTAGGTACTAGACATGTGCGCCGATCAGCGTGGCGCACGCCGCCGGTCAAATAAGCCACGCCTACGCCGCCGGGTTTTTGACGTGCGTTATCAGCGTCAAAATCTAAAAAATATTCCTAACGTATTTTATTTACATACTTAACAAAAGTGTAATTTTTTACAAAATTCAATAAATATTATTTTTTCCGCTTCTGGAAACACTGGTTGATATTTTTCATCACCACTCGCATTTTTTTGTCACTTGTTAGTTTAGCACGAACTTGCTCAATCGATTTTTGAGGTTTTCAACGGCAACTGATCAAAAAGAGTCAGCCTCCGTTCTCCATACACGTCATGATCATCAAATTTTATTTTGGCCATATCCCAGAAGTATAGGTGGTAACGAATGTTGAAAATACTTTTGTGAATGCTACTTCAGAGATGTTCTTGATGGCAACATTCTCCATTATAGGAAAAAGAAAAATAATAGTTATCCTTGGTTATTCCGCTATGTTAGGTCTATAATGAGCGCTCCCGTTACAAGTACGCCCAGCCTCATTGGGTATTTTCAGCCACGGAACTAATCGTTGCTGCAATCGAGTCCGACTCCCGTCGACAAAATAGTTTTGGTCTACTTTTATCCTTGTCCTCTATTTAATAATTATTGTAGTAATTTTCTTTTGTTAATAAGAAATTTATTAATAATTTTATTTAGTAAAAATAGACAAGTAAAGTAATGCATGTCGGAATATTAGGTCATTATTACGAATACTCCGTGATCTTAAATAAGCGTGACATATAATGTTGATTATAAAATAAATGATTAAAAAGTTATATATGGATGTAATCTGCTTGTTTTGCCATCCACGTCGGTCATGCCGAAAATGCCGCCGCCATCGACACTTTTAACGCCAGACGCCGCCGCCGATTAAATGACCATCGGCTCACATGTCTAGTAGGTATTGTATTACGCTTATGAGTTACATTGATGTATTTATGAAGAAATTAAATTTTTGAATTGTGTGAATTTTCTTCCCAATACAAATCAAAATCAAATTTTAACATTTGAAGACCTTTTTATTGATATTCATTTGATTTTGCGAAATCAGTGAAAATTTACATCTTATAAAAAAAAACTACTCTAATCCTCACTAGATGTCGGTACGACATCTAGTGAGGATTCGAAACATTTATGTAAATTCGTAATGTAAATTCGAAACATTTATGTAAATTCTTGACAATGAAAACTGATACATCCGTGAGCCACATTTATTGTATCCCACTGTACCTACCGTTTCTATCTCTGAAATCCCTTGCCGTGTCATGCCACCAGTGAGCGTAGACCACAACTAGGCCTTTCGATATCTAAATACAGTGTATTTCCAGCGTAAGAGGCAGGCTGAGCACGACATTGCTCGACTGAGGAAGGAACTCTCCGCTACGAAAAGCTGCGTCGCTTCCCTCCGGCTGCCCACCAGGCCGCTCGTCAAGCATTGCTCCAAGTTCGCTTGAAACGCTTAACAGAGAAAGAGAGAGACAAAGGCGTGTCGGCTAAAATGATGTATAGCGCAGGAAGCCCTCTTCCATACTAATATTACAAAGAGGATAGATTTGATTGTTTCTATTGATTGGGCTCCGAAAGTGAATCGATTTGAAAATTGTTTCTCCTATTAAAAACAAAAAATATTTCTCCAATTTAGGAGTTATTAAAAAAGTTTCGAAATTACTGTAAATCTTGACAAATATCAGGCCATTATTATCGACAGTCTCAGTTTGATGTGTTCATGGCACCCTTGGTGCGTTATACCGATTGAAAAAAAATTTCCCGTCCAAGGGGCCAATTCTACTAAATAAATGTTGTATAGTATGTCACTTTGTAGAATAGTAAAACCATTAAAAACTGCAGTTTCGTTCGGTTTCGATCCGTTTTCGATTCGATTTAAACAAAATTTATTTAGTAGAATTAGCCCCCGGTACTAAGGCTGCCCTCGTTTCTGTACATTTTCACATGTTTGACTTGTAGATAACGCCTTTATGGCATCAAATCCTCGATTTGCTACTTATTTATTAAATGGCAAAATTAATTTAATAAATAGTAGGTAATGAAAGGAATAAGGAACGACTGGTTTAAATTCGTTGGTTCTCTCGGAATGCGGAGAAGTATGCTGACTTCCTAGATTGTGCTTACTGCGTTTATATAGTCTGCAGCAGTAGGATAGATCTTATAATTTCGTCAATTTAAATACTTTAAATCTCTAGAGAACATAACTGTGAACTCCCAGCTTTATACTTAGGAAGATACTACTACAAATTATGAAGTTGTACTGGAAAACTGTCTGTCATGATCAGAGGTCGGAATTAGGTAGAGTTATTTATGTATTTGCATCGCAATATTGATATTAATGTGGACCTTCCCGGGATTTCTTTATTTCTTCTTTCTTTATTTCTTTCTTTCATTGATGTAAGTTTGGCAACGTCGTGCGTGCAGTAGTTTAAATTTTGTAAAAGTAAAAAACTTTTTATTTAAAAAATCACGGGATTTTTTCTGCTCTTTAAAATTAATCTCGGGATTTGAGGCATATCCACTTTATTCTTTCACTGTATGAAATCAGTGTAAGTACATGAATAACTCTACCTAATTCCGACCACTGGTCATGATTATACGCTTTTATTGTCAACATTAGTATAGTTAAGTGTATATGTGGAAATAAATGAACATCAAACAAGGAACATGAGAGTTTAATTTACCTCATGTTCAATAATTAAATGTTTATTAGTTTATTTTTTTATGGTAGAGCAAATTTTTAATATAGATAAAAAGGGAAAATAAAAATCTGACTTTGAAAAAACCCATTTGTAAAACAAAAACCAAAAACATTTTGTCTGTGGTATTAAAATAGTGCTGATATCGCCGGCCACATCGAAGAGGTCAATCACATCGTTTCTCCCGCGCAACGTGGTGCGTTTTCGAAGTCTGTTTCATCCTTATAGACTTCGGTGGACATTTATAATCCGCCACTTGCTCAGCGTGATTTTTTATGTGTTTCTCGAAAGTTTCATTATTTTTCAAATCTCGCCCACATATTTCACAGTACGACTTCTTGCCGTGCATACATTTTATGTGTTCGGCTAAATGTTGCGCAGTCATATACCTTTTGGGGCAAACAGGGCATTTGTATTTTGGAATGCTGCGATTTTTAAGCATCTGCTGGTGTTTCATTGGAGAAGGCTTTTGCGGCAGGCCAACTCTGTAAAAAAAATGCGATTATGATAACTGGTGGGAAAAACGAAATGGCGCTGATAGTTGATGATATAGCGAACTCTAGAGAATGACATCCATCTTTTCATGCGCCTCGTCTTCCTCAGGAATTCTTTCTCAGCAATTTCAATGAGGAAGTATTTAAAAAAAAATCTCCGTGACAACTTTTCCGGTTTTCTATCAAGTTTAAAAGTAAATTAGTTTTCAAAACTCAATAAACAAGTCATTTTTCTATTTGTACTTTTTCGAATTTGTATTGATATCTAAGTTTCGATCTTTTCAAATTTCAGTTTTTTAATATGTTAGTTAATATGAAAAGAAACAGAAATGACTGTCTTTGGTCCATTCGTGTCCTGCAAAAATCACCTTTTGCTAGAGTCGCCATCTAGTGGAGGCGCTTTTTTAGTGCTTTCGTTTTTTTTTAAATAGTTCCTCATTGAGCGTACGCGACCGCGACGCGAATATAACTTGCGAATCACTTTATCCTCGACTAAATTACTAAATATATCCTTTTCATTATACACTAAAACTTATGTGAACATTTGCCTAATTAAAAGCAATACAATGACACACCAATAACTATCCGTCCGTTTGTTGTTTCAAATCAATGGCCACAATGTAATTTTAATGGATTATGGTTTGAATCAACTTTGATACTCAAGAAAGATAATCTTTCGGTTGAGATAATTCAGTTCAATCCAAATTATTTAAAGTTATGCATCCATACATGAACCCTGATAGGGCGCAGCAAGTTACAAGTTATTGAGAACTTTAGTTATATGTGTACAGTACATGTTAGTAGGTTATCGTTAAGTATCCTCTAGTCTAATGCCACCTGGACCCCTCTACGGGTGAAGGCCTCCTCCAGAGATTGCCACTTAACACGGTTTTTTGCCAGAATTGGCCAATTTCTTGTACCGAATGATTCTATTTCGTCCTTCCATCTCGCTTTTGGTCGGCCTCTGCTTCTATATCCATGGGGACCACTCCACATAGTCACAGTCTTTGTCCACCTCTTATCAGTGTAGCGTGCCACGTGGCCCGCCCACCTCCATTTCAGGCCACGAGCGAAGGACAAGACATCTATCACACCAGTCTGCTTTCTTATTTTCCCATGGCGAACCCTGTCCTTTAGCTTGATGTTTAGTGAACTACGTTCTAAGCCTCTTTGACACGATGTGAGTTTTCTTCTGGTTATGTTATCAAATATCCACGTTTGACATCCATAAGCGAGACAGGGCAAGAGACATGAGTCCATTATGACATCATGGATTGGAGCTCTGTGGGGCTTTCTGAGAAAAGCACAATGTCGTCTGCGAAACACAGTTTATCATACGCAATGAGTATTAGCTATCTAGAGTCATCCTATTCCTAGTATGAGTGTATGTATTATATGAGCGTTCAAAGAAAACAATTCTCATCTTTACACATTAAACTCTGTATCATTTCCGCAAAGTTTCAGTGGCGGACTAATGGGAGAGCGGAAGGGGGCGATACGCCACGGGCCTCTGGTCTTGTGGAGCCTCCAAATCGCTGCAAGTTCCCTTAATCAAATCGTAAATTGGGGTTGGAGGCCCCGTAGATAAATAAGTACTGGGAAAGGAGTAAAAATTAGTGATTCAAAGAATATTCGTTTGGTATTCGGTTTTCTTCCTATTTTTTTACTATAAAAATATCGTTAATATATATACATATTTTAATATTTATAATTAATTAATGGTATTTTTATAAATAATAGTATAAAAACACTAAGCTCGCGGCTCTCTCCGGCAAGAGCCTGTTAGGTTTTAAATAGACTTCAAAATCGGAAAGGAGGAGGTTATATGTTCGACGGCGATGTATATTTTATGTATGTTCACCGATTTTTTCGCGAATTGTTTACCGATATTCAAAATTCTTTTTAACACTACAGCTTGATAGACCAAGGTGACCACATTTAAATTTCATCGGAATCGAATTAGTACTTTTCTTTTTATAACGAAACAAAATATGCTTTTCATCATCACCTAAATATGTTTATATCAACCAAAAAAACAAAAGGTTATGTATTTTGCATTCTTTCGAAATCCGACAGGAGGAGTTTCTGTGTTCAACGGGTATTTATATTTTTTATGTAAGTAGGTATGTTCAGCGATTTCTACTTCCATTCTGAACCAGTTTCTATCAAATTAGATTTTTCCCCGCGACTCTGCCTGCGTAAATTATAGCCCACGTCCCCCTAGTACTATGTAGATTTCCGTAAATGAATTAATTTTATAATTGGTCAAAAAACAACTCAAAAAGCAATAAAATATTTCCTCTTCATAGTACGAGTATAGATTATTTAAAAAAATTATGTCGATCAAATGAACAAAATCTACGACTTTCGCTTTATTGACATATTTTATATAGATATTTGATATTTAAAAATATATTTGATACATAATTATATGCAAAAGCAGAAGCAAAAGCAGGAATTTAAAAAAATAGAACCGATTTCATACATAACCAAGGAATTAAAGAAGGAATAAATAGTGCTTATCTAAAAAGCGACTTATTCAAGAAATTGCTATGGAAGTCGGGCGCCTATCATTTCATAAATAACCTACAGTAAACCTACGCCCAACTTCAATAGAGTTTCTTGAATAAGTCGCTTTTAAGATAAGTATTATTTAAAATTTTACACTTCATATAGGTTATGCGTTCGAAACCATTGTTCATTATATCATAAGGAGTACTTAGAAACACTCTAGCTAAATAAAAATAATGACATAATAAACCGAATAACAAAAAGGTGTACCGAATACTATTCGGGTTTCAGTGTAACCACTATTAGGAGCATCTCTAATAAAAATATGCATAGAGAGGATTGGTAAGAAGGTTTTTTGTACGACCGCAAAGAGGTGCTTGTAAACTCGATTTCGAGTTTTTATCCCGGTTGGAAAAAGTTGTAGATCCAACCTTGATAACGCATCTGGTTTTCTGATGGGCTTAGTCCGCCACTGCAAAGTTTTGCATCTTGTTATACGGGACGCTACAGGTGTTTAGCCATACGTTATGGCAGTAGTGGACATACCTCATCGGAGGCCCGGGTCGACAACTTTTTCCAACCAGGGCAAAAATTCATATTGTTATAATGCCCCCTTAATGTCATTTGGAGGCCCCTTAGGACCGGGAGCCCAGGGCGCCCCCCCCCCCCCCTCCCCCTAGTCTGCCACTGCGTAATGGTTAACATTCGACACTCACATAATACGTCATTATCCGTTTTTTCGCTTGCAGTAGGAAAAGATATCTATACATTTTTTCTTCAAATACAAAAATGTATGCAAAGCTGATAAACTATCTATAAAAAAGAACACAAACCTGCTCTTCCTTCTCATTTCTGCTTTAGCATGCAGTTCCATATGCTCTCTCATCAGCCTGTGAGGCATGACTATATTACACTTTCTGCAAACACTACGTTTATCATCATTCTTCTTGCACCTGGAACATATATAATCCTCTCCACTTCCTGTCCGCACTATATAAGGATACTTCTGTTTACAAACGACACATTGGACGTTTGCCCTTTTTCCAAGAGAGTTAGTTAGCTCACAACTCTTTTTCTTTGCACTGCTAGTTTTAGTGTTCAGAAGATCTACCATATCCCTGTACGTGATGGTGGCCGAATCTTCTTTCCCATACTGTATATTTTGGTGGGATTTGATGCTAAAACTTTGTTGGCTGTCACTGCCACAAGATGGATTAGTAGAACCTGCAGTAAATTATAAATGTCAAGATCTTAATCAGGCTTGAATCTACGATTCTTATTGACCGGGGCAGAAACTTCGTATGGTGCCTTTCCTATTTCATTTCAATAGAGGTGTAGACATTTTTTTTTATATTTTATTTTACATATATTATGTACATGAAATATAACTAGAAAAAAAAGTATCATTCGTTTAATAAATTTAAAATCTAAAATAAATTTATTTTTCAAAATTTCCCGCGAAAACGCCAACTTCTCTGAAACTAATATCGTTCTATTATGCAAAATTTGTATTCATAACTAAGTTTAGCACTTTGAAAATTTCAGTTTTTTTTAAATATTTTAGTTAAAAGGAACGGAAATGTCTGTCTTTGGACCATTCGAAAAAGTACAAATAGAATATGAGTTATTTAATGAGTTTTGAAAACTAATTTACTTTTATACATGAAAGAAAACTGGAAGGGTTGTCATGGAGAAATCAAGAACGTACTGTAGCGACATCTAGTTTGCTTTCGGGAACTAATGTTTTTTTTAATACCTTCTCATTAATCTATGGAAAGAGGACATGATTCTTTGAAAACAGTTTTTTTTCATGTATGCGACTTCTTCGTGTTGGCTGGAGTTGCCTTGCCTCCCAATATTGCCGGAACAGTCTCGATTTCGTCTCACTAGACCGATTCTGATATGTGTACAAATTTTATAGCTAAAGGTGGCAATGCTGGTTTAGGCTCTAACCTAGTTAATCGATTATCTAATTAAAGCAGGGAATATAGCAATTCAACTCACTGGGGGGTTTTCCAAAAGCAGCGTACACTAATGCGCGGAACTTTTCAGTGTTCCGTAATTGGCGTACGCACCATTCGCAAATCAAACTATCTAACGGTGACACCTTATGAACAATAAATAGAATATAAAATATTGTGAAAGATTTTATATTTCATGAACTCTATTATCTTGCATACTTTTACCACCTTAAATTCTAACAAAATTGTACATGGTAAAACAAACATGCATATTTCAGCCGGACATCGACTATAGGTGCTCCATGTCGTAGAAATAGGCTATTTGACACTAAACAGTAAGCTGTCATATTTCCTCGCAATCGAGTTTGACAGCTCGGTCAGTGATCTCTGTAATACTGTATAGCGATTGCAAATTCTGTTAAGGCTGCAGTCCCGGGTCTAGAATTGACAGAGACATTTCAAACTAACATCGCCATCTAATTTCATTTAATTTCTTACATCACTAAACTGTTGAAATCATCAAATAATAATTAAATGTACAAACTTTGACAGCAAAACATTCGCGTAGTAATTGATCGTATCGTCCTTCAACGCCTTCTGAAAGATAAGTGTCATCGAATCTTTTCAAATTGGCGTCACCACCACAGAGCCTGCAGCATTTACCCGCTGTTGCACCATCACCAGACGCGTGAAATATTATATTGTCCTAAGTATAGAAATAACATTACAATATCTACTATGTTACGTAATACGTCAGCAAATAAATAAACACTGTTTATTTGCTTTGAATATTAAGTGGTTGGAGCTAATTAAACTTACCGTACTAAATATTTTTTGATATTTTCCTTTCGACCACAATACATTCATAACGGCAAATTGAACTTAAACTTACAACCAATACAATACAAAAGTAAAGTATAGCTTATTGAATTTAGCTTCGATGTTTCATCGAAATAAGTTTCAAGAAAAATGACAAAATGTGTTGAAAAATCCTCTGAAAAAATCTATGGTTGAATAATTCTTCATCTTCAAAAAGATTATTATTGACATTTTGATCTGTTTTGATAAAAATCATAGATTTTAAAGAGTAAATGGGTAATTCACAATTGTTTGATTGAATGAATGAATTTAAATCGTGTGATGGTCTCCTACGTGAAGTTGGCAATAGTGTGGTGATGCAAAGTGCCATTAAAGTAAAGAAGAAGAAGAACTTCTATCGCTTCTCAGCCTTTTGGCTAAGATCAAAGTGTTATTGTGTAGAACTTCATTTGTGATATTTTTTGGAGAAATTAAAAAAACTGAATTTTTTGGTTATCAATTAAACTGAAAAAAAATTGATGTACTTACCTGTATATGCTTGATCCATTTGCTTATAAAAAAAAATACATCAATTTTGACAGTTGACGTCAGTCAATGTTGCGTGTTCTTGTTACTTGCTATTGTTGTCGATTATGTGTTTGTAAAATTTGTATTTCAGATTAAATACTTAATTAACTGCATGATTTTATTCACAGTTCAACTATATCTTCAACTTTGCGTATTCAGAAATGCATTAAATATTTTTTTAGTGCACCATTCGCTCATAACTACATATTTTGTGTTTTTCCTTATTATTCTATAAAAAAACTTATTCAAAATGGGTGGAAAAGCAGAAAAAGGAACTCCAAAGTACATTGCGAATAAGATAAAAGCCAAAGGTCTTCAGAAATTACGATGGTACTGCCAAATGTGTCAAAAACAGTGTCGTGACGAAAATGGTTTTAAATGCCACACAATGTCGGAATCACATCAGAGGCAGCTGCTGCTGTTCGCTGATAACGCCAACAAATATATAGATGACTTCTCCAAAGAGTTTGCTGATGGATACTTAGAGCTGTTACGAAGGCAGTTTGGTACAAAGAGAGTGAATGCCAACAAAGTTTATCAGGAGTACATTTCTCATAGGTGGGTAATAAAATAAATGTATTACAGTTTAACAGCTTAATGGAGCTTGACATGTCTCCCATTTTGAAACTGGTACTATGGGCAGATCCACTATTAATGTGCGCGAAAATAAAGAATCAATATCTACAAATTATATTTTTATGTAATTAATTTTCTTTATCAACCTATTCAGGAACCACTCATCAAAACCTTTAAAGATAGCAATACTTTGAAACACTTGTGTTGAACAACTACAAATCCTTTAAATAACTGTATATAAAAACGCAGAATGATTGCGGGTCTATGATTTATCGAAATTTGAATATTTTTTCAGAGATCATCTCCACATGAATGCAACACAGTGGGAAACCCTCACAGAATTTGTGAAGTGGCTTGGACGGGAAGGAAAGTGTGTTGTCGATGAGACAGAGAAGGGATGGTTTGTTGCATACATAGACCGCGACCCGGCAGCCGTCGCTGCAATGGAAGCGAAAGCTAAGAAAGAGAAAATGGACAAAGATGATCAGGTAACTGTTACACATTCTAAGTATGGTTTTGATTGTGCAGGGGGGAATTCATTAGACGAGCTTGCCTGCAGGTAAGTGTGCCCTATAGTATAGATGATAGATCATAAACATATCAGGTACACTTAAGTATGTTAAATTTGGTTAGATGCATCTGTATGACTGCAATAGCAATATGTGCATGGGTGAAACAAATATGTTATGCTGGCATATCTTTCTGTTCTGCTACAACACCTTTATTTCAGAAAGAATCACATAAAAGAACCAGTGTGCAGATCCTTAATTATAATTTTTATGTGAAATAAAACATATTTTTTTTAATAAAAGTGATTTTGGACAAATTTAATTTGTGTCTTATTGGTTTATAAGCAGGGGCATCGCATGCTTTGAATGGCCCCTATTAAAATTTGTTGGGGGGGGCAAATGTAAGGTAAAAACTTATGCGTGTAACACATTAGCCCATGTAGCCCAGGGTCCCTGTGGGCCCTGTTTATAAGCTGAGAATTGTGGACTAAATATGGGTTGGTGTGAACAAAACAGGCTACCGAGAAAAAGAAATTTTCTGATCATAGTTCTAACTTAACCTAATCAATACAATGAAATTGAAAAATAAGTAATTTACACTAAATTTAAATGGCCTTGTTTGACCAACTCAAATGTAAATTAATACATATTTGTCTCTTGTGGTAGGAAAGAATGCTAGAGTTTATACAGAAACAAGTGGAAAGAGGCAAAAAGCAGTCCACAGGAAACGATTCAGAACCATCATACTCTGAGTTCAAAAGAGAGAGCAGCCAAGAGAAGGTGATGTTGAACTTGAACTTGAAAAGAAAACCTGATGGTGAGTTTTATAATATTTATGAATTATTTTATTAGTTGTAGACTTGTTTACTTCGATTTGGAAATTGTTATCCACCAGAAACTTTTACCTAGTATATTGTTTTTGGTTGAAAAGATATTTGATTTAAAGGTCATTTGAATAGTTCAAGAGATAGATTTAAAGTTTTTTTTTTATAAAAGTAAATGAATATAACTAGTTATAGTAACCTGTGGTTAACGGTTTTGGTTTTGCAATTATGAAACTGTGAACATCATATCTTAAATTATAACGCTTTTGTAAAACTGTTTGTCGACCCAAACAAACTAAAAATAAAAAAAATCTGAAAGCTCTCCTTAATGAAAAATGATTAAAAATTCCATCAGTCCCAGGTCGCCCAGATTGTGAAAGGTCATGGGTTCAAATCCCCCCGAGATGGGATTTGAACCCATGACCTTTCACAATCTGGGCGACTGCTGCTGGAAGTATTTTAAAGTTTTTCCTTAATGATATTTATCAGTAAACCATTGAATGAATTCACAATTGATTAATAAAAACATTTTTTATCATCTTAGAAAAGAAACCAGAACCCCTGCAGTCTGTCTCTTTTAAACTAAAAGGGAAAGATGAAAAAGATGTGTCCAACAAAAAAGCTAAATTTGATGAGGGCAAGAGCAGGACAGCGTTAGATGAGGTGATGGAAATGGAGGAGCGAGCGAAAGAGAAGGCGAACCGGTAAGATAACTATCAAATCTATAATTAGATTACTCATTACTATTATATTTTGTTATTTGGTTTCTAACTCTTTAATTTGACATCATGTTACTAACATACTGCTAAAAAAACCACAACAATCATAGACAAAACAAAAACTAGAAGGTATCTAGTACAGTCACGAGATGATATTGCCTGCATTGCACTTACCTTTAAAGAATTTTCTGACTTTAGTAGATCTCCATGTACATCCAATGTTTAGTAGATCTCCATATTCTCTTTTCGATTTTGAATTCGGTTAAAAATAACTGTCTGAAACATGGGCATGAGAACCAGAACAAGGTCTGGCAGGCATGTCTGCAGACTTGCTCGCAGGGATGCTTGTCTAGTGAATTCCCTGCATGACCCTACTGAACCGATTTTAATGTTTGGTACTGAAATAAAGTTGACATTGGGGAAGGACATAGGTAAACTTCTATATTGAAAAAGGGTTCGTTATTGAAGATATGTATTATTAATGAACAAAATTAATGCGATTGTTACAGGAAAGATTATTGGTTGCATGAAGGTGTAGTAGTGAAAATTGTGACCAAATCACTTGGAGACAAATTTTATAAGAAAAAAGCTATCATAGAGAAAGTCATAGACAAGTATGGGGCTCAAGTGAAACTCATTGATGAGAATGTCAAGTTAAAGCTGGATCAGGTGAGTTTTGTTACGATAATATACGAGATTCGTTTGACGTCGCTCATCGATATCGCATCGAGCCATAAGTAAAAGGCCTAAATTTTTTTTATAAAAGTAATTGTTCCTTTCTTTACTTGAATTTAAAATGAACCTTAATTTATTAATGATAGAATTCAATATCAATTGCAGAAATTTAACATATTGTGGGATCTTCACGTAATGAATGAATTAATAATTCTTTATTGTATATAACCACTTATAATAGAAAACAACAAAAGAACAAATAGTACAATCGGCGGCCTCATTGCTAAGAAGCAATTTCTTCCAGGCAACCGTAACAGTTTGGACAATTTAAATTTAAATCTGAATTAGGTAGCCTATGGTGTCTTAAGTGTACATGACATAAAAATACATACATAATATATAAATATGTAATATACACGTAATGTATTTATCGAACTTAATTATGATGGTTTTTAATCTACTTCAAAAAAAGGAGGTTATAAATTGTTCTGTATGGGCTTCTAAACATGTGTGCAAAATTTTATAGATATATGTATTGCTAAATTAATACTAAATATTACTAATCAATTACTAAATGAATTATGAAACGAAATGTTACCACAATAGTAGGTTGGGTTAAGTTAGAATTGCAACCGCAATATAAACGAATTGCTTCAAGAATATTGAGTTAGGTTAAGTTAGAACTGCTTCCATAACAGAAAATGTTTATCTGATAAAATATGTTTAAATACTGATGAAGGTGTCCATTTATTACAAGTTAGAAGTGAGTAATATTGGTCGGTGATAACCAGTGGTCGGAATTAGGTAGAGTTATTTATGTACTTGCATCGAAATGTTAATATTAATGTGGACCTTCCCGGGATTTCTTTATTTCTTTCTTTCATTGATGTAAGGTTGGCCACGTCGTGCGTGCAGTAGTTTAAATTGTGTAAAATTAAAAAACTTTTATTTAAAAAATCACGCGATTTTTTCTGCTCTTTAAAATAAATCTCGGGATTTGAGGCATATCCACTTTATTCTTTCGCTGTATGAAATCAGTGTGAGTACATGAATAACTCTACCTAATTCCGACCACTGGTGATAACTTATATTATTAAAAAAGAAAAAAAAAATCCCACTTCAAAAAAGTCATAATAAACAGAAATGGCTGAAAAGAGAGAAATAATAATACCACAAATTTTCATATTCAATAAAATTGTATGTTTCAATCAGAACAAGAAAAGTGGATAAGCCAATAATTTTTTAAGGTCGGTTCCAGATATTAGGTCCTTACATATGTAATTGGTGTTATTGGTATAGCCTTCAATTCTTCAATATTAACTTGGGTCTCTGGCCGTCCACGGAGCTTGTTCTACAGGTCGAAATTTCCAGAACGGAAACGTTGGAACCAAAAACGCACTGTTTTCTTTTGTGACACAACCGCCATACACATCATAAACCCTTCGAGCTGTTTCCGCAGCACTGGTACCACGGTGGAACTCGTACTCGTAAATAACACAATATTTCAAGTTTTCCATTTTTTACACTGGGTGAAGTAAATAGGACAGAAAGAAGAAAAAAATAAAAACAAATGAATGCCGCCAAACGAAACACAAATACATGTGTAAATGGCTGTATAAATTTGAATTTGGAATTCCCAACCAAGGAGGAGAAATTTGTGAATAAAGTGGCCAGTACGACAAAACGCCAATTTCATATGTAAGGATCTAATATTTATTAGAAAAATATTATGTATGGTAAGAGAAGACTAGATTTTCTGATAGTGTTGTTACAATATTATTGGTGTAATAATATTTTTTGAGGTCGGTGCCAGCCGTTTCATCAGAAAATCTATTCTTCTCTTACCATACATGATATTTTTCTAATAAATATTATCCACATATTGTGTTTCTATTTTATTGAAGATCAAAATATGTGGTATTACGTCTCTCTTTATTATGAATTTTTTGAAGTCTAGTCAGTATAATTTTTTTTTTTATTTTGCTTCAGAATCATTTGGAAACAGTTATACCTTCACCGGGGAGACAAGTTAGATTTGTGAATGGCGCGTACAGAGGTCTCGTGGGTGTGCTGAAACACGTTGACACGGACGATTACTGTTGTAGAGTCGAGGTAAGCATATTTAACCAGAAAAAAAAAATATTTTTATTCTAAGACATCTTACTCCTTCGACGTAGTGAGGTATTTCTGAGTCTGGTTTTATTCCCTGTCGGGTCAATATAGAAAATTAAATTTTCTTATTTGTTTGTAGTACCTTCGTTTTCATATTCACATAAAACAAGTGCTTTTAAAACAAACCCGTTAATTTAAAATCGGCTTGCGAGTGCTTTACTTTATTTGTGTTGTCTTAAGTTTGAAAATTGTTTGGAATTCGAATCACTGGACTGTGACTGATTTTGTGTATCTTTGTATGGGTATCTTTAATAATAAATAAATTTTATTTTGAAATTAATTCTTTATCCATCTAGTAGTAAACGCACCCTTATTTTATCAATCGATTTACATGGTTCCGATAAGTATTACCATGCTATCTATAATGAAATTACTATCACAACACTATTTATGGCGTTAATTATCAATTCCCGCATAATGATAATATATATTTTTTACAAATCTAAACTCTAGTTATAAAAACGAACTTAATCAACATGTTAATATGGTTTGTTTTCTTTCAGATATCCGAAGGTCCACTCACAGGGCGTTTAGTTAAAAAAGTACAATACGAAGATATATGTAAATTAGTAACATAAGCAATTGTAAATATCATTATACTGAATCTGTGGATAGTTTAATAATTATTAATATATATATTTTAATAATTCGTTTTATTTGTAACCCTATGTGAAATAAGAGTATCTTGTGAAAAGAAAATAAAATGGTGCATATGGGTAACTTTGTGATTTTTTCTATCGAGAAATTTTGACTGAGACAAAATTGTTGTAAATATTATGTAGTTTTAAAATTTTCATTTGAGCTTTGAATAATGGAAATATGTAACTTTAGCCACTTACAATAGACAACTATAGACCACTTCCCGCGCTAATAGTAAAGTGAATACTACTCTTTGATAAACCTGTTTGTGAGAATTTTTATGGTAATTATATCTTCTTTTTAATCTGAGGTAATTATCAAGCAGTAGGCAAAGGACAACGTACCAGATTCTTCTTTTTTTTTACTATGCGCTATAGTAAACCACCATTCTTACTGTTGTTCCATACAAATAAAAAACCAAATAATATTCATGAATGAAATATATTTTTTTCTTTATAATATTTAGTCAAGGCACAAATTCCAATAAATACGTATAAAAAAAACTAGTTGTGTTATTATATCTACTGAATAATTTATGGTAAAATTACTTCCAAAATTACACATTTTTATAAGTTACACAGACTGTCTAATAAATACCCACTGAATTATTTAAACTCAAATAAAAAGAATTCATCAAATCTAACATTGAAAAATTGTTGAAACACAATTGATTGAAACAAAATTATGTAAAAATATTATACATTTTATATTAATTATTACTCTAAAGGCACTATTTATAGGACGCATATGTAAACCTCGCAACCTCAACAAATAAGTACATAAAGTGATTATATTATAATAATTTGAACTATTCATAAACATTTGGATAACAACAGATAAAAATATAATGTTATCATCCTCACAAACAACATGAAGGTTTACATTCAAAAATGTCAGATTTTACCGCGTAAAATAATATTGCCATGCACAAACAGAAATAAGTACCATTAGGCTAAATAAAAACTACTAAGTTATAAATCTAATTGTTAAAAATAGCAACAAATGCTTCATTAAATACTATTACAAAAACTATTAGAATACTTACTTACACGACTATGTAAAATAACATGCTTTTCATTTAACCTTTGTAAAATTCATGGAACACATTCCATATAGTAAAAAAGGTGTGGCAGTATCGCTAGGCAATGGTAGAATTAGGTAGTACATACATTACGGAAAGCCAATCAACAGCAAGACATACTACAAAAATATAGCTCCTCATATGGAAATATATTTTGCTACAGCAATATGTAGTTTCACCTACCGCTAACTGTAATTTGTATTTATTTATCAACCGATAAATAACTCTACCATTGTCTTGCCACGTATCAAAATTGATCAAATATGATATGATTCGTGTTCATGCTAAGCAAACCTAAGCTATTTGTCATAATGGTAGAATTGGTGTTGTCGTTAACAATTTTTCTACTTTTTTAGTAGTTTCTCCTCTTCTGGGTTACGCAGAGCGTCTTCTTTTGAATTCACTTTGAACTGTAAATAACACAATTACAAATGATAAATATATTACATTATTTACGTTATATATTTTTATAATACAAACCGATCAATATCTTGTTTTCTGATCATCCATTTTCTAAGCAGCGTGAAATGTAAAGAATTAATTTAATAACATTTCTACATTTATTGTGTAAGGAAAATGTGATTTATCCTCCAAATAAAATAAAGGTTTTGGGTTCGATTCCCGTCCACGTTAAGAGTAACACGCCAATTTAAATATCAATCACGATGATTATTTTTGTAAACTGACAACACTTACCACATGTGGCGGCTTTTCTACCTCTCTGACTTCTTCTATACGATCACCTTCGCTAAGAAGCTGTAACAATTTTTTATTTTTTATAAATATTGGGTTGTAGAACATCTTATTAGCCTAATTAAGCAGCAAATTACATAAAAATGTAATGTTTTATGATTATTATAATTACCTTGTCTACTTCAGGTTCTATCTGCTCATTGGTTCCTCCCTTGTTCAAAGCTCCTTTCTCCATGAGAGTAGCGCGTTTAGCAGCCAAATACATTGATCTATGAAAGTGAATGAAAAAAAAATGTAAATAAGATAACAAAAATTCCGACGTAGATAGCGTCCTTATAAGAATGTAAAAAAAGATTTATTCGGCCTAAGAACCTGTATCCATGGCTATGAATCTTTGATTATTAAAAAAACACGTTTGACGGTTATGAAAAACTGTTTACATATTGTGCTTAGCTGCATTATGGTGACAAAAAGGTGCAGTAATATTTCCTAAATGTTACAGTAAAATCAAAACTAATAAATAATCCCATATAATTAAAAAAGTAACTGTGTATAATACTTTACCTCTTGATAGTGAGGTAGTATAACTCAGCGATGGCCTTGACGGAGTAGTCCGGTACGAAAGTGTGGCGCAGCATCGAATCCATGTTAAGGTTTTGCAGCGAGCCCAACGTCGAAGGAGCCGGACTCTCAGCTAAACAATGAAATATCACCAGTCAGTACTTTCTTAACATAGAATATGAAACCTACTGAAAACTTCTAAAACCTACTAAATACAAAACTACCATGAAACCAAAATGTATCCACATTGAAATGTTAATTTCCCGTGTTTGAATCGAATCCAATACTTTGATAGTATGACAGCAGTAACTGCCTTAGCAATAAAATTTTGGATAAATTAAAAAGAAAAGGTATCTCAAGTGAGCACCTATCGAATCACGTCATTACTTACTTACCACGATTTTGTTATTTTGGTCGTTTTTTCTAGCACTACTTAATACAGTGGTAGTATTTTTCTACTATATTAGTAGGTTTTTATAAACGACTTGAACTATCCTGCATTAAAATAAACTTGCCGTTCCAAGCTTCAGGCTTCAAAAAACCAGAGGATCATTTCTGGGTAAATGTATTGCTATGTTAAATAAAGTTCCACAAAATGTAATTGACTTACCCATAAATAAATTTCAAATTCATGTAAAGAATATACTTATGAGTAAAGGCTATTATAAAGTTGATGATTATTTTAAGGATCGCAATGCATAGAATTAATAGCCTTCGCTTTGTTCTATAAAGACAAATTATATGTTCAACCTATGTCCTACAGACTTTGAAAGTTGTATTTATTATTGTGATAATACATATTATTTTGGTAATGACATGATTTATGTAAATGTCATTACCAGAGGTCGGAATTAGGTAGAGTTATTTATGTACTTGCATTGAAATGTTGATATTAATGTGGACCTTCCCGGGATTTCTTTATTTCTTTCTTTATTTTTTTCTTTCATTGATGTAAGTTTGGCAACGTCGTGCGTGCAGTAGTTTAAATTGTGTAAAAGTAAATAACTTTTTATTTAAAAAATCACGGGATTTTTTCTGCTCTTTAAAATTAATCTCGGGATTTGAGGCATATCCACTTTATTCTTTCGCTGTATGAAATCAGTGTAAGTACATGAATAACTCTACCTAATTCCGACCACTGGTCATTACTTATGATAAAAAGCTGGTAAGTTTCTTTCGCTTGTTCTTCTTGTCAGCTAAAAGACGTCCTGAACAAGTGGTAGGGGAAAAAATATATTTTTTTGGACTATTCAAAAGTGCTTGTAATAGCCTACTTGAATAAAGATATTTTCATTACATACCTAACCCGACGTTCTGTGTGAGCGCCTGTACACCGAAGTAAGTGAACGGTCCCGCTTCGAACACGAGATTCTCACGACCGACTGTTACTTCGACGCGACCTTCTAGTATCAACACGAAGTAGTCCACCTAATGGAGATTACACACATTATTAGTTTTAATACACATATAGCAACAATTTTTAATAAAAAAAAAATGAAAACACACCGAATAATATTAATATTGTTTAAAAAAAAACATCAAATTAGGTTAGAATATTTGAAACCATGGCATTTCCTCTTTAAAATATTTAATTGCATAAATTTAGTAATTTCTGCAATTTTGTTAACTTTTCTAAAACTTGATAATATTTTGGGAGTTTATTTTTAACTATTTTGGTAGGATTTATTTCCCTGTTACGGAGAAACAGAGTGGTTATATGTGACTCGAACCCACTAAAACCACCCGAGTGTCCCTCAGGCGTACTGTGGCGCTCACAGGTATCCCTAAAGACTATCCGGCGTACACCGCCGGTCGTCCAAACGGACCCTTCATCGCTGCAGCTTTACTCCCTCCAATAGCCCGTCGGGACGCGACGGAACACATTCACATCATCTCACCATGAGAACCTTGTCACCATCGGTGTACCTAAACTTAATTTCTCATCTATTTATATGTAACCCTATTATCTCGCAATATTGTCTGTACTCACCGGTTTACCTTCTTGGAATACATATCGTTTAGGGTCATTCTTATCCTCATCGCCGCGAAGTTTGATGTGCTGGATGACGTCCTGCTTCAGTAGGCGACGTAACACTGTCTCTGATATCATCTCGGGTCTAAACGGATCAACACCTGTTGTAGAAAATTATTAATTTGATTACTCTGGTTGGTAAGTATTTCCATCAATCCTGCTGCACTAGTTATATCGCAATAACTTTTACTATCGGTATATGGTAGTTTTCTTTTACATTTTCCACCTTTTGGTAGTTTTTAATTGTTAAATATAGTCACTAGCTTTTGAAAAAGGAAAAGAGTCTAAATCGACTTGAGTTATATTCGATTATTTAAATAATACATATTATATTAAAAAAAAATTGCATTCATAATGCTATACTGAAAAACATTCTTAGTGAAAAATGCTTTAAAAAATTCACTTTGTCCCTGGCACTCCGACATGGAACTCGAACCCACGACCCTTCGCAAACCGGGTGACTACTTTAGTACTTTAAGGTTACTAATAGCATCAACTTTGTAAATGGTAGTTTTCCTAAAAACTAAAGCTAACACGAGCTATACTACTTTGATTTCTAATGGTTATTTCTACCATTAAATGAGTATAGATTTTCCTACCATTGGTAGTTTTAAAGCGAATATGTTGGGTAAACTAAGTATACTGACTGGTGCTGAGGAACTGGAAGGTGGCCAGCACGAGTTGCGGGGAGACGTGCACTCGTTGATTCTGTTGGTGGCCGGCGAACGCTGCTATGTCCTGGAACTTGTTCACTGGTCGGGGCAAACGCTTCTTAGTGCGATTGTCGCCTGGAAACAATTAAGACATCAATTAAAAAATCTATAAAATAATGCGGTTAAGCAACTTTCGCCAGGGCCGGTCATAGGATGGATGACCAAAGATTTATTATCTTGTGCTTGGAGCACTTTATACATTAATAGGTTGAAACGATGTCTCAAATTAAACAAAAAAATACTTCTGTATCTTAGTTATTTACATAATCGATTAGGCATTTTGACGGGCTTTAAACTAAATTTTGTCTAGGCCAGTGTTTTTCAATCTGTAGGTTGCGACCTCAAGGGGTTCGGTTGTGAAGGTGGGGGGTGGCCGGCAAAACTAAAAGCAAAGGTTCTACGTGGTTCACTACAGCAAAATACATTTGTGAGAAGAATAGACTTGATTATTATAATAAAAAATAATAAGCAAGTCCATTCTTCTCACAAATGTATTTTGCTCTATCTATCTCTGTTGCTATTCCAAAAAAAAAAACAAATCGTGGTGCTATTTTTGAAATGTTACAGAATGTTGTGAAATGTAGTTTTTTTATTATATATTTTTTTGTCTTTATATAGCACATAAGGGTCACCGGAATTTTTCAGCCTGTAAAGGGGTCGCGTATTGAAAAAGTTTGAGAAACACAACTGACGTCACATCCTCTGTGTCGCCATTTATGCGGTTTCTTTAAACAGTAGAATTTTAAACATAGTTTTGGGTACACAATAAGGATTATTTTCATTTTTGTGGGAATTAGCACACATACTGATTAATTTAAAACAGGTTTTAGGGTTCCATACTAATACTATAAGGTTTCCCCTTATAATTAAACATGACCGTCTGTCTGACCGTCCGTCAGCGGTTTAGCTCAAAAATTGCTGTTAATGACTTTATCATACTAACTTATCACATCAGACTCGTCCACTATCTCTGCTTGTATCATTTCCTCGATAACGTCCTCCAAAGTGACCAGACCGACCGTCTCGTATATGGGATCTCCGTCGCCCTCCTCGATGCGCTGCACGAATGCCATATGACCCTTGTGGCCTGAGGAGTAATTATCAAAATAATTTTCTAAGCTTACAATAACATTATTTGAAAAAAAAAACTCATTTTCATTGTGCAAATAAATGTCAGTAGATGATGTCTTAAAAGATATTTCAATTTTATACATAAATTCATTCGAAATGCCGTTTATTTCTTTCTAGCGCACAGGCAAAAATAAAGGTACAAGTAGTAAGTCTAGATATTTTTCTTTATTATTACATCTAAAATTAATACTCAATAAGTTTATTGTTTCCATAGGTAATTTAATTTAATTCTTGGGTGGTTACAAGTATAGCAAAAAATTCTCCACTGAATTCAATTTGCTTCCTAGCAACTATTTGTTTTCCTCCCATTCTTACTATTTGCTTGACCTTTCTCCAATAGATTTTAAGGCTTAATTGATTGTTAATAACTATAATGTATAATCCTGACCCTGTATTTTTGCTACCAGTATTTTTATTGATTCTTTAGCCCAATCGTAAAACAAAATAATTTTAAATAAATCTAAATTTGAAATTGAAAGTAACCATAAATACATATGTTGAGGCACGTGAATCATGATTTGTGTACGTCCCAATGACTTATAATAGTCTATGGTATGTCTAGCAGATATTGGCATACGTTCAAGCCAAAATAAAACTGTCACACATATTTCAACAAAATACAGCCCAGATTTTTTCTAACGACATTCATCTGTTGAACGTATGTTTGAGATAATTTAATGAATGAAATTAGCTGATGGTTCATATTTTAACTTAATAACTTATTTGGTGTACCCCAAGGTACAATATTGGGCCAAGTACTTTTTCAATCCACATTATTGAACTTACTAAATCTAATTAATGTTGTCTTTTTAAAATTAAGCAGTCAATAATATACCGATATGAAAAGTGTTCCCTCCAGTATTTAATGTATTTACTATTAATAATAAACTGAAAGTTTAGGTATAGTTTATTATACATATACACATGATGCGCTGAATACATAACATAATTATCATCTGATGTACAAGCTTTCCAGGCATAAGTGCACAGACCTAATTATAGATACAGATATCGTACAACTGTTGTGTGATACGAAATAAATGATATTACATGAATAACTGTTATCACTAAGCTATATACATTTGCCGTACCATTTATTTTTCTTGTCTCTTACAATAGTTAACATAATTCATAGATCCATAAATTAACAATCAGTAAATTCCGCGATACAAATTCCGTTAACAATGCACTTGCATTAACATACGCCATTTAAAGGCCTTATGCCATACTTTCAACTCAAACGCCATTTAAAGGCCTTATGCCATACTTTCAAGTCAAACAATAAATATAGCAAAAAAATATATAGTAAAGTGGTACACAAACCTTCTTTGAACTGTTTCAACATGACGTCGAGTGTGACGTCCTCGAAGACGAAGTTACAAGGGTTCTGGTAGTACTGGCAGAGGGTCCGCAGCGGAGTGTTATCGTCCGGGTCAACGAAGGCCAGGTCCTTGATGAACAGCACCGTCACTATGTTGCCGCGGCTGCCCTCGTACACCGGGATACGGGAGTAACCTAATAAAGAGGTTGATGTAAAATTAAAAAGAGACCCCAAAACCTTCCTAGATAGCATTTTAAACTTGTTTCTGACTTGCAACAAGTTTGATACATCAAAAAAAAAAGACGCTTCAAGTTTGCCATGACAATAGCAGCAACTTGCAGCAAGTTTAAATCAAACTTTCTGGATTCAATGTGATAAACTTGCACTACCTTTGACGTATCAAAGGTAGTGCAAGTGTGTACTCGAATACCTGGAATACAGGTTTCGAGGCAAATATTACTTTTAAGTTTACTAAGTTTTTATTAATCTTTCGATCATTCAAAAGCGATTGCGACTTTAAACTCAGACCTCAGCACAGAGCCTAGCCTGAGAGCCGAAGTGAGTAACTGGAACGGTTGGTTTCGAATCCCATGTCAAGATCACATTAAACGGCATATTACTTATACAATCTAACAATATAAACTGATACCACGATGCATTAAATGAACAGCGTCATTTAGTTTGCAGACTTAGAACTATTCGGGCACCTATGAAAATGATGGGTGTGCTACAAACAAGTATCTTTGTTATATTCAAACAATATTGTCGCAAACTTGAAACTTCATATTTAACATTACAATATTGCAGCGACATTGTCACAAACTTGCCTCGTATATTTGACGCAGCAATTTAGAATCGAAGAAAAATCAAACTTGCCCCAAGTTAGCATGCTATCTGGGTTGCTAGTATTGAGCACATTGGTGACAATTTTAAAAACTCTTACAACAGAACAGACTTTGATTAATAAAACAAATTCAAAACTATAACAAATTGCGGACCTCTACATTACTCTAAACCGTGGGTATTTTCGTGAGATGTAGCCATTGAACGGACACCAATGTAATGCAGGCATTTTCAATAGCTCTCAGAGTGAAATCTCCTTGAGGAAAATACCACCCAGGTACTGCTGAAATGCAGAGGCTTTGCAATACAAAAGAAATAAACACCATTGCAGTCTACAGACATTTCTAGAAATCTGCAGAATCTCATTCCATTTCTTTGGATGACTGACTTATTATTTCAAGCAAAATAGGCACTGAAATTAAGTTGCCGATAACATCACGCAGTTCATCATTACATCACATACAACAATATCTCCAAATCTCAGGATCTACCTTTACCATATTGACGTAACTCACCAGACTTGACGATCTCTGACATTGTGTCGAAGTCCAGTACGCTGTTGATGGGCAGCATGAAGCAGTCCTTCAGCTTGGTCATTACGTCCTTGACAGTCTTCTTACGAAGGTCTAGGGCTCCGGAGATGATGTTCACCTCCTCTTTGTCTAAATCGTTCACGTGATTGGTGATCTACAATGTGAGTTAAATGAACGATTTGAAAGTGAGCGATTCATTATTATTATTGACATTTGGATAAAAAAACAGAATAGTTATACCACAATAAAACGTAAAAGGTGAATGAAAATGGTATAACCCATTCAAATTCATCCTTTCAAAATCCACCATTCATCCACCTATTCAAGTTCAATTAAGCTCCTAAAGAATACCCCAAATTTTTCATCCTAATAAAAAAGCACTAGTAGCTTGAGGAGCTAAAATAGAGGTATGGTTAGCGCACTTCGTCTGCGATCACGGAAGATCTGCTACTTTCACAGATCCGGTCATCGTATAGGTTACCAAATATTGTCACGTGCCCCCAGGTAGGTAATCTTTGTATTGTTCATAAGTGCTTGTAATAAGCCTACTTGAATAAAGATACTTTCATTTTATTTCATTTCATTGTCACGAGGTAGGTAAGCCGTTGGTCCGAGCAATATATAGTTCTTAAAACCCGACGATACGCCCTGAATCCTCGTGATGAGTTTCAGCTCGTTCTCTCCTTTATGTTTCTATAATTCGAGGAAGATGAAAGGCTAATTATGATAATGATATAGTTACCTTGACAAGTTCCTTTAGTCTCTCTCTGTTGTAATGTGTGCCGATCTCTTCTCCTAAGAAGTAGTCCAGAAGTTTACTCGTGGGCCAGGCTAAAGGAGCGCAGATGCCCATCACGATCTACAAACATAAATATTTAATCAAATATAATACTCTGTTTCCCATCTTAATTATCACGTCCATAAAGTCCCAACATCCATCCAGCAAAGCATGTGATAAACACTCATGATATTTTGATTCAATCTTAAAATAATACAATGAAAATCACAACATCCTGAACTACTTACCTTCATGATCCAAATACTCTTTGCACCGATCAGCAGCCCGTGTCTCGCGCATACAGCCTGTGGCGTAATCTCCGCTATAAAAACGATAGCTAACGTAGAACCGATGACAGCCACCAATCCAGACGTCAAATCATCAAGAATAACCGTGAAAGTACTGTTGACGGCGACATTACTCAGTAGAATTGTGCAGAGAAGGTAATTGCCATGAGCTCTTACAGGCATGATGGCTCTTGCGTATTTCCTTTCTTTCTCTGTGCCTGTGTTAGCAATAATCTTCAGTTCCGTTCTATCTAAAGCCATAAGACCCAGATTGAGACCGGAGAACAAGGACGCCAATAGAAGGAGAATTATAATAAGAATTATGGAAACCCATAGCGGAAGCAACTTGTTGTGTGTAGCCAAGATCTTGTATTGCTCTTTTCCTTGATGCACGAATTCTTCGTTTCTAGCATTTCTTGCGCATATATAGAATTTGTAATCTTCTAATGGAGGCGGGGCTTTCAGTTCGAAAAGAGCTGAGTCTGTTTCTGCGATTTTTACCTGAAGAAAATAATTATATTTTTGTAGACATTTTAAAAATAAAGACAAAAATCAACCGTTTATCTCGCCAAAGCAAGCATTTTACTTTATTGTGCTGCTTGCTTATGAGCAAACCAATCAGCTTGTGTTTCTTTATGCTGCATTCACATGAAAATAAAATTTTAAAAGTGTAAAAAAAATAATATGCTTTTACTAATCAATAAATTATTGAACTATACATCTAACTCACTGATAACACAAATTCTCACCTTGTATTCCCCAGCAAGCAAAAAATGACAGTTGCTCCCGTAATCTTCACCAGTATGCGTAAAAGCAATCTCAGAATTGTTAGTGAATCCCTCACCGAACAATCTCAACGTAAACGTCGTTTCTCTCAGTACACTAGGAATCATACCATCCACAATCTTCGGCTCTTTCTCAGCCTCTTCCACCCTCAAACCCAACAATCTAATAGGAGTACTAGGTCCCACATCAACCCTCTTAGGTCCTAAACTTGTTTCTGTATTATTTACTGTAGTTTTAACTTCTTCTGTATTATTTGGAGCTGTACTATCGGTAGCATTCACATTTGTATCATCTACTTGTCTTTTCTTACGTAATGCAGTTTCAGTTCTGTCTTCTAACCTCTGCAGTCTGTATGGTGTATTAAATATTTCTATAAGATTTTCTTCAGCATCTTTAGCTGCGTTATTGACTTCTAAATCATGATGGAGGTCAAACGTCGCTTCCGTGTTGAGAATCTCTATGTTATTATTATCTATCAAGTTTATCTCTTTGTCAGAGAACACATCCTCGTCGCTCAGGTCATTTTCTGTTGATCTGCAACAAAAAAGTGGGAGTTTTAATTGTTTCATCAGCTGTATTTGGACCGTTGTAACAGTTATATAGTATTGACATCTCCACGGTCGAGTAATTAAAACATGCATTTGCGCATGTAGGCAAATAAATTTCAGCTCATGAAGTATAAATTTCATTATGTTCGAAACAGTTATTTTCCATTCTAAATATTTTGTAGGTAACCTAGTGAGTAGAAACAATTTGGAATTCATTACAAATCATTAACTTTCTCGCGTACACGATGCGATGGTTGATTTTTTCGCAAACAAATGATTCACTCGTAATAACTATCATATTTGGTATACCGCAGCGTACTGGTTTAAATAGGTATTTAGTGTCCGGATGAAAGATCTGACAAGCAATTGTAACTATTGTATGATATTATTATAATTATTTCTGATTTTCAATTCTTTCTACTTTTCATACTACGACTGCCCAAAAAAGGAGTATATTGTGTTTAGGGTAAATGTATGTATGTATGTGAGTTGTTTTATTCTACCATAACTTTTGAAAAACAATGGATATTAATGTATAAGGTAACATTAGAAACCTTAAATCTTCCAGAGAAACAGTGGCTATATTTTTTTTATATATTTCAGCGGATATATGACGTCATTTGAAAAATATAAAAAAAAAATATTCCTTCAATTATAACAATATGGGTATCAAATTAAAGTTTTTGATGAGTAAATCCCAAAGATATATACTACTAAAAGAGACTAAACGAGAAAATACTAAAGAGATATATACTATAGCAAATGAGATATATACTATGTCGTGAACCGCTCTGTATAACTTTTGTAATATAAGAGGTAGGTATATAGGAATATATAATACTATATAGCTTTCGCCAGCGGCTTCACCCACGTGGTGGAAATGTTTAGAGGGATAAAATTATAAGTCAGTTATCTATATACCAAATTTCATCAAAATCCGTTCAGTAGTTTCGGCGTAATTGACGGACAATCATCCAAACAAATAAACTTTCACATTTATAATATTAATAGGATAGTAGAATACCTACAATTACGAGAAAAAATCGAAGAAATACGAATGTGTAGAACTGTTTGTTCCTATATCAATAAATAAATTTAAAAAGTTCGTTCTAAAATAAAGTTCGAGAAAATGTTATTAATTCACGTTTTGACAATGTCATAAACCTTGTTTAAAATGCAGTTTTCTCGCTTTTAATTATATTAGCTTATTTTGACTCTATTTCTTGGTTTACTATATTTCATTAATTTTGTATAAATACAAAACTAATTAAATATAGTCAGTTTTGGTGTAAGTTCCCTTTTAATTGAATATTGATAAATTAAAAGATTCGTCAGTCATAATCGTCCAAAGGAGACTACACATTTATTTATACAAAAAACTTCTCTACGTGCTATTATTAATTCTACGTAAAACTATTTAAAAATTGCGCGGCGTTTAAAGTTACATCTTTTTATTTATGCAATTTTATTGCTTTTACATACGTAGATATTATAACAACATAACCTCAAAATTCTTGTTAAATATTCAGATATTCTCAAAATCCCACATAATTTTGAAATGTTTATTTTTCTAAATATTCTAGAAATAATTATCTATTGTTTATTATTACTTTCAACAAGGTACACGGTAACGCAAAAATAGCCGAATTCTTATACTAAATTGCCCATTCACCTTTTATAACGTCGTAAGAGACGCGCTGGACAGAAACCAGAAAGAACCGACTAGAAAATTGTTTTCTACGAAACGGACCAATCAGACAAGGCGACGCCATTATGCCGGCGTTCGTGTCACCCAGTCACTCGACAATGGAATGTTATCAGAATACAAGTTAAAAACGTATTACAGTTCATTTTGAAATCAATTAGCTGTTTGTTTATCGTCTTGTCTATCCCGGTCGTAGCGCATGCATTTGCTTTTCAACCAATGTTCTATTGATGTGTTTTACAGGGTTGCCACTACGAGTTAACTATAATATTTTTCTACGTGTGTCGTTTTAAAATTTCTTAACTTGGTTATTATATTTGATTTATTTCGCAATTCACAATGCTGTACTGAAAAATACTGAGCTACCCACTCTACTGAGTGGTTAGAGCAATCGCCCGGATTGTGAAAGCGCCGCGGCCCGCGATCATTATGGTTAAGCAACTTTCGCAATGGTCGGTCACGGGATGAGTGACCAAAAATTATCATCTCGAGCTACTCCGTGCTTCGGAAGGCACGTTAAGCCGTTGGTCCCGTCTGCATTTGCAGTCGTTAATACCCTCCAATCCGCATTGGGCCAGCGTGGAAGGTTATGGCCCATCCTCCTTAACCATCAATAAGGAAGGCCTGAGCTCCTGCAGTGGGGACGTAAAAGGGCTGGTGATGATGATGATGGGTTCGAATCCCATCTCAGGTAACAGGGACCAAGTGGATTTTTTAAGCATTTTCCATTAATAACATTTAACTTGGTTAATTAGGAATAAAACGGACTCGATAGAAATAAAAACACATCGTAACGACCCCTTAATTATAAATTCAAGTTCAATTTTTTATGTGGTTCAAATAGTACATACGGCTGCACTTCAGGTTATCATATGTCAAAAAACCAAGAGTTGCGTTTTACATCTTATGTTTATAAAAATAAGACTGAATTTAAACCTGTTGCTTTGTACACTTTACTCTATTCTTTCCAATCCTCATACACCAGAGTACTTAAAGTGTAAATTTCAATATCTCTCTGACGCTCATGGTCGTCACCTGCGTTCTTCAAACTCTCTCTCACTTTCCACTCCCCTTTTTCACACTGGCTTTATGTCCAACTCATTTACACTACATTCAATTCGACTGTGGAACAGCCTCCCCGATTCCATCAGAAGATCGCCAAATAAATACATTTTCAAAAAAAAGTCCACTCCTTTCTGTTTCAAGGCTTGTGAAGATTGTCATCATCATCTATCATCTGTGTATTGACGTGTGTGTGTGTGTGTGTGTGTGTGTGTGTGTGTGTGTGTGTGTGTGTGTGTGTGTGTGTGTGTGTGTGTCTGTGTGTGTGTGTGTGTGTGTGTGTGTGTGTGTGTGTTTATTTATGTATGTAATTATGTGTAATGTTATTTATATTTTAAGTATGTTGTAGTATGTTCATGTTTAGTTTAGGATTTGTTGTTGTAGTTTTTTTATTTTTATTGCTCTGTACCGCCATCGCGTTTGTCTGTTTTCCCAAAGGTTGACTGACAGAGAATGCTATTAGCATTAAGTCCGCCTTTTGTACCATCTTTATTGGTCAATAAATTTCAATAAATAAACCATACGTCATGGGAATTGGTAGGTTTTGTCTACGCTTATGAAGATTCGTGACGCGATATATTTCGCTTTGCTTTACAGTATGTATAGTCAACATCAGGTTGAGTATTACAAAACTATTCGGCCTCTTGATGGTTTAAACCAGTGATTCCCTAAGTGATCCTGGTAGACCCCTAGGGATCCACGAGCGATTCAATGGGGGTCTACGTTGGCGTGAAATAAAAATAAATATCTCCACATTTTCGAAATATGGTAAAGTGTAACAGCAGGGGGTCCAGCGAAACCAGTAATTTTTTTTTAAATGGTCTACGAGAAAAATTGTTTGGGAACCTCTGGTTTAAACCTTAAACCATTGCTAGTACAGTTCAAAATTTTAGTTATAGTGTTTTGTAACATTATTGTTGTATTGCTCCGATTATTAATATAATTATTATGAAAAGCTTGTTAAAAATATTGAAAGTAACGACTGATGGTATTCTATTCAACGAAGTGAAGTGAAACAACTTGGCAGCCCTATTTGCAACGCAACAGTAACCGGCCACGTCCCACGCATATTCGAGTTCGTGCCAATTTTTTGCAGCTATAACGTCACATGCCCAGACACAACACAATTTAAAATGACGATATCAGCATGATGACGTTATGTGAGCAACGGTACACAATATGTAACATTATAGAAAATTTCATAAGAATTTGACAATTTTCTCGGGTCGAGAGTGGCCTCGATCCAGTACGCGTAGCATGACGAACTCGAGAACGTTTTGTCTTCACTCAAATGACACTTTTCTGACATAAAATACAGACGTTTATTTGGCATAAAATACAAAGTAAAATAATATTACATAGCAAAAATTCAAAAAATATAATATCAAACGGGCCTCTGCTCAGTATGAGCCGAAGTAACATTTGCTACGGCACTTTTGTTCTTTGTACATGAGTTTATATCCACGGTATTATAAAGTAAAATATTTTCAGACCAGCAGTACTAAAGTACCTAAGTAAGTAAGGTGTTTCTTTCGTTATTGGTAAAATTACACTTTTTAATGGGTATACATTAGTCATTATTTTTTTTGTGATTTTTGTAAGCGCCATTCCAGTGCTTCGGTTAGAGTGCCAGCCATATTCCAGTTTGCTTTGAATATCCAGTAAAGTATTTCCGATATCTAGGTAAAAAAAGTGTCTCTACTTTTCCAGGTTTACAAAACAGGTAACAGACAGGTAAATCGTAGAGTGATGTATACATAGAAAAAAAATACTATCGGTCAGTTGCACATACGTGCAATAAAAATTTAATGACGCCTTTAAGTTATAACGAATGTCAAATTTGTATTTGTAATGTCGCTTTTAACTAATGACCATTTTAATGAACGTTTGTGCAACTAGTTGTTTGTCGAATTTATAATCTCCCATTTTATTAAAATCGGTTAAAAATAATGCCCGTATCTTATCTGTGACAGATTGACAAATCGACTGATATCAAACGTTTGCCGTTGGCTTTGTACCTATCACTAACATTTAAAATAGTTAGGTAAATCAAAACTTTACATTTTCAAGGTTGCAGATGCGCACGGAATAGTGATGTGGGTCAATTCGTTTCCCTTTATCGATATTTACAAATAATCTCTTTTTTTAAGTATATATGTTTTTATATATAAAATTACGAAGCACCCTTATATGAAATATTATTCGTCATGTTTTTTTTC